ATATAAAAATTTTAAGTATTTTAAACTTTTTTATTTCTTTTACCAAATTAATTTTCAATTTTTTAAAAGAAAAAAAATCTAAAACAAATCTCTAGAAATCAAACCAAACATGGGGAGTGTTTGGGAACTATGAGTAGAGGCAATTTTCCTCAAAGTGAAAAATAGCCTTTTAGCCTAAAAAAAAAAAATCAGCCTACCCCATTGATTAAAAAAAACAAAAAAACAAAATAGCAGTCGGCAGATCTACACTGTCTGTGACAGTGTAGGTATATTTGTAATCATAGCCTAATCCCAAATGAGTAAATGACAATTTTGCCTTTTTAGATTAATCTTGAAAAAAGTGAAACTAGGGACAAATTTGTCATTTCATTTTTAACATCATTTCAAACGCGTTTTTCAATACAATAACTCAAATAAAAATTCAATCCAACTTCCCAAACACAAAAATTAAAATAGCCTACTAAAATAGCCAAAAAACCTCTAAAATAGCCACTTTCCAAACACCCACATGGTTAGTTAAACTAGTTACTGACTTATGTGGTGTTTGATAATCTAATTCAATACTTAAAACTAAATTATTAAGTGATATTCAATAAAATCTATTTGATAACCATAATTGATGTCGCTTAAAAATTTAAGTGCAGTTAATAACATTTTAATTGATTTGAAATTTATTTAATTATGACTGAATTTATAAACATTAAACATAAGTGTTAACATACACTATTATAAACTCACTACTATTGTCATCATTACCACCACCACTGCTACAGCGGTCATTGCCGCCGCTGCTGTCACCACGACCACCATTCCCATCACCATTATGCCACTGCTAACACCACTATTACTGCTACCATTTTCATTACCATTGTCATTATTGTCATAAACACCACCATTATTTCACTATTATCACCACATCACCATCATAGTCGCCATTGCCATTATTATCACAACTACTACAACTTTTTATATTCACAATTATTGTCATTGTTGTCATAACCACCACAATTATTTCATTAGCACAATAACCAATATCATTATACCACTGTTTTTTTTTTGAACGGCATCATAATACCATTGTTTTTTTTTGGAATGACATCATTATACCACTGTAGCCACCATTTTTTTACGACATTAACTTTTCACCATCACTACAACCACTATTCGTCTACTTTCACTATCATTACCATTGGCTTATAGTTAACACCACCGCGGCCTCTACTACCACCAACTCACCATCACAATATATAATTTAAAAATAATAAGTTACAAATTTGATATTGTACATATTAAACAAATTGTTTTAATTCAACAATTAAATTTTTATTATACAAAACTTCAGCTAAAAAAATCATCATTTAATTTTTAGTACTAAACTTTCAGTTTTATCAAATACAGACAACACTCAGTGAGCAAGTTTAATGAATAATGTTTGAACATAAAAAAAAAAAAATAAAATAATATATGGAGTTAATTTCAAAGAGTAAAAAATTATTCGCAAACATATAGAATACTTATTTACAAAGTTTGAGAATTAATTTTTTAGTGATTTTTTAATTTTTTTTAAAAATAAATATGTAAAAGAATAGAGAGAATATATTAAATTTTTGTATTAATATTTAAACGAAAATTCATTATTCCCAAACTACCCTCAATTATTTGAAAACACTAATAGCAGCCGGATTATGTAAGAATCTCAAGATACAAACATCTCAAAATATGATCTAGTGACTCTTAAATGTTTTGAAACAAGAGGACCGAGAAATTTGAGAATAAAAGATCTTGCGTCTATCAGACAATATCTTACTTCAAAGTTTACAGTTTTACTCCAATTAATTACCGGTTAGAGGGATGCATAGCACCATATATTTTATTGTAATTAGATTATTTATCATCTCTACAATGCTGTATATTTAGGTGCAATTTTTTTAAGGCCCTTCAATTTGTGCATTCATTTCGAGAAAGCATATTGGTTTTGAATTTGACAAAGTTCTCTAGTTTTCATATTAGAATTCAATGTCCTTGAACAGTTTCAACTCATCATGTGATTCTCTTCTTTTCAATAACTTTTTGAAGCTTGGCTGGTCAGCATTATGAGACAAAGGGGCACAACATTTCATGCAAAAAAATCCAAATGGGTAACACCATCATCCGATGCCTACGCCAAACAATCTCAGCCCCACATTGCCCACCGACTGTTTGACCAAATTCTCCAACCTGACCTCGTCTCTTACAAGTTACAACACGCTCATCTCTGCTTGGGTTGTAGTTGGATCGAGGTGATACACAAGTTTGTGGCTTGAGGATAGTTCACACTCACTGATAAAGGGAATTTGTGATTTCTTGGAGGAGATGTTGAAAACTTGAAGACCAAAAAATTGAGATCTTTTTGTTTTTAAAAGATGTGTACAAGAAATTTTTGTATATAATATTATAAGTGTTGCTGGATGTCTATTATAGTCATTAAGGTTTAGGGTATAATTGTCATTAAATTAAAAATTCATTAAGTGTGTTTTCAGAATTATTTAGGCATGTGGAAATAGAATTTCTCAAAATTCTTTGATGGAGCAAGGATCCTCTAGAGTGATTTTTTCCTAAAGTTTTCTAGAGTGCTACATTGTGTGGTTGAGATTTACTGGCAAGTCACATCAATTTTTCTGATGTGACTTGCCAGTAAATCTCAACCACACAATATAGTACTCTAGGAAACTTTAGAGAAATTTCACTCTAGAGGATCCTTGGTGTGAGTGCAATGCCTGCTGATGTTCGGCTATCACGTGGGGGAGTTGTTGGTGGGATTTTATTTTCCCAGATGGTGCAGTGCAGTGTGTGTGGTATATACAATATTTATATATACTTTTGTTTTGTGGAATCCACGCGTGATAGTTGTGTAATTTGAGAAGGTTGGTTGAAGTGGGGCCCGAGTTTTTAGACCCATGGGTTTATTTTTGGTTGCCAATCCGTGGGCTATTTTGGCTGCATTTATTGGTTGCAAGTGGGGCCCGACATTATTACTCATTGTGGGTATTTTGTTGGGCCACCGTTGGTTATTGGCTGTAAGTTTGGTTTCTTTTGGACGTTTTGCATCATTTGGGAGCTTGGGGACTGTGTGGAATTTTGAGTGTTGGTTGATGTGGGCCCGATGCTATATTACTTCGGGGATTTTCATTTGTTGGCCCATGATTTATTATAGTTTTGGGTCGTAATTGGTTCATTTTGAATTTTTTTATGTTTGGGTTCATTAAATTTTGGACAAATTGCATATATTTATATGTTTGGTGAGCCCATATATTTCTGCTCAGCCTCATTGCAGCGGACCTTTTATAGTTGATTTTCTCATGTTGATTAATCATGTGATCCTCATGTGACTCAATACGAGGTTAGTTTTGAGCCATCTCCGCCAAGGGTGATTGAGGGGTCACTGCTATGGGGAACAGTGGTTCGATGACTAGCTGAGTTAGAGACTGGGAGATGAGCGGGAGGATAGCTACTGGTTCCGGTTGCTTCTTGTCTTCATGTGACCCATCATAATTGATCATATTGCCACGTCTGACATGGAGTGAAGGACACACTGCCATGGGGTTTGAGGCTTGTGATCTACCAAGGTAGGGACTGGGGGATATGATGATTGATCACAGGTTATTTTTTGGCTATGTATTGGTTTGTTGCTGTGGGGCTACCGTTGTCGCTACGACTCACAAGACTGTTGCTTATGGTTACTGATCGTGCTAGCTTCATGTGACTCTGTCGGGATTTCTCATGGAGTAGATTTTTTCCTCTGTCATGGCTTTGTTGAGTGGCTAGGATGTCACGGCTGTGAGGAGTGGAATGCTTACTGGATCCCATGTGTTTATCTACAGTAGAGATTGGGCGCGAATGGGGTTGGTTATCATTTTTAATTTGTCTTGAGGGTTGTTGCTTTGTGAGTATGTTTGTTGTGGTTTTTATGTTTTATGGTGTTTGTTTGTATCTTTGTCCATATATCCATCCCAAGTTTCCATCCTATTATTTCTGATGGTAGGGGTTACTTGGGAACAAAAGGATATATGGACAAAGTTGGGTTATTTTGTTTTCTGTTATTCTTGTGTTTCTCCCCCTATCTTAAGGGGTGCAATGGTAGTTTAGGTTGGTTATGTAATCGTTTATTTATTTGTTGTTGGGTGTACCTGGGGTATGCCCCTTGTAAACTTGTATATTTCATTGTCTTTATTTTATGACTTACTTACCCAAAAAAAAAATTCTCAACTCCAAAATGATGAATTTGAATTCCCCTCAATTTACATCCTATTTCCCTTTTCTTTGCTCTAACTTTTCCTCCGAGCTCTAAGGAAGAAGGATTCTCTCTAACTCTCCCCGTCCTTCAAAAAAAAAAAATTATTATGCTAAACATAGCATAAATAAACTAAAAAAACGACAATGCTACGTAGTTCAAATTTTGTGACTCAAAAGTGGCTCAAATGGCCAAAACGACGTCGTTTTGTGTACAGAACAACATAAAAATGATCAAAATGAGGTCGTTTTGACCATTTAAACAATTTTTAAGCCACAAAATTTGAGATACGAGACATTTTTTCTAAAAAAATTATGTTAAACATACTTTCACCAGGTGTGACAACACGGGAACTGTTACCGACCTACGCCAAGTCCATTTTCTTATTAATTTTTTAATTTATTTTATTTTTTTAAAACTAAAATAAAATAAAAATTATGCTAAGCATAGCATAAATAAACTAAAAAAATTATGCTAAACATACTTTCACCAAGTGTGACAACACGGGAACTGTTACCGACCTACGCCAAGTCCATTTAACACGGGATAAAAATCGCGGGTTGAAGAGTGAGAAAAGTTTCTTCTCCGCGTCACAGAAGGATGGGAAGAGAGTAGAGAGAGAGAGAGAAGGGTAGTTTAGCTGCATCTCTGCGTCTGGTACCGGCTATACCCGGTAAAACGGGTCCCAGCATTTTTTTTTTTCTTCAAGTCGCGTCGAATCCCATGTATCGCTAGATTTGTGCCCAGTTTTCTCTCTTTCCATTTCAAAGCCCTCTCTCTCTCTCTCTCTCTCTCTCATTCCAGATTCAACACCGCCCTTTTTCTTTAACCCTAGTACCCACCACGACGACCACCACCACCACCATACCCACGACGACCACCACCACCACCAAGACGAAGACGACGATACCCACGACCACGACCACGACCACGACCACGACAACCATATACAACAACATGATACATTTCCCTTGTTAGGGTTTATTACACAATACACTCATTGATCTGTCTGTCTGTGTATACAATACGTGCTGTTGATCTGTAACCAACTCACCATCGTCGCTCTAAAAACCTCTCTTCTGGCCAGATCTTCCATCCGGTAAGCCCAACTTACCATTGTTCAGTCTGGAGATCATCATTTTAGAGCTGAATTCTGTTAACCATTCCATTATTCTTCAGTAGGACACTAACTGATATTGAACATGTGTATGTTATCATCTTTTTCCTACTTTTATTCTTTTACTTCACTACTCTGCTCTCTTCCTGTCCTTCCTTGCTAGTCCAAGTAAATTTCATATATATCTATATCTATATATGTGTGTTTTGCTGAATTATTGGATGCACTAATATATGGGGTGTGCTTTGTGATTTGTTTTGGCTACTCAATTTTGATAAACAGTTTGCAATCTATGGAAATATTGTTAAAGTAGGTTGCCCATGTTTGGATACATACAGATTTGTTTGGTTACCAAGAAAACTGAGGATATCAACTGAAAGATATCAAACTTAAAAGCTACCTCAATTCTGTTTCAAGATTCTGTCTCCAGAAAACCCGTCAGAGAGAGAGAGAGAGAGAGAGAGAGCACAAGTACTATAATGTTCAATTAGTGCTGAAAAAATATTGATAGTTATTGAACTTATGAAGTTAAAATCTTAAAAACTAATTTCTTAATGGAAAATAATATACAAGCCTATTTTCTATATCCAATGATATGTAAACAAGATGATTGGTTGATGATTAGAGAATAAATGAGAGAGAGAGAGAGAGTTGACTTTATTTTGTTAATAGAGTGCCACAGCATTGGGTTTAGAAAGTCAGTCTAATTTTTGGACATGAATAGCAATACTCTTTCTTAATTAAGGTTAAAAATTTCAATTCGAAATTACCTTTTATTGAGCATATTTAGTATTCAGTGTTAAAGTTTGATCTCTCAGATTTAAGACTATAACCCTGATTGATTAAATTCATAGTGTAATTAGCATGTAATCAAACACTTCTAACCACTAATACTTTCAATTTTTGGTACTTGATTATGTTTTCGAGTGGAAATTATTGTTTTGTGAGCTATAGTGTATCACATCCCAAAAAAGAAAAAAAGTTAGTTATCTCAGATCAAAATGCTTTTGTCATTTTGTCTTTTCATCCATCGAAGAACAAATGGTTCAAGTGTTCCGTTTCTCTATCAATTTTTTTTTTCCCTCTCCTGATTTACACTTGCTTCATTTTAGTTGTTTGTGATATACTCACTCACTCCCATTATTCTGATCCTGATGCTCAGATAAACTGTGTCGTACTTCATGCTTAAATCTTGTTTTCTTTTTCATATAAGAGATGTCTCGGGTAGAGGAATTATGGGAGCGGTTGGTACGTGCTGCACTAAGGAGGGAAAGGACAGGGACTGATGCATATGGGCGACCTGTTAGTGGCATTGCTGGAAATGTTCCATCGTCTCTTGCTAAAAACAGGGACATAGATGCAATTTTAAGAGCTGCAGATGAAATTCAAGATGATGATCCAAATGTCTCTAGAATTTGTATGTCCTTTCCTGGATTATTTCTTTATTTATTAACTTTGTGGACAATTAAGTAGTATTGCTAGTTTTCGGACTTGTTTTTTGCTTTTGTTCTGTTGAAGTTTATTGTCTAAAATAGTGCCTGAAAAGATCGTGGATCTAGTGACTGATTGTGATATGTGTTGGCAAGAGATAGAGAAACGATATTTTGATTGTAATCTTGTTTATAGGTCTACTGGATCCATCATTTTTAGGAGTTAAAAAAGTAGGTAGTGCACAAGGGCTGAGGGTTTCACAAATAAACCTTGTCACAACAACTCATCTTCTTTGTCTTTGAGCATTTCATGCTCCATGGGATTCATGTAGTAAGCTGGTGCATTTGGAGGTATTGCCTCTGGCATAAGATCTATATTATGTTGAACATTTCAGTTGGTGGTAATTCGGCTGCCAGACTCTTAGAATTAAATTTGAGAACTCAAGCAACATTATTATTTTTTGATTAATAACGAAGAAAATTGTATTGAGAAAGTGCTGAGGGATCACACAACCCATATACAACCAAACAAACAGAAAGGGAAATAAAACAACTAAAAAAAAAAAACAATAGACCCATTAAGAAGCATGTGACAAGAACACAAATATGGACATGGGACAACGATTTTGAAAAATATAGGATACATGCATGGTAGAGATATGGCAAAAAAAATATTGTTTATATATTTAATTTAGGGTAAATTACAGTAAACACCCTTCAACTATGACCCACTTGCATTTTACCCCCTGAATATCAAAACTCAATAGTTAATCCCTTCAAAATATTATCTTATTACAGCTAGCCCTTTTGTTAGGAATTAACATAAAATCAGATCATGTATTAAGTACATGACACATTTATTGAATTTTTAGAGCAATAATGCCCTTATTTGGTGATCTTGTTAGCATTTTGCGACTCTGAAGTACAAATGATATCATCAGATAAGAATATTATCATCATAAAAATATCAATAACGAGTATTATTGTTCTAAAAAATCAATAAGTGTTCATGTGCTTCACACATTGCCTCATTTCGTTTAAATCCCTGACAAAATTCTAACGGAAAGTGTTAAGTGTAACAAGATAATACTTTAAAGGGGTTAATTGTTGAGTTTTGAAGTTCAAGGGGCAAAGTACAAATAGGTCATAGTTTAAGGGGGTTTAATATAATTTACCCTTGTTATTTACTATGCATATGATATAAATTTAGGAAATGGACTTATAAGAGGAATCAATGTAGGTGTTTGGGAAGTTGCTATTTTAGTAGGCTATTTTAATTTTTGTCTATTTTAGTAGGTTAAAATTTTTGTGTTTGGGAAGATAGTTGGATTTTTTTGTAGCTGGATGTGATGTCTGTGAGAGAAAAAGTGAAATGATTATGGGTTTGATGTGGCATTTTGTCTTATTGGTTATTTTAGCTTATTTTGTCTTTTTGTGAATTTTGGTCCAAAAAGCCAAAAAATAGCCTTTGCCAAACACCCCCAATGTATATGCGGTTGTATTTCATTTTTATTTTTTATTTTTAACTTTTCCATGCTTTGTTTTCATATAGGCCTTGTTTGGGATAAATTAGAAAAATCAAAAAGTCAAAAAGTTACTAAAAAAACTAAAAAGTCTATACTATTCAAGGGTAGTTTGTGAGGGAAGCCACTAGGGTAAAATTATTATTTTGCCCTTTGAATTCAACTACCCAAAAAGTCAAAAAGTCAAAAGGATAAATGGTCATTTTAATTTTACTACAATATTTTATTACACATCTTTTCGTAAAAAGTTAAAAAGTTATCCTAAACATGCATCTTTTTTTTTCTCTATTTTTTTAACCAAAAAGTCAAAAAGTGCACTTATATAACATATCCCAAACAACTACATAGTTTCTTTCTTTGACCCCAAATCAGCTTTATACATTTATTAAAAAACCTACAAAGGTTTTCTGAGGTGTCTCCCCAACGTGTCCTGCAAAGAAATAATAATTAAAAATTGACACACGGCGTGGCATGTCCAACACATGGAGATGTGTGTTTGCGACGTTTTGGTGTTCGATTTGTGTTGGACACGCACAAAGATGGTCATGGGCATAGACACGACACCCATTTTGGAGTGTCTATGCTCTGTAGCCCTAATACCAAAAGAAAAAAGAAAAGAAAAGAAAAAATCCACACCGAACTACAAATGCTTCATCAATTTCACAAAAGGAGCTTTTTCAGTTTCAGGTATCATTTTCTACATCTCTTTACCGTCTTCACTTCTTATATTGCTTCTTGAACTCTAACATGAAAACAAGAAAAGCACTAACAGGTTTCTTTGTCTTCACTACTCTTCCAAATTGCGACTACTCAATGCTACCCATCCTGTCAACATGCACCATCCCCTCATCTCCCCCCATCAAAGGAAAAGAACCCCAACATTGCTACTTTTGGTGTCATAATCATCACACCTACCTTCATCCCTATCCTTACATTCCTTTCCCTTGCAATTAGAACATATGGATTTTTCTTCTAATTTTGTTAGGACAAAAATTGACTCATAAATTGGATGGTAAGTATTTTGATTAATTGGATATTCTAAACCTAACATTGATTACGTATAAACATAATTTGATTGGTATTACAACTCGTGGACCAAAATTACAATCCATTCGCTCTTAAAACATAAGAAAACATGAATGAAAGTAGCCAACAGGAAACAACTAACTCCGAATTCCGTTAGACCAAAAAATACTCGTGTGGTATTTGGCACAATAGGCATTCTTTTGGGTTTCTGAAAGGCATCCAAAGTGAACATGCCTTTTTCTTTTTAAAATAAGTAAATATCTTGTTTAACCAAACAATTTCTGTTGCACCAAGATTGCTCGACTAATAGTTCATGCCAATTCCCATTGTTCACTCCTCACCCTCTCAACCCTGACCTGATAGGGCTTTGTTGGTCACTACTCATTTGTTGCCGCCTATAAATATCGAACCCCATCTTTAATCATTGACGTCTCCCTTTGTCCAAGGAATTTTCCAAATTGCCAAGCTAAATCTATTTTGGTTGTCCTCTCACCCCTGGAAGGCATGCTGACCTCCACCTGCCTCCCCTAATCCCCGACCTTTTTTTGTTTGCTTCAACTGATCTAGAAGTGCTCAAGACACCAAGAATGAACTAAAATACAATACTGTGGATTTCTGTTAAGTCTTGTCTACTTTATATGTGGTATGAATTCTTGAAGTCAAATGGAAAGTTATATGTTAACATCAAGTATTGGCTACTTACGCTTATAATCGTTAATAGAAGTTATGTTTAATAAGGCATTTTGTGAATGTTGGACAAAATATAAGACCACGTTCATTTCAGTCTAGCAGAATTTGTTTCTATTGTGATTATGTCAATTGGTACCTGATATAGTGATCTAGTTGACGCAAGCAGTAACTGTCAAAAAAGAAATAATTTAAAATCCAAAGCTGAAACATTGAGTGGCCATATGAACTGCATTGTGTCTATGCTACTTGTTGGGGCATTTATTCTTCAATATCTTTGCTGTATTTGATGGAAGTCTTTCAGCTTATCTGAATTTGTTACCCTTTTGTTGCTTCACTGCAGTATGTGAGCATGCTTATTCCTTGTCTCAAAATTTGGATCCTAATAGCGAGGGAAGGGGTGTTTTACAGTTCAAGACTGGTTTGATGTCTGTTATAAAGGTAACTCTTAACTTGCTGAGATGATTGAATATGTCTTGTGCTCTTAATATTTGCATCACGTGACAACAAATGAGAGCAGCATACTGGCATGTGCATTTCTGTGTATGTCTTACAAGATATGTGATCTATAACACTCTTATAAACATCGACAATTGGTGCCTGAGTCATTTGTTTACAAAGGTGCTGGTGCAAATATGTGAATTTCGGTTTGGAGACTTCAGATTTTTCTCATTTTTGGTATGCATTGACATTTAGCACGTGGTATGAGAGTCTTGTAGTGTGGCACTATTTTTTTTGAATATTGTAGTTTGGACTTCAATCATTTCAGATGTCTGGTGCACTTAAATTTTGTTATGTTAATATTTACTTTTATAATTAATGTAAACTACTCCTTTGGCTTTATTGGTGTGAATTGCGATTCTACTTTTCTTCGAGATATCTGTTTGTATATAACATAGTTTGGATGTATTCACGACAAATCTTCCAGCAAAAGCTTGCAAAGAGAGAGGGTGGAACCATAGACAGAAGCCAGGACATTGCTCGCTTACAGGAGTTTTATAAGCATTATAGGGAGAAGCATAATGTAGACAAGTTACGGGAAGAGGAAATGCAGTTGAGGGAGTCGGGTGCTTTCAGTGGCAACCTTGGAGAGTATGTTTCTGAACATGAAAATCTTTATAATGTTTATCTGTATTTTAAATTAGTCATTTCCATTCCAATGTGTTTTTATAGTTTCCTCTTTTATCATCCTTTCTTATGTTTGTTGTGTGTGTTCTCTCTCTTTCTTTTGAAGCTCTATAGTTTTCTTTTCTTTTCAAGTATTCACATTTTGATTCCTTATCTTTTCTTTAGCTGTCTGCGTCCTGTTGAATACACGTTTGGTGCTTCCAGCCTATGAATAATTCTTACTTTGGATGGTAACTAGTAAGGCGTATTAACTATGGAAGACATGTGGAAGGATAATTTATTAAGTTAACTTGTCTTGTTTAGGCTATTTTATTATGTTTTCCTTCTTTGAGGGCAACTTGCAAAACATGCACATAAATAGGTGGGTTCACTTTCTTGTGTTTGTTCTTTTTTGGCATTTATGTTTCAATTTGCACTTCTATAATATTATTTATGGCACATTTCTAGAAATTATGTTTGTTGCTCTTTTCCCCCCTTCCTTTCCCCCACTCCAATGATGTAATTATGTTATACATGGAGCTTTTTGAGTTAGGACAATATTTTGTATATAACATATGGTGACCAAAGTGGCTAAATGCTTACAAAAGGATTTTGCATCCATGATCTCTTTTGCCAGATATTCAATGAAACTATTGTAGATAATTAATTTAAATTTGTTTGTACTTCAATTTTTTTGAAAGTTAAAAAATATAAACTTTTAATCAATTTTGCAACAATACTTCTCTTTTGATAATTGCTATTAGAGATTTGACGCCAAAGGGGCTTGTATAAACAGAAAATATTTGATGCAAAAGGTAGGTTTTCTTTTCCTTCATGGATAATTTGTTATTTTTAGAGGCTCAACGGGACTGGTGGAAAATAGAATTTTGTGATCATTTTGGAATCATAATGGAAACCTAAGCCATGTTTATAGCACCACTATGGTTTTTCGTGCTTTCCATTGAGTTTCTTCTCATTTATATGAAAATACTAAAGCTTGGATTATTATGAGGGGAATGTTGAAGCTCTCACATAGAAGAGTGGAGACACTAATTAAGGGGTTGTTTAGGAAGTGCTAGATTAGTATACTTTTTGAATGGGTTGGGTTTGAAATGATGTGGTAGAGAGGTGAAGTGACTTAAATAAGATGATTGTGACCTAAATTAGCACATGCCAAACAACCACTAAGTATTGTATAATGGTTGGGCTAGGTATAATTATTTGCTTCTATCATCTTAATTGGTTCATTGCTTTTGAATCTTGGAAAAATTCATTTTAGTCAATATGGATTTTGATAAATATGTTTTTATATCCTCTAAAGGAAGACTTCCCATTCAATACTTGGCATTTCTCCTATTGGGTTCCTATTTCTGTAGATCATGCAATATATTGTGTTGGTTTACTTAGCTTTTAGTTGGAGAATTGAAGGAGGAGAATATGGTAATTAGGGATTGTGGAGAAGGGCTTTTCTTGTTTGGTTACTTTTTTGTGTTTGTTTTAAAATAATTTAAAACTTGAAACAAAAATTTGGGAACTATTTTATTCTCTAAAAATTGGACACAAATTTCAAAAATTTCAATGTTTGGGAATCAAATAGGTGTTTCACTTGTTTTTGAAACAAGTTTTCATTTCGCCTTCCCTCCTCACCACCTCCACTCACCAACCACTGCATTTGAGCTCGGCCACCACCACCTTTGGCCAACCCTCGACCTGTTGGCTACCATCTTTACCGTTACCCACCCCTTCGGGAACTCACCAAGAATGCTTTCTTGTTTTTGTTTTTATATATGTTCGAAACATATGCGTGTACGAAAAAAGGTTTTGGGGATAAATTGATAAAGTGGAGTCATGGTTGTTTGTCTATTTGTAATTTATTTGTTGTTGTTAATGGGAAGGCATGCTTTACTTTCAATTCAAGGCCTATTGGACTAGGGCACTTAGATAAGTGCACCCTTTATCTCCATTACTCACTATAGTGGTGGATGTTTTGGCGAGAATGTTTGATAGAGCTAAGGCCTTAGGATTGGTGGATGCCTTTTTAGTTGGGAGGGGTAATATTTTGTATCTCACTTATAGTTTGCAAATAACACCACCCTTTTCTCTTCAGGTGAAGAGATAGAATGGTTAATTTGTTGTTCATATTGAACATTTCTGAGGTGGTTTTTGGACAGGGTGAACAAGAATGAAGGAGCCATTGTGGCTATTATTTTTCCGATGGATACGTCAAATAGGGTTGTTAGTTTGTTAGTTCCCGTGGAGTTTTTGCCAACCAAGTTTTTAGGTTACCTTTAAGAGTTAATCCTAGGAGTGTTGATTCTTGGAGTTTGGTCATGCAAAAATTCAAAAAAGGTTGGAGGGTTGGAAGAGGGATTTGATTTTTAGGGCAGATAGGTATACTTTGGTTCAATGAGTTTGGGCCATTGTTTCAATTTATTTAGTTTATACTTGTTTAAGATTCTAGTGAATATGCTAATTGAATTACAAAAATTGATGAGGGAGTTGACGAGGGCAAAAGGGGTACGATGTTGCTTCTAAAATGCAAAAAGGTGTCTTTCCATTGAAAATGTTATTACTAAAAAAAGGCATTGTTAGGTGAATGGTTTAGGTGATTCTTTATTGAGAGTAATGCTTTATGGCATGTGGTGACTAAGATCAAGTATGGGATCCAATGGTTGGGATTCACATGAGGTGGTTACAGGAAATTCCAGATCTCCATGTGTGGTCCTTTCATTCCTTGAGAGTGTGCTCTTGCAAATAATTTTTCCATGAGATAATTAATAATCCTAATGTTCCTCTTTTCTCTCCACTCTTTAAGTTATTCAGAATACTTGTGTGCTGCTAAAAGTGAGGGTTTTTTTTGTTCCTTCACTCATAACAAGATTAGTACCAATGAGTTGTTTCAAAGAAGGAAACACAATTAATCTTTGCTTCCACAATGTTGTATTTATGTAGAAGGAATGAAGAAAGTATTAACTATCTTTTTTATGTTGTCTTGTAGTTTTATCATTATGGTGTAAATTGTTTCATTTGGTGGATGTGGAGTGGGGGCTCCTCCCTCTGGTTACATATGGTTTTGATTGATTATAAGGGTCCCGGTACGGATGAGAAAGTTTAAGTTCTTTAGGATTGTCACTTTTGCGATATTTTGGGAGACTTGGTTGGAAATGAATGCTTGCTTTTTTGAAGACAAATTTGAGGACTTAGAGGGGATGGGATATGGGATAGGATTTGTCATGTATCTTTCTTTTGGGTTTCAGTTTCTTCCCCTTTTGAGGGGTTTCTTTCTTCTTGATTACTAAGGATTTAGAAGGTGGTGTGTGATATGTAGTTTTTTTTTTTATTTGCTTCTTTTTGTATTTTCTTCCCCTCCTTTTTTCCCCCCCTTTATTTATTAGTAACATTTCAAAATTTGAAATGAATATATTCGTAAAATGGTAGGAGTAGCATCAATTGAAGATAAGTTGAGAAAGAACAAGTTAAGATGGATTGGTCATGTACATTGAAGACTTGTAGGTGCAACGGTTAGAAAGGTGATATGATCACCATAAATAATAATGTTAAGAGGGGGAAGACCTAAATTGATGACATGGGATGTGGTAGTTAAAAATGATATGAATTTACGTAATTTAATTGAGCATATATAGTCATTGACAGAGCGGAATCGAGAAAAAGATTCATGTGGCTGGCCCCAATTTGGGATACAAGACTTAGTTTGGTTTGGTATTTATTTATTGATAAAATTTGTTCGTTGTCAATAAAAAGAGAAAACATGAATCTGGGAATGTTACCAAACGCTACCTAAGTATTTTGGTTTTTGTTTTTATTTTTGTATTTTTGGGCCATTATTTTGATGAAGTAGAAAATTTATTAAAAGCAAAGGGAGGAGAAGAAGTACAAAAAAAAAAAAATAAAAAAAAATGCATGTCACATATAGCATGCCAATCTCTCGAAACTAGAAACCTAGGAATACTGTTAAATGATGGGGAAACCAAAGCCCAAAAAGAAGACAAACTAACAATTTTGTCTCATATCCTTCCAAAATCTTCACACTTGCCTTCAAAAAATCCTTGCGTTCCTTTCCAACCAAAAAACCCAAACCAAAAAATAGAATCCAAAGCAAAACACAACATACACATCTCCAAAGTACATTAAATCCAAAGCCCTTAGACAATCAAGAACATTTAAAGTCAAGATCCAGAGCCACCCAGTCCATTTCCACCTGCTGAAGCAACTTATTCTATAAAGCCATAGTCATAGGACAACTCAAAAATAAATCGCCTATTGCTCATCTCGTATATTTGTATTTCTAGTGTACAATAAATTGTGCTAAAGATATTTCTCAATGAGGGACTTGTTCAGAGGTTTTAGGGTATTACTTTGCAAAGATGGCGATAAAATTGAGTATACGATTTTCCTCTGCAAGATTTAACTTAATAGGATATGCATTTGTTATTGAGGGATAAAAGGAAAATGAATCAATAGCATCTATGTGAAGGCTGGACCTGTCATCAATTGATCTTGCCGGTTGCATTATTGTATTGCTTGCTCCATCTTGGGCCCCCCCCCCCACCAATCCATTCATATGAAATTTTAAGCCTTGAAGGAAGTTAGTTCTGTATGCCTTGGGGTAGAGGGGGCACCTTTTGGAAAGTGCTACTTCGTCTTGAAAGGCAATTTGGAGGTAGGAGTTGTGTCATAGGTGTTACTTCATTGTGGTGCACTTGTACATACAATTTTATGTTGTCTTGTCCTAGGACATTTGTAAGCAAGTGATCCTCTATTTTCTAGCCTTGTGCTGCAAAACAGTAGGCTTGTTTGTTCTGCTATGCTTATTTCTCATAGAACATTTTTTTTTTTTTATCTTTTTTCTTAAGTTCTTATAATTTATGAAAAAAAAGGGGGGGAAAAATAAATAGAGATGTTCTAATTGTACACAAAAATTGAACGGGAGATTCAGACACATTTTTGGATTCTTGAGAAGTAAACTTTATAAAATTTTCATATCACTTGTGTGGATAGGATTTTGTGCACTCCAGGATTGGTAATTTTGCTTAGTTGACGTCTAATGTTTTGTCCAATTAGATTGGAGCGTAAAACTGTGAAAAGGAAAAGAGTTTTTGCAACTCTAAAAGTTTTAGGGACAGTACTGGAAGAGCTGACTAAGGAGGTTTCTCCCGAAGATGCAGAAAGATTAATTTCTGAAGAGGTATGATCTCTAATTCTCATATATATATATATATATATTGTACTCTACTAGAATTATTTGCTTAAATTAAGCAGTTATCCACACACTGACAACATTATTTGGTAATCGAATTGAAGCTTTCATTTCCCCCCTGTTTTTTTGAACTTAAGAGATTATAAACCGTTCAAGCTCAATAAAAATAATGAATCCTACACTGAAATGAAAGTTGTGAAGCATGAACCTTTGAGCACGTTTTTAGTTAAAGTTCACGTCATGGTGTTGGTGTTGGTGATACGACCTTATGTAGGTTAAAATAATGAATCCTACACTGAAATGAAAGTTGTGAAGCATGAACCTTTGAGCATGTTTTTAGTTAAAGTTCACGTCATGGTGTTGGTGTTGGTGATACGACCTTATGTAGGTTAAAATATTATATTGTGCGGATAGTGAAACAAATGTTTTATAATACCAAATCAAACTAACACTTGAATCCCAATCAAGTGGGTTTGGCCATATGAATCCTTTTTCACCATTCTTTTATGCTAATGGCTATATGTTCAATTAAATTAGTAAACTCATATATTTTCTTACTATATCTCACATGAGTTTAGGTTTTCCCTTCTCTTTAACATTTTCATTTATAGTGATCATATCACTTTTCCTTACTCTGCATCTTCAAGTTTTTGTCGCGCATGACCAAACCAACTTCTTTCTCAACTTATCTTCAACTGATGCTACTCCTACCATTTCTAGTTTTGTGTTTCCTAGTCTTACCGCACATTCATCTAAACAAGCTTATCTCAACTACTCTTATTTTATGAACATGTAATTTCTTAGTTCTATAAAGTTTTCATTTCAATTTTGTTGGTACTAGACTATCACGTAGTATGTCAGATGCACTTTTCAACTTGAGCCAACCTACTTTGATTCTATAGATCACATCATCTTCAACCTCTATCCTTTTTAATAATTGAACCTAGGTAATGAAAATATTAACTTTTATGGTATGAAATAGAACTACTAAATACTAATATATTCTTCTTCTTCTTATTTAGCTGAAACGGGTAATGGAATCAGATGCAGCTATGACAGAAGATCTAATTGCTTATAACATTATTCCATTGGATGCCCCTACTATAACAAATGCTGTTGTGTCTTTGCCTGAGGTGAGTTGATTTTGTTCTTCTCATTTCAAATTCTTGTTTTATTGTTAGTGGTAATCCTTTCCATTGGAATTTATCTTCAGGTCCGAGCTTCAGTTTCAGCCTTAAAGTACTTTAGAGGCCTACCCAAATTGCCGGGGAATTTTCCTGTACCTGCTACAAGGAGTGCTGATATGCTTGATTTCCTGCAGTATGTTTTTGGATTTCAGGTTCGTATTTCATACTTGTTTGGTATTTGAAATTGTTTTGTTATCTGGTTTTATGTTGAAATTTTCGGACACTCAAATTTTTTATCTGGTATCTGGGTTATTGAAATTTCAAAATCTGAAATGGCTTGCTAATTTCCAAAGGCTGGCCTTTCTGTCTAGCCTTTTTTTCTTTTTTCTTTTTCCCCTTTGACTGTGAAATGTTCTGTAGTGGTTAAGCATCCTCTAAAGATGTCTTATGTATGCCTTTGCTTGTTTTGTTTTTGGGAAATTGCAAAATGCCTTCTCTTCCGCCTTAAAATTTTTGCTTTTTAAGTTTTTCTTCGTATCCATTGTATGAAAGTTTTCATACATAAACAATTTTCAGGGTGTAGTTAGTGCCTCTCATAATCGTGATCGGCTTATTTTTGACGTCGTCATTTGTGGGATTTTTGGCTTCCTTGTAATCCTTTGTATTTCTGTGCCCTTTTCTCTAATAAAATTCTATTGCTGGCCAAAAAATAAAAAAAGGACTTGAAAGAATTAGCAAACAGTTATGTGCTCTTTTCCGAGGATCATGATTTTGATCTCTGGGGTAATGATTGTCTAGCATACTGTGGGTACTTGTATCAAGCCTAATACGTGGCAAGCCCTACGGGTGCCATACCACCAAAGCCCCTCTTGTGTAGCTGACCGATAAGGCACCGCTCGAGCATATCACATGTCTGATACATGGCAAGCCCTACGGGCGCCATGTCACCAATACCCGCCTGCATGGTAGACCTCCAATTCATCATGCAAAACCAAGACTATATGCTTAGCCTGCGCGGGAGCATACACACAAACCCAAGTATGAAGAGCCCTACAACAGGCAACGCCATGGCTCCCACAAAGCCCATGCTCTCTCCTAGACATTGAGATGGGCCCCTGACCCATTCACCTACTTGGTTGCCTGGGTTGGGAGCATGACTTAAGTATCACCGCTCGGGATCATCAGAGTATATTGGACTGGCGGCTGAGGTCACGGGATTGTCAAGATGGTTAGTCTTCTTTCTAAGACAATTCCATCTTGACCAAGCTTGGAGAAGAGGCAACAACGACCTTACACTCACACCACCTGATGCATATATGATATGTTGCTCTCTCGCCTGCCATCAAACCACAGACGGCAGTAGGGCTTATATCACTTCTGGTAGAGTTAGGGAGAACGAGCCACCTGTCCAATAAGTTGCTAGGGCTCCAATACTCCGGGGGCCTATATAGCGGCCCTGTTTGGTAGTGCTTATTTCCAGCTTATTTCAGTTTTTAGCTTAATTTAAGCTATTTTGATGTGTTTGGTTCAGCTTAACAACACAACTTATAGCTTTTTGTAAGTCAAAAATCAACTTATTCTTTGAGTGGGAGAGGAGAAGCTTAATTTATACGTCAAAAATCAGCTTATGTTCACAGCTATAAGCTATAAGCTGTCAGGCTATAAGTTATAATCACTTTCCCACAGCTCTACCAAACGGGGCCAGCGTATCATATATGCACCAGGCAAAACTCACTTCACCACAACACAACTCCATAACTCATACAGATTCACAACACACAAGTCTAACACTTGGACACTCATACTCACACTTGAATACACACTTAAACACTAATGTTCAAGGTCCATCACTGCCAACCTCTCCCTCTCCCTCTCCCTCTCCAAGCTTGCCTTGGCTTCCTTCTCTCAATACTCCGGGGGCCTATATAGCGGCCCTGTTTGGTAGTGCTTATTTCCAGCTTATTTCAGTTTTTAGCTTAATTTAAGCTATTTTGATGTGTTTGGTTCAGCTTAACAACACAACTTATAGCTTTTTGTAAGTCAAAAATCAACTTATTCTTTGAGTGGGAGAGGAGAAGCTTAATTTATAAGTCAAAAATCAGCTTATGTTCACAGCTATAAGCTATAAGCTGTCAGGTTATAAGTTATAATCACTTTCCCACAGCTCTACCAAACGGGGCCAGCGTATCATATATGCACCAGGCAAAACTCATTTCACCACAACACAACTCCATAACTCATACAGATTCACAACACACCAGTCTTACACTTGGACACTCATACTCACACTTGAATACACACTTAAACACTAATGTTCAAGGTCCATCACTGCTAACCTCTCCCTCTCCAAGCTTGCCTTGGCTTCCTTCTCTCCACCTCTGGTGATCTTAGGCCATTGAAGTGCCCGCCATTTTCCCTGAGGTCAACGACCGACTACCTCTAACCACACCCCTCATCCACACATACTAAAGTGAAAGTTTTTAATGAGCTGATTGTTATGGAATGACAATGATGGCTGAAGGGAGGGGAGGTTAAAAGGTTGGATGGTGATAATTCCATGAGTCAACATGAACATCTTCCTTGCAAACTGAATTAAGAATGTTTTCTTAATTTGTTTATCATCTTAAAGGGTTACAAAGGCTTATTGTTGCCTGTTTGGGAAAGTGAAATACCAAAGTATATTTGAGCTGAATGGAAGCGAGCTAGCAACTGGATTTTATATGAAATGTTTACGAGTTGTTTGGTTTTATGTGAAAGCAGGTGCTATATGGCTCTTGTTGGGAAGTTCTAAAGGGAAAGAAATTTAAAGGAAGAACATAGTTGCAACTTTTTTGCTCTTAAGATTGTTGTAGAAATTCTAATATAATATTATTGATTAGTTGGGTGAGGATCTGGTACTTAGTTTTAGTTAAAGTTGTTTCATCTAAAATTGGAAGGGTCAATAGATCCTCAATACTATCGTAACTAATAATCGGTTGGATTGTCTAGGGGTAATCTTGAAGACTATTCTATTTTCTGACATATTAGGTATATGTGTAGGCTTTATCTAATGTTTAAATTAATGTAAATCTTTGAAAGTTCCCTTACCTTATATTTTGATTGCCGCTTCTAATTCCCATTTTTGTTAAAGGTCTAAAATATGTGCTTTGATGGTATAGAGTTGGTATGCTTGAGAGACTAATCCATCATCTAGCATGGTAGGTCTCTATTAACTTATGTTATCTGATACCAGGAAAAAGTACTTGATAGAAAATATATTTTGCAACCTTTGAACATCTTTGAAAATTTGAAATCCTTATTCAAATATAAGGGAAAAAATTATGAAAAATGAATGTGACCTTTTATCTAGATATCCTTGAGCTATGAAGCACATACACTTCAAAATAGGCGTTGTAGCGGTGTCGGACATGGGGACATGTATGGGACATGCCAAATGGCATGTCCCTTTAATTTTATTATTTTTTTTTTGAAGGGGACATGCCGGGGACTTGCCAAATGGAGTGTCCCTTTAATTTTTATTATTATTATTATTATTTTTTTTTTGCAAGGGACACACAGGGGACACGTGTTCAAATATGGATAATCTATTGATTTGTTCAAATGTAGTGGTCTTTATATATATATTGAATTAATGCTAGTTTTTATTAATTTTGATTTTTTGGTAACATAATATTAGTCTATATAGCAAATATATATAATAAAATAATATTAATTTGCCGTGTCCCCATTTTTTTTGAAATCCCCGTGTCTCTTGTGCGTGTCCATGATTCATAGTCCTTGAGTGCTTCTTGTTTATTATAATATTTTCCACATCAAAGCTTGTGGGGGTGCTTTGGAAGAGGCTAAAATGCTAAAAAGTCACTAAAAAGGTCAAACAACCACTATAAAAGTTATTCCTTTCTATTCTCTTTACTTTTTTGCACGCCTTTCTGTAAAAAGCCAAAAAATCCTTCCCAATCACTTCAATTTTTCAGCTCATATTTTAGCCAAAAAATCAAAAAGGTACTTCCTTAACAAACCTTGAGTGTACATTCATATATTATACTTAACTTTTTTTTGAAAAATATCGTTTGCGTTTTTGATGGCTTTAATTTTCTTATGAATGTATTTTTCGTAGTTATGTGGTTTGAATTTAGTTTTTTACTAGATCTAGAAGTTCATATCCAAAGGTGGTGGCTATTAAGGTTGCCAATGAACTTGAGTCACTAGCTAGGAAGCATGGGTGCTTGTGCAGGTGCAGGTACATTATAGGTATGCTAATATGTCAAAACCAAAAAAAAGTAGGGTACATGCACGAGTTGGTTCGTCTACAAATGTTTTTTTGATAATTTTTACTAGTACATGATATACAATAATTAAAGAGTAAATTACATTGACCTCCTTGAGGTTTGGAAAAAATACAAGAAGCCCCACCGTTTCGACATAATGACATCAAGTTACCTTGATTTGTTAATTTATATAACTCTTAGCCTCCTTTTCATCTACAATTTGTTAGCCAAATGGACAGAAAAATGGTGTCATCTCTTACATTGAAATGCATATTTTTTTTCTTGTTTATTCGTGTGTCTGTACAACATTGCATTAGTTTCGGTGCATTTGACTTTACTAAAAGGGAGATTAGTGTAATTATTTATGTTAAAACTGTGGGGCTTGCTGTATTTAAATAGGATCTATGACAATTAAAAGATCAAGTGTAAAAAATAATTAGAGTGTTTTTGTAACTGTCAAAAAAAGAATTAAGTATTTTTATATTTTTGATAATTGTAAAAATACCTTATATTTTTAGAATTTATAAAATAGGCACAATATAATTATTCTAGTATCATTTTTTAAAAAATTTACATTTATGCCCCAAAGTACCCATAAAAGCACCCAACCCGCTGAGATGTACCCGTCTTGTACCCAAGGTATTTCACATGCCCAATATGCATGCAGTTGTACCAGTATGTGTACCCGTGCCGAGTAAGTACCTGGTACTCATACAACAATATTTTTTGAGTACCCATGCTTCATAGGTCACTAGTGGGGGAACTCTCATTGGCTATTAGATGTAAGAATTTTGATTGTAGTGAGTAGCAGTTATCGGGAGCTTATGGTCCTAATTGTCTTAAGAGTTTCTTAGTGGGAGAAATTTGTTGGCCTACATGAGTTGTGCTCTCCCAACATGTGTGTTTGGGTTAGGCAGTTTCAGAGAAGCTTAATAGGGATAGGGTTACTCAAAGTGTCAGAGACTTGATGAGTTCATTAAGGAGATTGAAGTGAATTTTTGCTGAAGTGAAAAACATTGCAGAGAGGCTGCTGGGAAATGAATCAACGTGCAAGTGCTGTAAACCAAGATTGTATGGTGGTGAGGTCTCCAAGTATTGAATAATTTTACAAGCCAAGAAGTGTCTTTTCCAGAATTTTTCTCATATTTATATTTATATATAGGATGAATTTTGCTACATCCCCCCATTTCATCGCCCCCAATTGCACCTCTAATGAGATGTCAAACAATTTTGAAAGAAGAAAGAGGAGTTTGAAGAGAGTTGATTGGTCGGTATTTGTTTACTACATCATTGGGGGGAGTGTGGGGGAGGAAAAATTGGGGGGATGGGGCATTTCTCATATGGGACATTACATCTTAGTTGTCACTTAATGTTATTATATTCACAAGATAGCTTCAACATTAAGTATATTAAATTACGAGGCACATAGTCAATAGTCTACTACTTGGTTAACCATATTAATTACTATGAAAGGTACCAAAAAGGTGGTACAGCACACTACTTTCTAACTTCTCAATTGACTGATTACCAAAATATGCTCTGTTTATTCAAGTAAAAATCTATCCTTATCACTAACTAATTTTTGATTACCAATTGCATCATACTCACCTGGTTGTGGAAAAACACGTCCTCTAGTTTTGCTTTGGTATTTGAGGTTTGGTTTAAATTTCAGTTTTCGACCAATTCATGGTTTCACCTTTTGACGCATTCCAAAATCTGGATGTGTAAGAGCTAGCAGAGAAGCTGCAAAACATATTTGAATCACCTCTTGACATGAGCACAATCACAACTTATCACTTCAAATAATCTTCCATATTCAAGAGCACTAAAATCATTTGACTTAAGATTTTCTTTTTTTGGGTGAATATGAAAGATTTTCTTCATCACATACATTTTAAAAAATTCCAATAGGAATGGGTCATCATGATACTTGAGTGATGAACTTGGTGAGTACAACAGAGAACCACCAATCATTTCATTTTTAATAAATTTAGTTGTTCTAAATTCTGCAATTGTTTTGCCATTGGATTCAGCATGTAGCACAAAGTTTAATGACTCAATAGTCACCTAGTTGTGACAATAACATTTAACAGTGATTAGATGACCATTCCTGGGGCTCGTATTTGTCATATTTAAGAGGTTGATTCCAATCAACTTCCTTAAAGGAGATAATTTTTTGCCCAAGATTCTCTCTTCCAAATTCATTTCAAGAACTTGAGTGTCATCCTTGATCTTTTCATGTGGTCATAGTTCCTCCAACGTTTTCGTTGCTGACTATGGGTACTTGTATCACGCCTCATATGTGGCAATCCCTACGAGTGCCACATCATTAATGCCCTACCCGTGTGGTAGACCAACAAGGCACTACGCCGACGTATCACACCTAATACATGTCGAGCCCTATGAGCGCTGTGTCAATAATACCTCGTCTGCATGGCAGACCGACAAGGTATCATGTAGCACCGATTGCATGCTTAGCCTAAGTGGGAGCACACACAAGTCCAAGTATGAAGAGCCTTGCAACAGACAACAACATGGCCCTGTATGCCCATGGTCTTTCATTCCTCACTCACTTCCAGCCCAATAGCATTATAGTCAGGCCCCCAGCTTGCTTGCATGTGTTGGAATGTTAATGATGAGCCCTCGGCTCTCCCAAACATTGAGATAGGCCTTTGGCCCACTCATCCACTCAATTGCCTGGGTCGGGAGTAGGGGAGATGCTTAATTTATAAGTCAGAAATCAGCTTATGTTCATAATTATAAGCTATAAGCTGTTTAGGCATAAGCTATAAGCACTTTTCCACAGCTCTACCAAACAGGGCCATGGCCCTGTATGCCCATGGTCTTTCATTCCTCACTCACTTCTAGCCCAATAGCATTATAGTCAGGCCCCCAGCCTGCTTGCATGTGTTGAAATGTTAATGATGAGCCCTTGGCTCTCCCAAACATTGAGATAGGCCTTTGGCCCACTCATCCACTCAATTGCCTGGGTCGGGAGTAGGATCCAGGCATCACTACTTGGGATCATTAGAGGATCTTGGACTAAAGGTTGAGGTCATGGGTCGTCAAGATGGTTGTCTTCTTGTTAAGACCGTTTCACCTTGATTAGGCATGGGGAAGAGGTGATGGGGACCTTACACTCATTGCTTGATGCATACATGATATGTTGCTCTCCTGCCTGCCATTAAACCACAGACGGCAGCAGGGCTTATATTAGCTTTCGATAAAGTTGGGAAGAATGAGCCACTTGTCCAATGGGTTGCTTGGGCTCCAATACTCCGGGAGCCTATATAACATATCACATATGCAGTATGGTGGCATAATGCTGGATGTCATGGGTGGGAGGGTTTTAAAGTCATGAGAAAATTGAAGATGATTAAAGAGGATGTGAAGAGCTGGAATATGGAGATTTTTGGGAACTTGGAGGCTTCAAAATCTTAGGTTGAGCATAGGATTGAGGAAATTGATGGAAAGGAAATGCAAGGGGAGATGGATGGGTCAATGAGGAGAGAAAGAAATGAGCTAAGATTGAAGTTGGAAAAGCTGATTTTTAGGGAGCAGATTTTTTGGCCTAAAAGGCAAAGGTGGAGTGGTTAAAAGAGGGGGATATCATTTCAATTTTTTTTTACAAGATGGCAGATGGGAAAAGGAAGAAGTTTATCAAAAGATTGGAGGTTAGCCCCGGGGTAGTGAAGGAAAGGAAAGATCATATAGTCAAGGGGATTTTTGATTTTTATTCTAAGCTGTATTCATAGGATGAGTTGGTTAGACCGGGGATAGAAGGACTGAGTGAGTATCTATTGATCAAGCAAGTGCAAGTTGGTTAGAAAGACCTTTTGAGGAATTGGAGATTAGAGAAGTGCTATTTGATTGTGAAAGAGATGAAGCTCCAAGTCTGGATGGTTTCTCCATGGCTATCTTTCAAGATTGTTGGGAGGTGGTGACAAATGATTTGTTTAGAGTTTTATGGAATTTCATGATACGGGAGTGGTTAACTTGTGCTCATATACCACTTTGAAGCTGCTTCTTATTCTCATCGTATTGCTAGCAAGCCTAAGTCACACAAGCACATAACATATAACATGAATGCATGAATAGTAGAATATACATGATGCATGAATGGTTTGGTTGTCACAGTAATTTATGTATTTAATGGTTAAATTGAAGGCTAATTGGTAGGAGAAGGGATTATGATTGATTTGGAAGTGGTTAAATAGGGTTTTGGCCACCGATTGCCTTCCTTAGGGTTTAGTCCCAAGGAGATCATGAGTTCAATTCCCCTTAGGGGGTTAAATTAAGGGAGTGCAAGCACTTAGGTGCTTTGCCAAGGTTGCGGAGATTTTCTCCCATAGGTGCTAATCTAATAACTAACATTTGCTGATCAAAAAAAGAAAAAAAAGGGTTTTGGGGCTGAAAAGTGTACTTTTAGTGGACTGTGAGTAGTAATCCAAGAATAGTATCTTGGGTATGTGCGCAAAGAAGAAGAGAGATAAGTAGAAGAAGAAGAGAGAGAAAGAGGTGCTTCACCCTCGCAGGGGTTAGGCCAATCACACACAAACACAATATCAAATTCTCATAATATCAACTTTTCTATTGAATCATTGGGATTACACATATATTTATAGGTTAAAGACTTTCGTATTTCTATAAAGACTTACTCAAATTTAGAAGCTAAGAATATTTGAAAGTTACTAATACTCTGGACCAACTAGGACTCTAAACATGATTCAAATAACATTACTTGACCCGCAAGACGACCCATGGACTATGACTACTAATTGTGTCTAGCAATTATTGAATTTACCATAATACCCATAAGTACTAAAACATACTATAATAATATAAATATGTCTAGCAACATAATAAATTATAATAAATACAAATAAAGAATCAAAATGATTTCGAAACTTCAATCCTTATGTTTCATATGAAATTTCAGATTTGCCCTTTTTCTTATTTGTTTGAGTTGGTACTGCTGATGAATCTTTTTTTTGGGGTAGAATAATAATGTTGTAGCTTGTTCTTGTATAGGTAGATATATAAGGTGTTTTTACACCATGTTCTGGAGGGAATTTCTTCAGTTGGTATAATGTTTACTGGGTTTTGTTGGCTTCCTTTTTTTTTCCCCCCCTGGTCTTATCTTTTTGGTGGCTTATGGTGCCTTGGTCTTCCTCCCCTTTTTCTTCAATAACTGCCTCTTATGATGAGGAAAAAGTGCTGAAGCATCAACAAACATAACTTGTTTTAGTAATCTCTAAAATTTATGCTTCATGTCCTCTGGTTCTAGTTATTTGTTTACACAACTCTTCAATATTTTGACAAGCCTTTGACAAAACAATTATGTTTTTAATTTATTGATCTCACAGTTCAAATTTAATTTTTTTTTTCGGCAGAAAGACAATGTTTCTAACCAGCGGGAACACATAGTTCTCCTCCTTGCAAATCAACAAACTCGGCTTGGGATTCCTGATGAGCTTGAACCGGTATGCCTTAGATGCCATTCTTAAATTATTAAATTAAATTTCAATTTGTGTAGTTATGATCATCACTTTTTCCATTAAATTTGTAAGTTAAACATGGTTGATAGTATGATGCTTGAAGGAAGACTCTGGACATTTGTTCCGCCTTTATTGAGATCTCTTTGTTATTGATTTCATTCTATTGAGGCTGGAAATCATTTTGGGAACTATGGAGCTGCTATTCTATTTAAAGAATGCACTTGCTGACTGTATTTTGGGTTTTTTGTATGCCTCTATATTTACTTTATGATTTTATTCCTACTTATGTGTCAGGGTGTTGAAATCTCGCAATTGTCAGGGCCTCACGCACTATCTAATGATTGGATTTCCATATTAGAGTTGTCAAATAACTTGCTTTGTTCTCCCTTTATTATTTATTTTTTATTTTTTTTGATTTTTCAAATTTTAATGTGGTGAGGACACCATTACCTTTTTCATAGTATATGTTTTGTTGTATGTACTACTTGAATCTTTATTTCCATTTTATATAACTGTCCGTAATCCTTTCTATGATGCCCTATGTTTGTTGAGAATTCATGACATTCGTATTTAATATATAGATATATACTACTAAATACATCTCTGAAAATGGGGCATTACTTGATGCAATGGATAAAGCGTGGGTTGCCAGTGCAAGATAATGCTAGATTTGTGAAGTCTATGTTTTCTAGCTCCCTCTTTTAATTGGGATAAAGAATGGGTAATGGCCATTTTGTGTTGGGACATTTTGTATTAAAAAAGGAGAATTTGTAGTTAATTATGTACCCCACTGTTATATATTTTATGCCATTGTGTAATGTTGTTTCTCTTCATTTTTATACTTAGTGTTATGTGTGAGTATGTTTGTGCTTGTATTAGGTACTTTGAAAATATTGTTACATGCATCTTAGTAGCAGGAAACTCGTAGTTGGGTGACATTTCTTACTCAAGAATGTGATTCTGCACTCCCAAGTAAGAAACATGTAAGAAACTCGCTCCCATCGAGGAATAAACTCACTCCCAACTGAGATATAACATCTCAAACATACGATTCTCAAAGAAATAAAAAAAAAAACAACCAAAACTTATTCTAGTACTTTCTCTATGTTATCAGAATCTTACGATTTGCTATTTAGTTCGTGATTTATCAAAAATCGACAGGAATCTATGGGTAAATCTATTTTGAAATAGAATCTACAGTGAATTTCATGATTCACATTTGGTTCACGTTTTGATTTACTTTTTACGATTCATGTAATTCTTAAAACTATCGTGGCCGATGGATTATGACTCTTTTTTACTTATTTTTTTATTATTGTAAAAATGACATAATACAACTTCAAAAGTGCCTATTATGAAAATAACCACGACCTATACGTAATTTGTTGTTATTTTGGTGATTAAGAAGTTTTTAATAGGATTCCAAGAGATCCCGTCAGATCTGACATGTTCTTTATATATATATTTTTTCTCATTTTTTTCTTTCAAAAATGTCTTAATACATTTTCTAAAGATGTTAAGGTTAAAGTAACTTACCCTCATGAATTTTTTATTGCTATTTTGGTGCTTAAATGTTACTTCCTTCCAAGTTAACTGGGTTGATGACACCAGTAAATCTTAACTTCATCTGTATGCCAATTATTCTACTATCTCAGTGACAAGGGATTAGTGATTATAATTTCACTGCATGCTTTTGGAAATCACGTTGAACAAGTGTTACAAATTCCTTTTGACCTTTTCATCTTCTCTCATTCCATGCTTTGTTTTACTATCTTATTAAATAATGGTAGATTCATGTTGGTCGGTCATAAAACTCAAACAATTGAAGAATATTTTGAAAATTTATGTAAGTTTTACCTTTCTTAGCAAATGAATGGTGATTTTTGAATCATATATTTTTTCAATAACATTGGTTATTCTGTTTCCTTTAATCAACATGACAATGTCCAGAAGCTTTATGGTAGATGTGTGAAGTGATTGATTAAGGCTTTTTTAGGATCATTACACATTATCTAGTCTCATTGCACAATTGAGATCATGTGTTGTTATTTGCTGATTTTAAAAAAAAAAAATATGTTGTTATTTCCTACAGAAATTGGATGAGGCTGCTGTGCAGAAAGTATTTCTGAAGTCGCTTGATAACTACATTAAGTGGTGTGACTATTTGAGCATTCAACCAGTATGGACTGTGTAAGGAACTTCTATCTTGTGCAATTGTCTTTGTGGTGCTTAAAGGGGATATATGTATATAGCATTGTACTTGTGTGCTCATTCCAGATGGTCATCAGGCCACGCAATTTTGACAATCTGATTGGTTTCTGTGCAGTTTGGAAGATGTTATCAAGGAGAAGAAGTTGCTGTTTGTTTCTTTGTATTTTCTCATTTGGGGTGAAGCCGCCAACATTAGATTTCTTCCAGAATGCTTGTGCTACATATTTCATCATGTAGGCCATCTTGTTATGGATTATATTGTTTCTTGTCTTGTTAATAATAAAATATGTGGTTCTTTTAATTTAGAATTCTTCGCATTCTTGATTGGATGCTTAGACTTCTGTAGTCAAATTCATTTTGTTAAATGTGCATTTTGTTTGACTTGTAGCATGGTTTTTGTTGTCTTCTTGAATGCTTATTTACTTTTGAAAGATGAATTGTATACACAGATGGTAAGGGAACTGGATGAAATATTACGGCAGCAGATTGCACAGCCAGCCAACAGTTGCAAAACTGAGAATGGTGTGTCATTCCTTGATCAAATTATATGCCCTCTTTATGAGGTGGTCGCTGCGGTATGCTTTTGGTTACTATCTAATTTAATTTTATATTTTCTTTATCTGACAGTTACTTATCAATAAACTGATCTAGTTAGTTGGATTTGAGATCTCTGTTATTTAATATTGAAACTGGGATTTGGTTACGACAGTCATCTTTACATTCTGTTGCGCAGGCCATAATTTCTTTCGATATGAGTTTTATTTATTTTCTTAGTATGCGCCTTCGTGGATCTCATTGGAATATGAGTTCTTGTGGTTTTGTTTATAGTTTTTATCTGGCTCTCTTTTCAAAATTGTGTTTTTCTTCTATCTCTCTCACTGTATTTTTTTTTTTTTCGTGGTGGGGGAGTTGTTGGTTTGTTGTGGCTTTTAATTTTACTTTCATGAAAAATCAATATAGATGTAGCATAGCTTCTTGATCAGATCTTTACCTTGGATGTAGCTCTACTATGGCAAACCTCAAATTTTGTTATGTTTTGTGCTTTCTTTTTTGTTCTATTGAGAATGGTGTGTCATTCCTTGATCAAATTATATGCCCTCTTTATGAGGTGGTCGCTGCGGTATGCTTTTGGTTACTATCTAATTTAATTTTATATTTTCTTTATCTGACAGTTACTTATCAATAAACTGATCTAGTTAGTTGGATTTGAGATCTCTGTTATTTAATATTGAAACTGGGATTTGGTTACGACAGTCATCTTTACATTCTGTTGCGCAGGCCATAATTTCTTTCGATATGAGTTTTATTTATTTTTTTAGTATGCGCCTTCGTGGATCTCATTGGAATATGAGTTCTTGTGGTTTTGTTTATAGTTTTTATCTGGCTCTGTTTTCAAAATTGTGTTTTTCTTCTATCTCTCTCACTGTATTTTTTTTTTTTCGTGGTGGGGGAGTTGTTGGTTTGATGTGGCTTTTAATTTTACTTTCATGAAAAATCAATATAGATGTAGCAAAGCTTCTTGATCAGATCTTTACCTTGGATGTAGCTCTACTATGGCAAACCTCAAATTTTGTTATGTTTTGTGCTTTCTTTTTTGTTTTATCCCTCACTTTAGTCTTGCTTGCAAAATCCAACTCAAGTAAGTGTATGATTTGCAGTGGCAATAAGTGGTTTGGAGTTTAAAAGCTTTTGATGAGTGGTATTGTTAGAGGTTATTTCATTGTTGATTAAATGAGGTCCAATGGTCAATGTTTGTTCTAGGGTGTTTCTAATAGAGGTGAACATTTTAATAGAAAATTCAATATCACCTATTCTCAATATTTTTCGATAGTTTCTTATTTTGAAGGATAACGACCTGCACAAGTTTTTTGTTGAAAGTTACAAAGAAATTGGGTGTGGATATTAAAACATCCTATTAATTGGTGAATAAGATGACCTTCATAGCATGATAGATTTGAACCAAGAGAGAGTTGGTTAGTTCCCCCTCCCCCCAAGTCCTAATTTTATTTGGTTTCCCTTCTTGGAATTTTACAAGTTAGGATTATTATTTTCCTATTCCTTTGCTATAAATTTCAGTAATAGCCTTAATATTAATGAGTTAGTGGCGGGAATTTGATGTGTGTTAACTCTCACTTGGCCCCCTCCCCCTCCTGATGAAGAAATTGGATTAAAACATCCAATTGATTGGTGAATAAGATGACCTAATAGCATGATAAGAGGTGATTTGAATTAGGAAATGGTTTCCTATTTGGGGAAGGACTGCTGATCTCATACCAGTAGAGTGGGAATTAGGAAATGTTTCCTAGTCTGGGGAAGGTCTGCTGATCTCATACCAGTGGTGGGAGTTAGGAAATGGTTTGCTCGTCTAGGGAAGGTCGGCTGAACTCGTACCAGTGGTGGGCTCTTGTAGAGGCAGAACAATTGATTGGGAGGGATAAGGCAGAGTTTGGTTTGAAAGTTTTAAGAGGTTTCTAGTGGAGGAGATGTAGTTTATTGAAAATTTGTGACTATCTGTCACCCACTGGTACCTCTTCTGATAATGTCGTGGTTCTGCAGTGGATATGGTGACAATGAGTGTGAGGCTGGAGGTGGATGTCTTGGAGCCTTTAGAATGCATGCCAGTGGCTATGTTTGGTCCAAAGAGTGTTGCAGAAGACAATTTATGGTTGAGGGTGATGCTTATTGGTAGTTACTAAATTCGTCTTGGGAGTGGTTTGAGCAAGGGTTAACGGAGCTGATCAAATATGTAATCAGAAGTAGCAAAAGTGATAATATGGGTGTGTGAATAAGAAGGGGAGGATATGTTGTTCATTTATTCATGATGTTAATGATTAAATTTTGGAATTTATGATGCTTGAATTTTGTTGTGAAACGAACAATGGTGGAGGCCTTACTTAAAGATTCGAGAGCGAATATGGTGTGTAGAGGGGTGAGGAGCTTTTTTTGGGTGGTTGGGATTGGTTTATGGAGCTGAATCATTTTTAGGCGGTGGGCAAAGTGGGGGTGATCTTGATGATGTCAGATCTGAGGGTGGTGGAACAGGAATAATGTGAAAATGGGGAATTTGAAGAGTTTGGATGCTTTGTTTGTTCAATTGTTCTCTTTTGTTTTGGAGATTAGAGATTTTTGGCTGAACACAAATTGTTGGCAAAGGATCTAGCTTTACATTTGAAGGTAGTGTTGTCGAGGGTGTTCTTAGAATTTTGAATACAATGTTGGTTGCAATTGAGATTGTGGAGTTTAGATTGAGTGGGAACTTGGGATTAACTTCTAAGCTATGAAGCACGGACACTGACACGGACACGGACACGGACACGGATACGGAGATTGTGGAGTTTAGATTGAGTGGGAACTTGGGATTAATTTCTAAGCCTTATATTGAGAAGATCTATGACAAATGTTTTTTTCCCCTTTCTTCAAGGAATTGTTTCTTCCGGTATAAAAGAGCCAAAAAAGACCTGTGAAAGGTTGTTAAAAGGGCCAACAAAGTGGGGACATGATACAAAGCTATAGTGTCAATAAAATCCAAAAAATGCTCGAAGTTGGGTCTAAGCCTGTAGAGATCCAATTATAAAGGTTCTTCATCTCCACAAAAAAAACCTATTAAGTTAACTCCAAATTAATTGCAAAGGCATAGCGGCATGAAAAGCATGCCTTTCTCCTCATTTTCCTCACCCTGCCGGCCCACCAAGAATGCGACAAATGCACAACTCCTCTCCAAAATCTCCATGACACTGCTAAAATGGGTGTTTATTCTTTATGTGATTTAGAGGATAGGGTTAAGGCAAAAATGAAGTGGATTGACATTTGTATTTCCACTATTAATAACTCAGTCTTGGTAAATCGATCTCCAATTGATTTCTTTTAAACTTCTAGAGGGTTGCGTCAAGGAGATCTCTTGTCAACTTTTCTTTTTATATTGGGTATGGAGTTTTGAGTAGGGGGGTTGATGTGTATGTCGGGAGTTTTTTTTGAACTTTTTTGAGGGTGGGAGGTTTAATGGTTATCTTTTATTTGGTGCCCCATTTGTACTATGTGGATGGTATTATTATTTTTCAGGGGCAAATATGCAGCAGTTTGGCTACTTCTGATCTGCGGTTTTGTGCTTTGACTCTCCGTCATATTTGAAGGTGAATTTTGGAAAATTATCCTCTATCCGGTTAGTGATGTGCAAAATGTAGGGGCTTTAGCTTCTGTTAAGGGTTGTAAGTGAAATTCTCACCTTTTAAATTTGTTTTGGTTAACCTTTGGGATCATCCAAAAGACGATTGATTTGGTGGAAGAGGCAATATTTGTCAAAAAGAGTATTCTTATTTTGATTAAAACATGCTTGTCTTTGTTGAGTATATTCTCCACAGCGGCAAAGAGGTTTGAAAGGATGCGAAGAGATTTTTTATGGGGTTGGACATGGGATGATTTCAAAGATCATTTGGTGGATTGGGATGCAGTTCGTATTTTCTTAAAGGGAGAATTCAGGATTTATATATATATATATATTATTAGCAACAAAAGAAGAGTTTGGGGGTTTTGGAGGCTTAAATTTTTTAACTAAGCTCTTTTAAAAATAGACTTTGGAAGTGTGCTAGCGAGCGGTATAGATATTGGAGGAGGACAATGAAGTCAAAATAATGGTAGTGTGTTTGATTTTACTCTTTTTGGGAGAGAAAGGGGGGGGGGGTCTTCTTCGATGGAGGTTTCTATGTGATATGGGAATGAGGCTTTGGTAGGGTGTTTTGTTAGGATGGGCTGATTTTTGTTTTTCTACTTGGTATTTTATTGGGAATGGTGAGAAGGCTTGACTTTGGAGTCATTACTATTACTATTAGTGCACAGAAGAGAATCTAGAGGAGTTTTTGCTTGCCCTTGCTCATGTTGTGGTTAACAGGGGTGGTGTCATGGTTGAATGTTGTGTCATTTTTCTGGGATATTCCCTTTTTCTCGTCAGTTGAATGATTGGAAATGCAGATGTTATTGAACTTTATTGGTTTCCTTATGCTACTTCATGTGTAGGAGACCATGATTAGGGATGGACGTGGTTGAACTCTGGAAGCTTTGAGGTGGTATCTTTTTGTAAAATTCTGCCTGCGTGCCATCTAATGTGGGTTATAGAAATGCTTCCTCACCTTAGAAGGTCATGGTAAACTACTCACCAGTGTTATTTGGATCAGGAGGATGCAAAATTATTATTAATTGGTGTTGTATATGTAAGCAGGTTGGAGAATTAGTCAATCACATGCTTATTCATAATATAGTGGTTAGAAGTATTTGTAATGTGAGTCTTAGTATGTTTGGATTGACGTAGGTCTTCTTGACTAATGTGATGGATCTCATATAATCTGGGAGGGTGCCCAGAGTGGGGACGCGAAGAAAAGGTTGTTTGTGCTTTGTTTGTCGAGTTTTCAGAATTTGTTTTCTGAAATTTTTCTAAATCTAGTTTGGTGAATTTTTTTTTTTTGTTAGAATAGTCGCGTGTGCTGAGTGTGTCACATTTGTGTTTAATATTAATCAGTGCTAAGGTGAAGGGTTGAACTATGACCCTAAACCTATTGCTGTCATCTCTTTTCTTCTTTCTCTTCCTCTCTTCTCTCTATCTAACCTCAACCCTAATTTCTACAACCTTTACACTTAAACTAAAATAAAAAAATAAAAAGCACTCATATTTTCAAATATATATATGGCATAAATAATTTTGAAAATTCAAAAATGTAAATATTTTTTTATGTTTATTTTTGTCAAACTAGTTTCTTTTTTGTAAACAAATTCAGAAAACAAGTTATAAAAACTCAAGTGGTGTCTTTGATTTTGATTGTGGATTATTTGGGTGAGTATTTTTTTGATATGTGTAAGCTTGGATTTTTATTATTTTCTTTGCGAAGTAAAATATTGTATTGCCAAAAAGAAAGAGGCAACAAGGGGGTGAACCCTATGTAAAATCCTGAAAGGGCTCAGAGAAGCTCAACATAAAAATTGAGCTCAGACAAAAAAACCAAAAGGAAAAAAGAGGATTCACAGAAAACTACTTTACATGAAAAATAAAAACTATGCCAAAGACTCATATGTAGCCTATGAACTCCCAACTTAGAATCTGCAAAAATGCATCTATATCTTTCCCTCCGGAAGCGCAACAAAACACACAACGGAAAAACATCTAAGTTGTCGTCTTCTTCTTCACTTCACAACCGTTTCCCCAACACTGCAACAAATCTCGCCCTGAACCTGACGTTACTCACTGAATGCCAACGCTGGAAAGCAAGAAGTCCCATAACTTAATTGCAACGGTATAATGAATAAGATGATCATCCACTGTCTCCTGTGCCTTGCAACACGTGCAATATTTGCTAACCATCTAGAATCCTCTTTTTTCCAAATTTTCAATTGATAATAATGGAATCCAGAGTTGCTGTTCAAAAAAGAAAAACCACCTTAGTTCATGCGTCTGTCTTCCAAGGGAAGAGTAGAATTGGATCTCTTTTCTATAGTTGATTCTGAAGAAGGGTTGATTTGTGCTTGAACCAATTTTGGACTTTGTAGAGTCTTTTGTGTAAATAGATTATTATGTAATGAAGTTTACGTCTTTGTTTTGATTCTATTATAGTATATGTGGGCGGCATCATGTTGGTGCCATTTCAAAATAAATCATTTGTGGATGTTATTGTGTTGTGGGAGAACCGTGTAAAAAAGAAAACAAAAATCTCCTGTGTGTTTTGTGTTTTTCCTGTACTCTTGTTCACTTTTTTTTTTGTTGTTGTTTTGCCCCCCCCCCCCCCCCCCCCCCAACTTTGATAAATATTCAAGTCCTTGTTTGTGACCACAGTTGATATACTGGTCTCCTCATTATATGCTTCCTAAAATGTTGATGATTTTCTGGTTTGCAGGAAGCTGCGAACAATGATAACGGGCGAGCACCTCATTCTTCCTGGAGAAATTATGATGATTTTAATGAATATTTTTGGTGAGCTCTATTTTGGAAGCTCTGTGCATCAGAAATTTTTATCTTTCTTTTTTTTTTTTTTCAATTTATTTATTTTTAACTTCCCCCCTTTTCAGGTCACTTCATTGCTTTGAACTTAGTTGGCCATGGCGCAAAAGTTCATCATTTTTTCTTAAGCCAACTCCAAGATCAAAGGTTGTCAACTTTCCAACTGTTATAGATAAGGGAAAAATTCATTTTACCCTCTTGTGGTATGGCTTTGGAGCATTTTAACCCCCCTCATGTTTAAAAATGGCCCAAAACCCCTCATATGGTTTTGATCTTTTGCACTTTACCTTCTTACTGTGACTAATTCCCCTCCAAATTAACAGAGGTTGTGCTGCCACGTCTAATGTGAGAGTTGGGATGGAATTAGTTGCTCATTGAATACTAATAGTTTTTTCATCATAGGACACATTCTGTGAAGATGTTAAACGTGCTGTTATAATTATTATCATTCTTACTATTTGTAGCTTTGCTGACCTTCTATGCCTTTGTTTTTTTCAGAATGTCCTTAATTGTGGCGGAAGTAAACGTCAAGGGAAAACTTCGTTTGTTGAGCACAGGACGTTTCTTCATCTTTATCATAGTTTCCACCGTTTGTGGATATTTCTTGTCTTGATGTTTCAGGTTTGCAATTTGTCTTTAGGCTTATTTCCGTATTTGTTGTCTTCATTTTATCACTGTATTTTCTGCCTTTTTTCTTGTCATGGTGTTTCTTCTTTTATTTTGGTGCTTCTTAGCCCTTAATTGTATTCAAATCAAAATTAAAAGAGTGTAATTCTAGACACAGAAAATTCCCAAATAGGGATACAAGAACAAGCTTTGAATTTTACTATAAAAAATGTTCAGTAGTTGTTTATGAAGCAACTGACATCAACAAACAATTCTAACACATACTAACACAACAACTACTTACATAAGCACTCCTGCCCTTAGAAAAATTTGTCTTCAAGTTGGAACAGTGGAACACAAAAACAAATCTAATCTACCACGTAAGGTACCAAATGTGGAACATTGGAAGTGTTGGAGATGTTCAAAAGTGGAGGAAGTGTCCTGGATAGGCGGCGTCGTTTATTTTGCATAAAACATCGCAAGGGTCGACTTTTCTAGCATTCAATTTCATGTAAGAATCATGGTGTTGCATCTCCTTGGTCAGAACCACTCCAACAGGATCCCCTTCTTTGAAAACAACTTCCGTTTGTACTAATCAGCTGCGGTTTTGGATTGCTCAATTTTGGCCTTTACTTGAGCTTGTACTTATTTCATAAACGCGGCCATGTCCTCCACCTTGGCATTCCCTTTCTTGGAGATAGGCAAAAGAATCAAATTCACTACGCTAGCAGGGTTGGAACCATAGACTACTTCAAAAGGAGAAGAATTAATGGCCCGATCGATAGAGGAATTGTAAGTAAATTCAGCCAGAAGAAGCTCATCTTCTCAACCCTTAGGATGATCCCCCACAAGACATCTGAACAAGTTCCCAAGGCTCTGGTTTACCACTTTTGTTTGTCCATTGGTTTGCGGATGAATGCTAGTGCTAAAATGCAAGTTGGTGCCAATCTTTTGCTACAAAGTCCTTCAAAAATGTCCGAGGAACTTGGCATCCATATCCGACACAATAGAAATGGGAACCGTATGAAGCTTATAGTTCTTTTTGAAGAAGTGATCAGTCACATTGGTAGCATCCATAGTCATGTAGGACAGCTTGCTGGATTTTGAAAATAGAGGTTATTTGACAGCCGAAACAGCAAGTGATTTAGGGTTTTAATGATTAAATTGACTCCTAATAGGTAGGAGAAGGGGTTAGGGTTGATCTGGGAGTGATTGGATAGGGTTTTGAGGTTAAAAAGTGCATCTTTAGAGGGCTGTGAATAGTAACCCGAGAATAGTAACTAAAGTATGTGGACAAAGAAGAAAAAAGAGAAGAAGAAGAAGATAGTCTAGGAATCACTCCTAGAATTCCATAGGCATTACACCTAGGGTTGATTGCATCACACTATCAATAAGAAAGCTTCAAAGATCTGAAAATTCTCTAAAATATCAACTTTATTAAATTATAAACATTATGTAGCTTTATATAGGATTAGGAGACTTCCTAAATCAACTAAAACAAAAAAAAGGAAACTGTTAAAATTACTGGCTTCTATACTTGTTTAAGACCTATAAATAAAAGTAATTAAATAATGATGGAGCCAATTAAGAACAAGAGAGAGAAATTATAGAGTAACCCTAAGGTTCTAGAGAGAGAATATCTCTAATCAATCAATTATATGATATATGAAAGTTAGTTACAAAATGGTTACTTCTGCAGATATAGGCTATCAATTAACCACACACTTAGTCACATGCCATGCACATGATGTCCTACTTGATGCTCTCCCACTCGAAAGAACTTGTCTTCAAGTAAGGACCAAAACAAAGTACAGTCAATGCATAAGAAATGAAACACATTACTAGACACGTGCAGTACAAACAAATTCCTTAAGGAAGCTAGTCTACAATAAGGGAAGTGGCGTCGGCGCAAGAAGAACACGACAAGAAGGGAAATGACTAAGTAGTTGCAAGTCCTTATTTGAGATCAACCTACAAATATCCTTCCATCAAAACGAGTTCTCGTTTATGCACATCAATTGAAGCTATGTTGAGTTGTGAATAGGCCACCCATATAGCATGCCGTTTTGGAAGCAAGATGTCATCAAAATAACGCTTCACGCATGGCCCAAGAATAAACTCATCCTTCCTCCACGAAGTTGGGCTGGATACCACATCAACACAAAGTGGAACAAATGGCTTTGAAGATAGCATAAGAGGTATTTCTCGAAAGCAAAGTTCATTTAACAACCATGTAACTTCAATGTCATGACTACCCACCATAATTTTCATAGAATCTAGAAAAGGGATAGAAGGTGGGATTAAAACCACTTCCTTCATGGGAAACAATGTAAATGTAAAACTTTCTTCATCTTCGAGTACACTTTCACTCTCTACAAGAAGGTCGTCTTCATCATCATAGTTGTCAAAAATTGGAACTTCTCCATATTCACAAACATCAACTTCCTCAAAAGACAACGCCTCACTATCGTCATCAAAGACGGCAACATCTTGACTGTAGGTTTGTTCCTCATCGTGATCAAAGATGGAAACTTCGTCACAAACGGAAAGAGCTTGACCACAATATTGTTCTTGGCCACAATTTTCCTCCATGTCTCCTTCACCAATGGTAGAAGCTTCTTTCTCATCATACCTTGGTTCAACCACCTTGCCACTAAAGAGCATCGTATGATGATATCCCTCATCAAAAGTCTCTTGCACTCCAATAATAGTTGAGTAACCAACTAGGACAGTCATAGGATGATTGTCTGATTGCAAAGCCACTTTGGTATTGATGTCCAGAACTTGAAAAGCCCTTCTTTTGTTGCTTCTCAACCAACAAAGGTGGCACGTGATCAGAAGGCAAGAAGTGCTCCTTGAGCTTCTTCCTTATCTTCCTCCACCCTCTAATCTTTTCTTGGCTTTTTCTTTGCTTACCAACTTGTAATTGTTTTCACTAATCGGAGGCACGACCTTTGAGGCTTTGAGAGACCAATTTCATCTTCCTTGCTTCCGGCACATCATAACACGCCAAATGACTCTCAATTGTCTTCAACCATTCGTCAAACACATCCGGATTGTAACTTCCATAGAATTTAGAAAACTCTAAATCCTTTACGGTTTCATGCCATTTAGAATCATACTCATGTGAATATGCTCTATTCCTATGTGGAACATTGAAGGAATCATCAAGTTGACCATCTTTGGAACCATTATTACCTTTGATAGGAGGTAGGTGACATTGCACCGTCTCGGTTAAAGCGACAACTTGCCGTCTCATCTCAATCATTTCATCCTTTCGATATGGAACCCCATTATCCCTTCCAACCGGAAGATTAACCTCGGCATCATCACTTAAATTTTGAGCATCAGCCCTACCACGACCACCCCTACAACCTCGACCTGATTGAGCCATCGAAATGCACAAATGTTCAAGTCACAATAATCACAAACCCAATTGGACAACAACAAACAACAATATACCAATCACAGCTCAGTGAACAAGTGGAATGAGCACAACAAATCAAAGCCCATGTATGCAAGACCCACCTAATTTCCAATTCCAGAATCAAGTTTCTGAATATTAAATTGAAGTAAAAGAGTTTAAACGAAGGGGTTGAGGCATTTACAACCAAGGAATCGAATCAAGTTGCTGGGATTTCAACTAGGAAGAAGAGTTGAACCAAGAAAGAGGTTCGAGTAACCCAGATGTTGCTTCGATCAACCCATAATCCACAGTCAAACAATCCACAAACAAGCCACGAATTCAAACCAGAAGCGATCGAAGTCGGCTTTGAAGTCGCACCTCTTACCCAGATCGATACCACGAACTCGCGAAGTTGAAACTCATAGATCTTCTAGTCAGACACAAACTGAAATCGTGATGACTCAAGTCAAGTTCAAAATCTGGAGTACCCGCGAATTCGACTCGAGAACTCGAATCTAGGTCGCAATCGCGTTGACTCCATAAGCTACAAATGGCCACTTTGATTTCACAATGGGTCGTCTTTTGCGATGAGTAGTCCTTTGCGACGGGTGTTCTTTGCAGTTCGACTTCGAAGCTAGATAGAGACTCAACCAACGAATTCAAATCAAGAACAAACAACGTCGATAGTGCAGTTTGCGAATCGACTCCAAGTTTTGATTGAAAGCTAAACATCAATTGAAGGTTGCGGCTGGTCCTATGAAGTCGAACTTTAAGAACTTCAGTCCAGTTAGAGATTAGATCGCGATTTGAGGATCTTCCAACAGAGTTGCAAGATTCTGTGAATGTTGATGATGTAGGCTCTTGAGAATTTGAATCCCAATCCAAATCAGGTATGTGGTCTTCAATGAGAATTTGTAACATTATGATACGGGCGTCTGTTTGTCTCTTGAATTGGCTATTGGAATAGTAGTGTTGCCATCGTAATACACTAACTAGAATATAGCGAAACGTATCAAAACACTATACTGACACAGATTTAGTATATTTCGTAATTTTTTTTCTTATTATTATTATTATTTTTTGTGAAAAAATATACAAGGTTTTGTTTTACTTTGCAACTATTATTACTAGTCTAAATAAATATTTGGACACTATTTTGTTGGGATTTTACACAATTTTAGAATTATTTACATATGTTTGATAAAAATGTGTTATTTGATGACGTGTAAAAGCTTAATAATTGATTGATTAAACATATTGAAATTTATAAAGCCGTTAACGTAAAAGTGAAAATATACTAGTGCATATATTGCATATATTTTGAGATTGTGTAAATATTTTGTGTAGTTAAGATTATTTGTATTTCTATTTAGTCTTAGGGTAAGAGTATATCATCTTATATAGTAACTCTAACCCTAAGACTAAATAGGAAATACGAATAATCTTAATTACACAAAATATTTACATAATCTCAGAATAAATGCAATATATACACTATTATATTCTCACCTGTGAGGCACGGACACGGACACGGACACGGAAAGAACATGTGTTCACAAAAAGAATATATGCTTCTAAGATTTATATATATTTTCAAATCTCTTTTGTCTAATTTTGAAATTTCTATTTCGTTCTAGAACAATTTTGTTTCCATGTTGATTGAAACGATTTTAATTCTTGCTTTCATGTGGTTCTCTTTTGTTCTTTCATGGATTGTTCTTCTATTTTTTATGTTTGCCTCCTGGATGTCATTGAATAAGAACTTTGTATTGCTTTTGTAGGGACTTGCCATTATTGCATTCAATGATGGACATATCAACTCAAAGACCATCCTAGAAGTTCTTAGTCTCGGTCCAACATTTGTTGTGATGAAGTTTTTTGAGAGTAAGTTTTTCTTTCATAAAGTTTTGTGTATCATTTTGCTTTTGTTAAGTTTTTAACATATTCTTGACTATGGATAATAGAAATCTGGGCTGTTAACTTTTTAAATTTCCTGCTATAACTTTCTCCTTTAATTGCTGATTTTATTGATCTGCAATTTAGGTGTTCTGGACATTTTTATGATGTTTGGTGCATATTCCACTACACGGCGCTTAGCTGTTTCACGGATTTTCCTCCGTTTCCTTTGGTTTTGTATAGCTTCAGCCATCATATGTTTTCTTTATGTGTATGTTGCTTGTATCTCTTTATTTATATTTTCATGATTCTGTTTCCATTATATGCAATCATTTTTTTCCCTTTTCTTTATGAATATTGTCTAATCGAACTTAACTTTTTATTTGTTTGTTTACTCTCAAATTACAGGAAAGCTCTCCAAGAGCGGAATAAATCAAATTCGGGTTCTATTATCTTCAAAATTTATGTAATTATTCTCGGTATCTATGCTGGTGTCCAAATTTTTATTAGTTTCCTATTGCGGATACCAGCGTTTCACCATCTCGCCAATCGATGTGATCATTGGCCTCTAATTCGTTTTATCAAGTGGATGCACCAGGTTGATTGCACCCACCACATTATTTTATATGTTTGAAATTCTGTTTTAGCTTTTCTAGTTGTATATTTTTTTTGAAGATCTCTCTATTTGTTGATTTCCTTGATTCTTGATTCTTGATTCCCATTTTAGGAACATTACTATGTCGGCCGGGGCATGTATGAGAGGACATCTGATTATATCAAGTATTTCCTTTATCTCTGTTATTATATTCATGGATCTTATGGCTTTTAAAGGATCTTTTCAATGAATATTGAAACACTTTCTATCATCGACATTTTGTTGTTGTTGTTGTTGTTGCCTGAGTTTTTAAAAAACCTAGAATGATCTTCTTCACACTCCATTTGGATCAAAGGGTGAGAAAAGAAAAAGAAATAATTGTGGTCTCTCATTTAGGTATGTTTGGATGAGTAAGAAAGCAAAGCATGTGAGAGGGATATAAGTGAGATTTCTTTTTCTTGCTTTGTATTTTAAATCTTGGTATTATAAATATTTTACAACCAACCAACTTGTTTCTCACCAAATCTCACCACTTTGTATGAGAAATGAAATAGGCTCAGTATGAGAGGTCTCTTTCTCACCATTTCTCACTCATCTTATAAACCAAACATGAGAAAAGAGTTTTGTTTCTCATCATTTCTTATCATTTCTCGCCAAATCACCCCATCCAAATGGAGTGTCAAATTCAATATTCACATAACAAATTGGTCCACATCATTAAAGATCTCATAGTGAACTAACAATTTTTGCTTGCATCATACATTATATTTGTTTATAAATATGCATTATATTTATACATTTTCATAAGGGATCTGAGCGGTTTTTTTACGTGTTAGTTGTCAGCTATCTAACACACAACCCTTCTCCTTTACGTGGGCTTGGGACTGATAGAGTTGTTAAACAACCTCGGCAGAGTTTGGATAAGAAAGGGGATGCTTGGTTGACTAGATTATTCAGCAAGATTTTGTTGACTAGGAAAATGTCAGAGTGGGGAAAAGTATTTTAGTGTCAATCTATTATTCAGCAAGATTTTGTTGACTAGGAAAATGTCAGAGTGGGGAAAAGTATTTTAGTGTCAATCTATAAGAATAAAGGAGATATTCAGTACTACAACAATTGTAGAGGAATCAAGCTAATGTGTCATATAAAGAAAATTTGGGAGAGAGTGATGGAACGTCGTTTGCAAAATATAACAGAGGTGTCAGGGAATCAATTTGGGTTTATGGCTCGTAAGTTAACAATGGAAGCGATTTATCTTTTGAGGAGAGTAATATAAAAGTATAGAGAAAAGAAAATAGACATTTATATGATTTTTATCGATTTTGAGAAAGCATATGATAGAGTGCCTTAGAATATAATCTGGTGCAGTGTTTTGAAAGGCACGCCTAGGTGCAAGGAGTGTGCCTAAAAAGACCTAAGGCGAGGCACGTTTAATGAGTCGTACGCCTTGGCCAGGCTTTGAAAGGCGCAAGGTGCGAGCCTAAGAGGGCTTTTTTGTTTTAATCTGTGTTCGAAAGGCTCCAACCACATAGGATTACAACTCATACAATACAACTCAACCCCAATCAGTCGACTTAAATTCCTAATCTATCAAAAAAATCTGTATCGTCTCTTCCTCTAGGCTGGTGTCTCTCAATTTCAACTTCGATTGAGGTCGGTTCTTTTTCTTCTTTTCCTTCTTTTCCTTCTCTCTCTCTTCTTCTTCTCTGGTTGCTGCTGTTGGGTTATTTGATTAGACTTTTTTTTTCTTAGCCTTCGCTGGTTGGCTTGGTGATTTTTTTTTCTCTTTTTCTCCTCCTCCCCTTTCTTTGAGAATTATTCTATAATTTGCCTTGGTTAAATTTTTATTTATTTTTTAAATTTTGTTTTATAAATTGTCTTAGTACTAGTATGAATCATTTAAATTTGGGTTGTTTGAGATGATCTAAATAAGTGCACTTTTGACTTTTTACGAGAAGGTGTGCAGAAAAGTAAAGAGGTGACGTGACCCAAACAAGATAAAAAGCTAAAAAGTGTGCTTATATGGCACACCCTAAACAAGCTGACTGTGCGCCTTGCTTCAATAAAGCGCGCGCCTCACCTTGAGCCTAGGCCCCAAGAGACCTTTTGCACCTTGAGCCATTAAAAACACTAATCTAATGGGTGTTAGCGAAGAAAGGGTTGACGAAAGTTTACATTAATGTGATTAGGGATATGTGTGGTGACCACTATTAGATCGCCTGTTGGAGAGACAAGTGAATTTTCAATTACTGTAGGGTTAAACCAAGGATCAATTTTAAATCCTTATCTTTTTGCTTTAGTAATGGATGAACTGACGAGAAATATTCAGGATGATGTGTCATGGTGTATGCTTTTTGCAGATGATATGGTGTTAGTGGATGAGACTAGAGAAGGAGTTAACACTAAGTTAGAGACTTGGAGAGAAGCACTTGAATCTAAAATATTTAGGATAAGTATAACTAAGACAGAATATACGGAGTGTAATTTTAGTAACAGTGTCAGTAACAATGGAAATAGAGGAGAAGTGAATATTGAGAACCATGAATTACCTAAAAGTGAACATTTTAGTTATTTAAGATCGATTATCACAACGGTGGGAGAGATTGAAGCGGATGTGGTCATAGAATTAAGGTAGGGTGCCTTAGGTGGAGGAATGCGTCTGGTGTATTGTGCGATAAACGAGTACCCACTAGATTAAAAGGAAAGTTCTATAGAACAGCTATTTGACTAACGATGTTGTATGGGATGGAATGTTGGGAAACTAAAAAACAATATGCAGATAAGATTAGTGTTGCTGAGATGAGGAAGTGTGGCAAGACTAGAATAGACAGAGTTAAGAATGAATATATTTGAGATTGAGTAGGAGTAGTACCGATAGAAGATAAGTTGACAGAGAATAGATTGAGATGGTTTGGTCATATACAATGGAGACTGACAGAGGCAACAATGAAGAGATGTGATACAGTCATGGTATATGGAAGTGTTAGGGGAAGGGGCAGGCCTAGATTGACGTGGACAAGTGTAGTAAATAGTGATATGAATCTCCTTAATTTGACTAACGAAATGGCCTTTGATAGAGTCGAGTGGAGAAGAAGGATTCATGTAACTGACCCATTTGATGGGACTTAAGGCTTGACTTGGTTTGGTTTGGTTATGTTGTACATTATATCTATATGTTATAGATCCCATAGCAGATGACATTGTCTTCTTTTGTGTTGTAAATTCGATGTAGTTGGGCATATGTTACATGGACTCCTTTTTTTTTGTTTCTCCCAAAGTACTCGTGTCCACCAGATTTGACAAGGGTAAAGGTGTGGTATATCGTATATGTATCCGACTCTTGTACCCAATTCAAATTTTGTAATTCTTTATGTTGCTACATTTCTACATAATTGACAATAGCTTAATAAAGAATATTATACAATATGCAATATATAAGTGTCCATGATGAGTCTACATACCCATATACAAGTTTTGGATGCATACCTCAATATCATAAGATTCAGGATTGTAAAGGTTTGGCACTTGGAAACACATCTGGAGTTGCACCAGATATTTAGATTCTATTCCATGTAACATAGAGTTGGGCTATCTGCAATGTATCATTTTGAATTTTGAGGCTGTTTCAGGTCTGATAGTAAATCTTACTAAATTCAAGTTGATTCTTGTTGAAATTCTTCATGCTGGGTCCTAGTGCTCTTTTTGGGATGTGAGTTTGGTGCTCTTCTTGTCACATACCTTGGCCTACCCTTGGGATATCTTTTTTAAGGCTAAGGTAGTGTGGAATAGGGTAGTTGATCAATTTCAGAGGAGATCAAAAAGCTGGGAGAGCAATTCCTGTTTAATGATTCTTGTCTTATGTTATTGGAGAGGACATTGTTTTCCAACCTATTTCATGTTACACTATTCCAGTTTCGGTGCCGAAGAGGCTTGGAAAATTTCAATGAGACTTTCTGTTGGGTGGAGTGAGGGAAGAGTTCAAATATATTGTTTATTAGGATACATTTTAGACAGTGGTGAGGGAAGGTGCTATAGGTGTTAGGAGGTTGTGCCCTTACAGAAAAATTGTTATGGAGATTTGCTTTAGAGGGACAGATTTCAGAGGCAACCATGTTTCATTGGAGAGGACTTTGTAAGAGTATTTAAATTGTTTCGGAGGATTTCTTGAATCGCACCAATGTTAAGTTGCAGAGAGCGATAGGGTGATGTTCTAGTGCCGTAAGTGTTGTGGAGACGTGACATTTGAGAGAGAGAATTCTTGGTATGTTCCTCGTTGTTGCTAACAAAGAAGCCTTAGTGGCAGATTATGTTTGGGGCATGGGTAGTGATGTTTTTTGGGATGTTGGATTGAGAAGGAATTTGCAACATTGGGAGATGGATCAACTCTATTTTGTGGGTATCAGGGAATTGGAGAAGGTGAACATTCTTTGCGGTGGGTTGTTACAATGTAAGGGAGGTTTGATGTGAAGTCTTGTGCAGGACGTTATAGGGTTGTAGAAGGGGGAATTTTCCATGTAAAGGCAAATTTGTTTAGGCTCCTTCAAAGTTTGCTTTGTTTGTGTGGAACTATGTTACCAGAAAACGCTAATACCCTAGCAAATTACGTATTGGTACGCACGTTCCAAAACATGGTACACTTTCGTTCCAAAACGATAAATTTAGTGATCCGAAATGATTCCCAAATTTTTTTCCAATATATTTCCTTAAATGTTAACTTAGGAGAAAAAAATCAAATATATGAACTAAAATTTAAGGTGTCAAAAATGGGTCATAATTTTCATAGTAATGATTTGTTACATGAAAGAAAAAGAAAAAAAATTATTGGATACTTAATTGTTAAAAGAAAATTACTCTAGAAGTACCTTAAATTCTTGAGTGTAATCTGTACAAGTCTACTCCTATCGTATCACATTTTAGAGCATGTGGGGTACCACGTTCCAGTTTCCATTCCGTGTACTGGAATGATCCACGTTCTAGGTAACATAGGTCTGGAATGCAACTCATGAGAAGATCCTATCAGGAGATTATAATAAGATGACAAGTCATTGTTAATTGTTGTTGGTTAGATAAGTGTGATGGCAAGTCAATTTCTCATTTGCCTATTCATACGGACCTTAATTGGTGTCGCTTAAAAGTTATTTTTTGGTTCTTTTGTCTAATTGAGTTTCAAGAGGTGTTATGCTTAACTTGGATCTTGTTGATTTATTAGATTCTCCTCTTTTGTAAAAATCTATAGGGCCATAGAGAGGCCGCTTTGTTTTGAGTAGTATAATTATCATGGTTTAACCTTTCGTACATGAGCAACATCTCCTTTTGATACTCTTTTTAATGCAGTTTATTTTAATTATCTAAAAAGTAAACCATTAAATGGTGCCAAAAGATGAGGATGTAACCCTGTACACAAGTCTGCGCTTTAGATATTTTTGCCCCCTTTAAGATATCCAAGAGCTGTAAGGAACTTACCCTTCTACTTTGACGATCTGCCTTTCTCTCTTTATGATGTTTTTCCTTAGTCACATTAATAGTTGTGCCATTTTAGTAGTTTGCTTCTACACTATGATCATTCACTGCCGAAGACACAGTAGTTATGCAGCTTCAGTTGTTTTTTTAAACTGTTCATTCACTGCCTAAGAAACCCAGAATCCTTGATGGGAGTAGCTTGACTTTTCTAATATTATTGCAATGCAGGTATGTTATCTTCTGGTTTTTTGTTTTGGGCGTCAAATTTTCCTTTTCCTATTTTCTTTCGGTATGTGATATTGGTTATTCTATTTCTTTTATTTTCTTATTTTTTCCTAAAAAATGATATTTTAATGGTGATATGCTGATTGGTGTGCTTTTACTTGGTTTATGCAGATCAAACCCTTGGTGGAACCTACAAGGATTATTGTAAATATGTCCGGTTTGACTTATTCTTGGCATGATTTTGTGTCTAAAAGTAAGCAATCGGCCTGCTTCTTTGATCCACTTTAAGATTCGATGGTCATTATAACATCTTTTATGATTTTTCATACTGTTTTGTATGTTCTCGGCAGAATCACAAATTTGAAGCCATATTGTTTTTTTAGTTTTGTTTTGTTCTTTTATTTATTTATTTATATTTTCCCACTAATTTCTTTTTTTTCTACTAATATTTTGTTTTCTTATCCGAAGGAAGAGATAGAATGTGCAAAAAAAATTCTTTAAGGGGATTCTCCTGAATTATTATAATTCTTCATCTGATTGGTGTTGTATCCTTAAAATAATAAGTAAAAGCAAGAGAATTGGTGGTATGCTTTGCCTTCCATCATCTTGAAGTATTCAAGCATACAGTAATGTGGAAAAGCAAAGTAGGAAAGCCGCCCTTATTTACTGAAATTAATTTTATAATCTGTGGAGTACGAATTTTTGATGTTTTGTGATTGGTTTGTGATCTTTTTTCATTAAAAAAAGAAAATTGTACACTGGTAAACATTATTGTGTATGAGAGTTATATTCTGGAGTGTTGTGCTTGGTAGGCGTATGTTTCGTGATGTCTTCCGTTTCTGTTGTTGTAGACTCTCTGCTTGAAACGTATTGTTTGGTTGTTAAAAGGCACATAATTGCAAACCTAACTAGGTAATTTATTGGGGCAGTACAAATTGGTTTGGCCCAATAGTTAGGTTTGCTGTTAGTGTCCCTGCTGGCTTGGGTTTAAGTCTTAGAAACTGCCTCTCCAGAAATGGGTTAAGGCTGTGTACATCTTGCTGTCCTAGACTCACTTTAGTGGGAGCCTTGTGCACTACTTTTCCCCTTCCGGTGTTGTTTTATTGACCTTCTCCATACATCGTGCTGCAGTAATGTAAATCATTTGAATTGCTATCTTGTGTTTAATCACCATCATACTGCATACATGTGCACCTGTTCCATATATGATGTTTCCCCTCCCCGATCTCTCTCGGGCCACTTGTAAGTGGGTAAAGAGAAGAATAAATACTAGAAAAGTGTGGCAGTAATAAATCTACTCATATTGGCCAATCCACTGATATTTTCTATGTACAGTGTTTTTCTTTTTCATTGTTACTATTCTTTGATTTCCTTCTTGTCTGTACTTTTTGAATTAAAAGTATTCAACTATTTGTCTGCATCAATATGTGGTATACTCGGGCTGAATCCCAATTAAACACAATGGTTCAGAAACAATGTTGTTTGCCATTTTGGCAATCAATTTCTTGGCTGTCATTTACTTTGATTATGTAATTGATTACATTATGATTTTTTTGTGGTCTTCTTGATCAAAGCATATTGTGTATTTCTCTCAAAAAAAAAAAAAAAAATGATGAAGATAAAAATGCGTATAGTTGCACTTAGGAGTTGCAATAAAGTGCTCGTTGTTCTTTCTTTCTTGTAAGTTGTATCATAGTAGGTGAAACTGCTCCACTTATGCATCCTTTGATTGCAAAATTAAATGTTTTTTCAGGGTTTAGTATATTTGTTTCAATCATGTTTATAAAATATTATATATGTGATCATATAAATTATGCATTTTTTAATTTTCTGCTGTTGCTTGCAGATAACCATAATGCTTTGACAGTTGCTAGCTTATGGGCACCAATAGTTGCTGTAAGTGGGCATTGCCAATCGCTATTTGTTGTATCTAGTTTTATTTGAACTTATGCAGCCCTGAAATTTACTAGATAAACGATACATGCTATTATTTTGGGAAAGCCTTATCAATAATTTATTTTGTTGTTACTGATCCAAGAAAGAAAGAAAAAAGAAAAAAAAAAGGCTTCTACTTCCTGTAGAACAATGTAATAATGGGATTGAGTGAATAATATTGGTGTAAATGCATGCCTTGTTGTTTTAGCTCCGGTTTTAAAATATATAATTTTATTTCTTTTGGCTATATTACATGGACTCGGGTACGGGTGTCGGATGCTGGTATGTATCTAGATGTCGGACTTATCAAATCATAAATTTAAGGGTACGCGGACTCAGCAAAAAAAAGTGATATTTTTATATTTTTAATCAAATATATGAGATAAAATAGTGCTATATGTTATTTATAGTGTTAAAAAGACATTTATAACAATTATACAACAATATGTACATATAATAATAGTGTTTTTTTTTTTTGATAAATAAACAAATCTTATTAAGAACGCATCAAGTTGATTCAAACAAATACAAAATGCCATCCCCAGTTAGGGGAAACTAAAAATAAACGAAGCTAACCAATAACATCTTCTAGAAAATCCAAAAAAAACAAATTTGTTCGGATCAAACTTCCTCTCCAACCAACTATACATAACCACTAATAGACGATTTTGTAACCAAGCAACCCCATGAGCAACATCTAAGAAAGAATGCTGATTCCTCTCCAACCAAACAAGCCACATTAAGCAAAATAGTGCCAACAACCAAACCCACCGCCATCGACGCCCAAACCTAGCACCCCTCCACGTCCAAGCAATCCCAAAAAGAGAACAAATGAAACCCCACAACTAGGAAGCCATCAAACAATGAAGAAATAAATGATCCACGGACTTAGTAGCACGACAACACATGCAACACCGATTCACTAAAACATGACCACGCCGCATTAAGTTGTCCAAAGTAAGATTCCGTCCTAAAGCGGCTGTCCACATAAAGAAGACCACCTTAGACGGAACACTCGGTATCCAAACACTATTCCAAGGAAAAACAACACCATCATCCCCCACCAAACCATTATAGAAAGATGCAATTGAAAACCGCCCCTTTGCCCTCCCCCCATTCCATTCCATTCCATAACATCTTGTCCCACCCTAGTAATTCCCAACCCATATAAAACACCCCACAACTCCACCAACTGAGTAACCTCCCAATCATGCACTGCACACCGCAACTGAATATGCCACACCACCATATCCCCACCCCCTAAGTAAGATGCCATCATCGCCTCCCGATCAACCACAATATGAAAAATCAACGGAAAACGGGCCTCCAGAGACTCCTCCCCACACCACCTCTCCTTACAAAACCGCACCCACAACCCATCGCCCACCCTAAACCCTACCCACCTCCAAAACTCCTTTCGTCCTAACCAAATCCCTTTCCAAAGCCCACACCCATGCGTGGTGAGCACATCCCCCGAAATCCGATTCTCACTCCCCATCCCATACTTAGAAGCCACCACCCTCTGCCAAAACTTGTCCGCCTCCAAGGCAAACCGCCACAACCATTTCCCTAACAAAGCTCAATTAAAAGACACCAACCTCCTCACCCCCAACCCCTTTGCTTGCTTAGGTTGACAAATCTGCCCCCATTCAACCAAATGATACCTAAATTCATCACCACCACTACCCCATAGAAAATCCCTCTGAAGCTTCTCCAACTGATGCGCCACCGATACTGGAATAACATGGATCGACATAAAGTAGGGCGGAATATTACTCAACACTCTTAATCAACGTCAATCGTCCGCCCTTCGACAAATACTGCCTCTTCCATCTCGCCAGACGGTGTTGTATACGCTCCACTATCCCATCCCAAACCCTTTTCGCCTTGAAAGAGGCACCTAATGACAAACCCAAATAAGAAATCGGCAAAACTGACATCCTACAACCCAAGACGGCAGCTAAAACTGGTAACCACTCCATCTACCCAACTGGAATAAGCTCTCACTTCCGCAAGTTATCCCGGAGGCCCGATACTACCTCAAAACATAACAAAACACACCTCAAATGACTCACCTGCTCCACATCAGCCCCACAGAAAATCAGAGTATCATCCGCATATAATAAATGAGATACAACAAGACAGACAACGATCCCACAACAAAGCCCCCCAGGAGACCCCCATGCACATCTCTATCCAACAATCTACTCAACGCCTCCATCACTAGAATGAAGAACAGTGGTGACAACGGATCCCCCTGCTGAAGACCTCGATATGTCTGAAAAAACCCTATTGGAGTTACATTAATCAAGACAGACATCCGCACAGTCGAGACACAGAACTTAATCCAACGGCACCAAGTCTCCCCAAAACCCATCCGATCCAACATATACAAGAGGAAATCCCAATTAGCGTTGTTATATGCCTTCTCAATATCCAATTTGCAGATCAAACCTGGGCGTTGTTGTCGAATCCGACAATCCACACTCATTGGCAACCAACACAGCATCCAAAATCTGCCTACCTCCTACAAATGCGTTCTGAGACTCAGACACCACAGACCGCAAAACCCGTCTTAAGTCTATTTGCTAGAACTTTGGTTAATATTTTATACATACTTTCCAACAAGCTAATAAGCCGAAAGTCAGGAACATCCTCAGCCCCCCTTTTCTTTGGGATCAAAGCCAAAAAAGTCGCATTAAAACTTTTCTCAAATTGGCCAGATCGGTAGAAAGCCTCCAAAGTTGTCATCACATCACCCTTCACCACACTCCAACAATGCTGAAAGAAAGCTAATGAGAAGCCATCTGGGCCTGAAGCTTTGTCACCACTCATAGCCTGTAAAGCCCCATACACCTCTTCCTCTGTAAAAGCACGCGCCAAATGCTGCCTATCCTCTCCCGAGATCATATCAAACTGAACCCATTCCAAGCTTGGGCGCCACTACCCTTCTTGTTGTCAAAACAAATTTTGATAGAAACCCACAATCCCTTCTCAAATCTCCGGATCCGTGCAAAGCTCTCGGCCATCCACCCACATCCTAGTAATTTGATTAATCTGCTGATGTGCATTCGCCATCCGATGAAAAAATTTCGTCTTTCGATCCCTATCCTTCAACCACAAACATCTAGATTTTTGTCTAAAGGACACCTCCTCTATGCTAGAAATATGAACAAAGTCCTGTCTGGCCGCCTCCTTCCGAGCACTATCAGTAGTGGACAAACCCCCTTGCGCCTCTAACTCATCAAGGGCGCGGAGTGAAGACACCACCTTCGCTTTCTGACCCTCTAACCGGCCAAACACCTCCTTATTCCATATCTTCAAATCTCCCTTGAGCAATTTCAGTTTATGGGCTAGCACATTACTATTAGAACCAGAAATGACATAGCTACTCCACCATCCATGCACCACATCCAAAAAACTCTCTGTTTGTAGCCACATATTCTCAAACCGAAATGGCGTGGGACCACGATGAATCCCCTCACTATCAAGCATAATAGGCCAATGATCAGACACTGGGCGAGAAAGACGTAATTGGATAGCCTTCGAAAAATGCTCCTCTCATCCCCCAGTCACCAGAAAACAATCAATACGAGATATCATCTGCCCATTTGACCAAGTGAAGCTGCCTCCCTGAATAGGTGAGTCAACCAACTGCAACGTATCAATAAAAGAGCAAAAGAACCTCATGGACCCCGAGACCCGATTGGTCCCCGACCTCTCTGATGGCCATCTAATAACATTGAAATCTCGCCCGACACACCACGGAACATCCCATCGAAATGCCATACTCTCCAACTCCTCCAGAAACCCTTCCCACTCTGAATGTTGCACCAGACCATACACCCTAGAAGGCCCACCGAAAGCCATCCTCCACACATTGAAACAAACAAGACATCGAAAACCCCTCCCACCTCCTCCTCCTCTTACAAGCTTAGCCTTTTTGGCAGTCAGAAATTCTTTTTACTTCTTCTATCCCAAAAGGCCTGTCAACTACGGCAAAAATGTCCACTCCACAAACCGTCCCCCCCCCATACCTCCCGAGTCAACTCTAGGTCCCAACTCCTCCATCTTTGTTTCTTGTAGACACACTACATCCACCTTGGCTCCACGCAACACAACCTTCGCAGCCACCCTTTTATCGTTATCATGCAAGCCCTGCACATTCCAAGATAAAATTTTTAGCTTCATTTCAAGAACAGTGGTCCCCCATGCTCTTTTCTAGCTCCCCGTCTGACATTCTGCCTCCTATGATCATAATTAACAGTTCACTCCAAATTCTTGAGCTCCCGGTGCCTTTTATCGGGGGAAATAAACGGTGTACCCAATCTCGTACTAGGAGCCCCTTGCCGCCATGATGCTTCTACTGCTGCGAATAATCGCATAGCCTCCTCTGCATGGGCCTCAAACAACAAACCCAGACAGCGGCTAACTTCCCTAATGCACTCCAACACCCAATTTGACACTACCTCAGAAGATGGAACCTCTAGCCCATCCAACCCACCGTTGTTCTGGAACATGTTTTGATGCTGTCCCAACAAGTCTTCTAATCCACCTCCCTCTGTAGTAAGGGGTTACAGTACAAAAGCTAGCCCTTCGGTATTGGTAAGCTCATTCTGTTCAACGCAATCTACTCAGGAAACGCCCTCATGTGCCGCAGTAGTTGGATCGACCTCAGCATCGTTAGCTTCCGAGGTCGTCGCTTGAGAACTAAGTCCACCCTCCTTTGCCAGTTGCCGCGACCCTTAGATCGTCGCCGATAGATTCGCGATGGGCCACCAACTCCCAGCCCAACTGTGTTTTGGATGAGCGATGCTGCATATTGACATTGACCATCTCCACCAGACCCGGCTCTCCTGGATTCGCCTTTGCCAGTTCATCATATCCACTGCTCGTGCCAACCCGACCCACCTAGCAAAAGGGGAACTGACCTGGGGTAACCTAGGTGGGCCCAATTTAGGTCCCTTTGGGCTTAAGTGACATGCTGAAGAGCTCGCTCCATTAGTCTCACAGGCCCAACCTTGAACTCCATTATTCTTTGCCACAACCCAAGCTTTGCGGCCCACATTTATATCCAATTATATAAGAAGTATCCGTTAAAAAGTATCTGACACATATCCCATATCCTAGTCCGAGTGTCGAATGTCTGACACAGGTATTTGACTTATTTTGAAGAGTCCGTGTTACATAGTCTTTTGGATCTCTGATGGTGGCATAATTAGTTGCACTCGTCGAGGATATGGAAGTGGTACGATTGGCCTTCTAACCATGCTTTATTTTACATGATATCATATGACTAAAAGTTGGTATTACTATGCAAGAGCTAGTTATGGGTACTAGGAAGATGGAATAATTTCCATAATATTGATATTTAAAACTCTTAGGCCATGTTTGATTGGCGGTTTGGATTAGTAATCCATGGGCCCCACTTAGACCGTGTTTGTTTGTAGAGAAATGGCTTGGATTGCTAATCCTATGGGACTATCAATCCCCTCCCCCATGGTGGGATTTGCATTCCCATGGGAGGGTTGGGATGGATTAGTGGCTAAATGACTATTTTGCCCCCCATTTTACAAAACCAACAAAATTATTTTGTATGTAACAAGGTCTTTTACATAATTTGTACATTTAATCTCAACTAACTAATGCCACTACACTAGTGCATAAACAAATACACTTATCTTATATCTCCAACTTAATTCTACCACACCATTAATCCCATTACTCAATCCCACTGTAGTCATAATCCCATCCTACCTAATCCGGCAAACAAATGTGGCCGTTAGTTGTAGAAAGTACAGTTATTGTCCTTTAATTAAATTTACAATTTGGCTTAGATGTAACTTTGGTCAATAGTATTATTATACTATCCATTTTGATTGATGAAAACAAGAAAGGTTACAAACTCACAGAAGTACTTATCCTTTTAACTCTCTCTTCATTTATTGCTGTTCTCTTGTGATGAGCTGATACAGATCATGGCATGGAATACCCTTGCTGATGAGTCCCCTTCAAATGTATCTTAATTTACGAGCTTAGCTTTTTTGGAAGTCAGAAATTCTTTTTACTTCTTCTATCCCAAAAGGCCTGTCAACTAGTTTTATGTTGTTCCCTGACCTTTCCCTGACCTTGGTCACTAATTCATGTGTAAAATTTTGATTCATCTACTTGAAGAGCTATAAAAATTTTAGGTTTGAAATAGAGATTCTCCTGGGTGATACTACCTGGTTTATAAGACCCACATTTGTTTTCGATTGTCAGTGTTGAAGATAAGGCACTTACGGTTCGAGATTGATGGGACAAAGTATGTGGAAGATTGAATTTTCAAATTCTATAACCAAAAAGTGCACTTGGATATAGAACTTGCATGGTGATGTGCCAAAAAGAACTTGAAAGGACGCCAGGAATAGTTGTCATATTCCATGCTGGGATGTTAAATTGTCCAAGCAAACTTGTTCTTTCATTTATTCCTACTTTATTGTGTTGTATATATGTTTTGCACCTTGGTTTTGGATTGAACTTTCTAGAGTGTTGTAAGTTACTGTCTTTGATTGCTTTACTTGGTGTTATTTGTCTGCTCCATACCTGTTTTCTTTTTCATTTTTTTCTTTCTTGCAGATTTATCTCCTAGATATTTATTTGTTTTACACCATCATATCTGCGGTGTGGGGTTTCTTGCTCGGGGCTAGAGATCGTCTTGGGGAGGTAAGTCACTTCTATCAGATTGGTTGAATTCTGAGTGATGATATCTGGACTTTCTATACTTCATTTTTGCAGCACAATATTATCATGAAGCTGATTTTTTTTCTTATTTTTCAACAATTGAAGCTCCCAATTTGGCTTCGTTCTTGTTGGATTGATGCCCTTTTGTGTTGTTTTTTTGTTTGAGGAAGTTGATTCATAGTTTCCCACTTCTCGTTGCTTGTCTTAAATGATGTGAGGTAATTATCCATTTGTTTTCTGTGATCTTCAGATTAGATCCTTGGGGGCAGTCCACAAATTATTTGAGAAGTTCCCCGAGGCTTTTATCGATAAGCTTCATGTTCCTCTTTCTAAAAGGTTTGTTGTTTGTGTGTTCTTGTTTCCATTTTCCCATTTAGGCTGTTACAAATTATGAATCCAATTATATGTTTTTCTATAGTAACTGAGAAAGAACTTTTTATTTATTTATTTATTTTTTATGCAGGACTAACCTTCTCTCCAATGGTCAAGTGAGTCATAATTTCGACATCACTATAGTGCTGGCTGTTTTAATAATATTATGTTGTTGCATTAACTATAGAAGTTTACTGTCTTGTGAGTTTTGGGATTATATGGGTGATTGTTCCTAAGTTTAGTATGTCCGCTGCTTCGCGATGATTTGCTTTGGGTTGGTGCTGGCATATACTCTTCAGTGGCTTTTATAATTCTACAACGATCTTCTTTTTTCTCTTCTTTCCAAGCAATGACTTGGTAAAAATGTTGCACCTTTGTGCAATCTGACTAAACAAGGTATTGTGTTTCACCTTGTAGGGTAATCACCTACGGCAATCAAATTATATGAAGTTTTAGGCTTTAGAATTCCTGAACCTGAAAACCCTAAAGGCGTAGTTTATATGTATAAAGCTGTAAATCATTGGCTCCCAAGTTATTTTCTGCAATGTGATGTGCTTTGTGTCCGTAGACATGTGTTGCTCAAGTGTCTAAAGTGTGAACCTTAGTAGCTGTAAACTTCTACCTACTTTGGTAACGTTTCTGTTAATTTTACAGTAGAAGAAGAAGAAGAAGAAGAAGAAGAAGAAGAAGAGAGAATTGCACAAGATGGCTGGAGAGAAAAAAAAGTGACCCAAAACTTAGTGTTCTCTTCTTAGACTCTCATATTTATAATAATAGACACACTTATATAAGTACCAAAATAACCCTAACACTTAACACTCTCCCTCAAGTTGGTGCGAACATATCTCTCATGCCCAACTTGCAACAAATGGGTGAAAGACCTTAGTACTAAAACCTTTAGTAAATACATCAGCCAATTGCTTTTCAGATTTCACGAAAGGCATACATATTAAACCCTTATTCAATTTCTCCTTAATAAAATGTTTGTCAATTTCAATATGTTTAGTCCTATCATGTTGAACAGGATTGTGCACGATATTGATGGCAACTTTGTTGTCACATTACAGTCTCAGGTTCACTGCAAACCATTCCTATATCACTCAACAAGGACTGAAATCACATAAGTTTACATGCGTCATAGCTCTGTATTCTACCTCTGCACTAGACCTGGATACTTGTTTGACATTTTTGGGAGACATGCTGCTGAAGTAAGAAGCTTTTGTAGGAGGGAGGTCGAGCGCAAGTATGTTTGTGAGGTATAGGGTGGACCTCTGAAAGAGTTTACAAGCTCTTATGAGGTAGAGGGCTTATTTGTTTTGCTATTGGAGACACAAGAGTGGGGTAGGATTTTAGATTGATGAACGATGTGGGAAAACTTCTTCGGTCAAAACTTTTCCAGAGCTCTATATTATTGCGGCTAATAAAGATGTGATGGTTTATGGTTATTTGTAGTTCTTAGGGTTGGGAGTGGGGTGGGAAGCTTTTGCTAGGGCCTTTATGGGTTGGGAGTTTGATACACTTTTGATGAATTTTTGATGTAATTATATAGAGTGAGGATTAATGGTGTTAGGCAAGATGAATTGAAATGAAAAAGTAAATGGGGAAATCAACAGTTAAATGTTTATTCTCTTATGTTATGTGACAAGGGTGAGGGGTTTTCTATGGATGTATGTTTGGAAATCAAGGGTTACCGTCAATGTAGCTTTCATTATTTTGATGGCAACTTTGGATGCTATTGTTGTAATGATAAATTTGGGCAAGTGAGGCTTTGTTCTGTTTTTTTTTCCCCCTTGGCTAATTGGTGGTCGATGTGCAAAAGTGGAGGAGTCGGTTTATTATAATGTAGCCGGAGACTTTTGAAGCTTATTATTTTCTTTGTTTGGTGTGAGTTAGTTTATGATAGCTTTTGTGCTTCAACTTTATGATTGTAAGTCTTGTGGTTGACATTTGAAGGGTGTGATGAAGGCTTGGAGGGTTGCTTCTATATGCTAAATGCAGTGCCTTAAAAGAGAGAACAATCAACGGAGTTTTGAAGATGTACAAATGGTTATATTGTGAATCTTGCTTACTTCGATATATTCACTTTTGGCTTGAAGGGGGAATTTTGTGAATCTTTTTTTGTTGGTGGATTTTGTAAGAGGGTTCCATTTTAGGGAGAGCATATAGTTTTGTTATTTTGTAACTTGGTACCTTTTGTTTTTCTCTGGTGCACAAGCTTGGTGCCCCCTTGGCATTCATTTAATGTAATTCATACGTAATGAAAAAAATGTCTCAGTGCATATTTAATGAGTGTTAGTGTTTGACACTAGTACATATACTTTTCCTTGCATTTTTGCCTTTATAACTGTTGGATCTTTCTAAGAATATTATTTTGGTGGATAAATTGAATTATTGTGAAACTTAATTGTTTAATTGAAGGTTTTGGAAAAGATCAAGACAGATGCTGCTCAATTTTCTCCCTTTTGGAATGAAATTATAAAGAATCTACGAGAAGAGGATTATATTACAAATTTGTGAGTGTTGCTAGTTTCTGCTGTTGTGGCTTTTTGGGTTCATATATTAATAATTATTGTTTTATTTACATGTTTATTATTCTTTGTTTCCCTTCTTTATTGTTGTGATTTAATACTGCTTGAAGGGAAATGGAGTTGCTTCTAATGCCTAAGAATACTGGGAACTTACCCATGGTTCAGTGGCCCCTTTTCCTTCTTGCCAGCCAGGTATGATAGTTGTTCCTTATTAATTTATTTGGATTTATTTATTTATTTTATTTCTTGAAGTTGTAGTTCTTTAGGTTTTGTCGATTTTTAGTTCAAGTTTTCATTGTTTATATATATGTATATATATAGATTTTTGTAGCTAAAGATATTGCGATAGAGAGTAGAGATTCACAAGAGTTATGGGATAGGATCTTGAGGGATGACTACATGAAATACGCAGTTGAGGAATGCTATTACACCGTCAGGATTATCCTGACAGCCATCTTAGATGATGAAGCAAAGAAGTGGTAAGTATATATTAAATAGTTCTTATGCTTTATTTTGTATAGACATGTGCTTTTGTGATATGATTAACTTTTCAAACATAGTGTTGTAGGCTTCTTTTCTAATTCTATTTTTATGTCAGGGTTGAAAGGATTTATGAAGACATTCACACGAGTATGGTGAAGAGGGATATTCATAAAGATTTTCGATTGGATAAGCTGCCACTTGTGATTTCAAGAATCACTGCACTTATGGGAATACTGGTTAGTATTATAATTGATTATAATCTTTATATGCACACTGGATTCACAGAAATGAAATTAATAGTAGCTAAAATTTACCACTTGTGATTAGTCACTGCCCTTACAGAAAAACTTGTTGGTATTGTAATTGATTATAATCTTTATATGCACAGAAGTGAAATTAGTATGTAGCTAAATTTTTTGTTTTGATGACAATTGATGAAGCATGGGTACTCAAAAAATGTTGTTGTACAAGTATCAGGTACTTACTTGCTACGGGTATGCGTACCGGTACGGCTGCATGCGTACTGGGTATGGCAAAAATGTACCAGATACATTTTATACAGCTTGTAGGAGTCTGATACGCTTTGGGTACGCGGTGGGTACTCCATTGGTATGCGGCTGGGTACTATGGGATAAAAACATAATTTTTAGAATTTTTTAAGGGGCACCGGAGCAGTTATTTTTGCCCATTTTGAAAAATTAAATAAATGTGGGGTCTTTTGTAATAATAAAAAACATAAAACGATTAGGTTTACAAACCCATTTATCATTTCTCTTCTTCGATCATTCTGGGTACTCCCGTCAAAGAACAGAGTTGGTGAAGCAACTCTCCATCGAATACGGCACTGCTGGTCGACAGCAAAAGCTCGATTTCTGGTTTCTTAGTTCTTCATCTTCCTCTTCATTTTCTTTTTCTTCCTCTTTCTTCTTCTTTGGCGAGTGTTAAGGGTTAGGGGTAGTTTGGTCTTTATGTATTATTCTTATTAGTATAAGTAGTTGTGTGTAAGGGGGAAACCCTAAGTTTTTGAATCAATAATCTACAGCAGCTTTCTCTTGTTCTATTCCTTCTTCTTATTCTTCTTCTTCTTCTTCTTCTTCTTCTTCTTATCTATACATTTAACATGGTATCAGAGCACTATCTTCCTCCTTCAAGATTGTTCCGTAGATCCCCATATTGTTCCTGGTACGTCTGTTATTGCCACACACACAAAAAAAAAAAAAATAAATAAATAAATTTACAGTATGCTCGAAATTTAATGGGTAATCACTCTATAATCTCATTTTGATTGTTTGGTCATTATTGATTGAATTTTCTAATTTTTTTGATTTTTCGTCAAAATTGGGTGATTTTTCGAAAATCACTGTTTGACCCTCTTTTTTCTGGTTTGTCCCTTCTTCTCCTATCCTTGGGAGCCGACTGGAACCCTAGAGGGGTTTGTTGTCCCTAGTTTGATGTATTTTGGCCCTATTTTGGATTTTTATCTCTGTTCAGATGCTCTGCTTCGGTTTTTTGACTTGTAGTTGATCTGGTTGCTCTGTTTTGGACTTCTTTTGGACTGTTTTAGCCTTAGAAGGTGTTTGGTGTGCTGGTTGGGTGATTTGTGAACTTGTTTGATATCCGGCTTGTGTTTTTTGCACCCTCTTTTCTCATCTCATGGCTGACAGCTTGGGTCAGGACTCTAAGGGCAAGGAGGAGAGTGGACTGAGTCGTGGTCTGACTCTTGGTGATAGTCCTTCTCTCCAGATTAGTCCAGTCAAACTTAATGGTCTTAATTACTTGATTTGGTCCCGTTCCTGTAGTCTTGCGATTGCCGCCCGGCGTTTGACTAGCTATATTACTGGTAGTAGCACCCAGCCACCTACTGAGGATAGTACTTTATTTGCTCAATGGATTTCTAAGAATACTTTAGTTATAACTTGGCTCATCAATTCTATGGAGCCCACCATTAGTCGGACTTTTCTCTTGATGGATACTGCTCACAAGATCTGGATAGCTGCCTCTCAAATGTATTCTCAACAAGGGAATGATGCACAGGTCTATGAATTGCGTAAGACAATTAGGGGTTTAGATCAGAAGGATCGCTCTCTGGCAGTCTACTATGCTGAGTTGAGTGGTTTGTGGCAAGAGCTAGATTTCTACCAGAGTTTCCAGCCAGTTTGCTCCAAGGATGCCACTATGTTTCAGCAGGCTGTGGAGAAGGAGCGGGTGTATGACTTTCTTGCTGGTCTGAATTTGGAGTATGATCAGATACGGGTTCAGGTGTTGGGTCGCTCTCCGTTTCCTACATTGCGTGAGGCTTATGCCCTGGTTCAGCAGGAGGAGAGTCGTCGCAGTGCTATGGTGCATGCTCCTGTTCTGGATCGGTCAGCGATGGTTGTCGGCCCCAGGTCACATGATACTCCACCTTTTCTGCCTCCAGGTGGTGGTAAGGGTCCATTGGTTGATCGGGACCGGTTGAAGTGTGAGTATTATGGGAAAGATAGACATGATAAAGAACACTGTTGGAAGTTGTATGGCCGCCCTAGTCAAGGCCGTGGTCGTGGTGGTGGTGTTCGTCCTCAAGCACATGTTTCTGAGACTACTGCCAGTGCCTCGAATGATGTTAGTTCTATTTTCCCGGATGAGCTTCACACTTTCAGACGTTTGATGGTTCGACTTGATTCTTCATCTGCCTTAGCTCCTTCCTCTTCTAACTTTGCTCACACAGGTATTTCTGCTAGTGCTCTCAGTGCTTCTTCGTCGTCTCCTTGGATCATTGATTCTGGTGCTACCGATCACATGACGGGTACTTCTAGTTTTTTTCATTCTTATTCACCTAGTTCTGGGCGAGATAAGGTTAGAGTGGCTGATGGCACTTTATTTTCTATCTTCGGCAAGGGTTCTGTTCGTTGCACCTCTTTACTTTCGCTTTCATCTGTTCTTCATGTTCCTAATTTTTCAACTAACTTACTTTCTGTTAGTAGCCTTACTACTACTGCTCTCAATTGCTCTGTAACCTTTTTTCCGACTCATTGTGTCTTTCAGGAACTGGCTACGGCGAAAATGATTGGCAGTGGTAGAGCACAAAATGGTTTGTACTTTCTGGATGCCATGCCTGCCTCATCTTTGTCCTCTCAGGCTCTTCAATGCACTTCTGGCTCCTCCCTTCGTCTCTTTCATCAGTGGCATCGCCGTTTGGGCCATCCTTCCTTTAGCATTTTAGAGAAACTTTTTCCTTTATTAGTTCGTGATTGTCCTAGGAATAACTTTGTTTGTGATGCTTGTGAGCTTGCTAAGCATAAACGTACTTGTTATCCTTCAATTAATAAAAGAAGTATTTTTCCTTTTATGCTTATTCATACCGATGTGTGGGGTCCTTCTCCTATTGTTTCTGCCTCTGGTTATCGATGGTTTGTCACATTCATTGATTGTTATTCTCGTGTGACTTGGCTTTATTTACTTCGTACAAAAAATGAAGTTTTCTCATGCTTTAAAAGTTTTCATAAAATGGTATCCAATCTCTTCAATGCTACTATCAAAATTCTTAGGAGTGACAATGGGACTGAGTATGTTGATGGCGCTTTCCGGGCATACCTCGACGACCATGGCATTCTTTATCAGACTAGTTGTGTTGGCACTCATGAACAGAATGGAGTTGCTGAACGTAAGAATGGCCATCTACTTGAGGTTGCTCGCTCTCTCTTGTTTACCATGAACGTTCCTAAGTCCTTTTGGGGGGATGCAGTTCTTACCGCGGCTTATCTTATTAACCGTATGCCCTCTAGTGTCCTCCACTTCGAAATTCCTCTTGAGCTTCTTCCTGTGACGTATCCCACTTCTTCTCTTCCGCCTCGGGTTTTTGGTAGTGTCTGTTTTGTTCATCTTCAACCTCGGACTCGTGGGAAGCTTGATCCTAAGGCTGTCCGGTGTGTCTTTCTTGGTTATTCTGCTACTCAGAAAGGCTACAAATGCTATGACCCTCACTCTCATAGGTTGTATGTTAGTATGGATGTCACCTTCCGTGAATCTGAGTCTTTTTTTCCTGGTCCTCAGCCATCTCCTCAGGGGGAGCGTGGTATCGATGAGATTGCGGATGAGACGGCATCATATCAGCATGAGTTGTCTTTTTTCCTTCCTCCTCAACGGGCTGTTATTTGTGGTGAGGGGGAGCCTAGGAGTTCTGTTGATGAGGAGTCGGATATCGGTGGTCGTTTGGACAGAGCTGATCTTAAGACTTATTCACGGCGTCAGAAAGAGCCGGCTTCTCTTGTGCCACCAAGTCAATCATCATCTCCTATGCCAGTTCCACACCCAGTTTCCACTAACTCTTCAGGTAATGATCCTCATCTCATTTCTTCACCTGTTGTTGATGGTCCTATTACGGATGATTTGAGTCTTCCTATTGCTCTCAGAAAGGGTGTTAGAGCTTGTACTCAACACCCTATTTCTAAATTCGTGTCATTTGATTCGTTGTCTTCTACGTATCGTGCTTTTGTTTAGTCCCTTTCTTCTGTGTGTATTCCGCAGGGTTAGAAAGAAGCCATCAATGATCCTAAGTGGAAGGTAGCTGTGGTAGAAGAGATGCAAGCTTTGAGTAAAAATAGCACATTGGGAGTTGGTGTCTCTTCCAAATGGGAAACACCCAGTCGGATGTAAGTGGGTGTTCACCATTAAGCACAATGCAGATGGGACGATTGAACGGAACAAAGCAAGACTAGTGGCCAAGGGATTTACCCAAACATATGGAATAGATTATCAAGAAACTTTTGCCCCGGTAGCAAAGATGAATTCCATTCGAGCTATTCTGTCATGTGTGGCTAATTTGGGATGGTCTCTACAACAACTAGATGTGAAGAATGCTTTTCTTCATGGGGATTTGGAGGAGGAGGTATATATGAATGTACCTCCAGAATTCTCATCTCAGTCTACAGTTGGAAAGGTTGGTAGATTAAAGAAGGCTTTGTACGGTTTGAAACAATCTCCTAGAGCTTGGTTTGGTAGATTCCTCGAGGCAATGCTGGGATTTGGGTATCAGCAAAGCAATGCGGATCACACCTTGTTTGTCAAACGCAATGTACATAAGGTAACAGTGCTTATTGTATACGTGGATGACATAGCTGTGACTGGTAATGATGAGGAGGAGGTGATCCATCTCAAGATGCAGTTAGCCAAGGAGTTTGAGATAAAAGAACTTGGTCCATTGAGATACTTCCTTGGGATTGAAGTTGCTAGATCTGACAAAGGCATCTTTATTTCTCAAAGGAAGTGCATTCTAGATCTTCTTGAGGAAACGGGCATGTTGGGCTGTAGACCAGTTGATTCACCAATTGAGACTAATCATCATCTTTGTAGTGGAATTGGTGAGCCTGTGGAGAAGGAAAGGTACCAAAGACTTGTGGGAAGACTAATATATCTCTCTCATACTCGTCCAGATATTGCCTATGCAGTTGGAATAGTGAGTCAGTTTATGCATGATCCTCGTGTAACTCATTTGGATGCAGTCTATCGCATTTTGAGGTACCTTAAATCTGCCCCTGGAAAAGGAATTTTGTTCTCTAATCATGGTCACTTGAGGTTGGAAGCATTCACAGATGCAGATTGGGCAGGCTCTATAGATGACCGACGCTCTACATCTGGTTATTGTGCTTTTTTAAGGGGAAATCTAGTCACATGGCGTAGTAAGAAGCAGGGGGTCGTTTCTAGATCTAGTGCTGAAGCTGAATACAGGGCTATGACACATGGAACATGTGAACTAATGTGGCTTCAATCTTTGTTGAGTGATATAGGGCTTAATTGGAGTGGTCCCATGACTTTGTATTGCGACAACAAGGCTGCTATTAGTATTGCACACAATCCTGTTCAACATGACCGGACTAAGCATATTGAGATTGATAGACATTCATTAAGGAGAAATTGAATAAGGGTGTGATATGTATGCCTTTTGTTAAGTCTGAAGATCAGCTGGCGGATGTTTTTACTAAGGGTCTTAGTAGTAAAGTCTTTCATCCTATTTGTTGCAAGTTGGACATGAGAAACATCTTTGCACCAACTTGAGGGGGAGTGTTAAGTGTTAGGGGTAGTTTGGTCTTTATGTATTATTCTTATTAGTATAAGTAGTTGTGTGTAAGGGGGAAACTCTAAGTTTTTGAATCAATAATCTACAGCAGCTTTCTCTTGTTCTATTCCTTCTTCTTATTCTTCTTCTTCTTCTTCTTCTTCTCATCTATACATTTAACAGCGAGTTATGTTTTTTGGATTTTTGTTTCTTCGATTCTGGCAATTCTTCCACTTCTTCGATTCTTTCAGATTCTTCTTCATCTTTCTTCGATTCTTCGCTCTTTTCTTTTTTTCAAATTATTTTTCATATTTAGGTGAGTCTCTCTCTCTCTCTCTCTATATATATAATAGAATAGAGTAGATATATCTATCATTTCAGAGTTTTTAGTTAGTTTTTTTTTTTTTTTTTTGTACATATCTATTGTTTCCTCTTTCTTCTCGATTCTTCTTTTGTTTTATTTTTTCCCCCCCTCTTCTTACTTTGTTGTAGTAGATCAGAATCATACAAAATAAAAAGATAAATTTTTTTAATTGCTTTCAGCATAGTATTAATGATTTCAAATTGTTATTTGAATATTTGAAAATTATATATTTGAATGAAGTGAAAGAATTCACAAGTTGGTGGTATTGTTGGTAATTAATGACATTAAAATAGCTCGGGACTTACTTTGGTATTGTTGGTATTGTTGAACAATGATTTATTTTTTAGTTTTGTAATTTTTCTTTTTAATTAATTATGGTACTAGACTTTGATTTCTATGTTGGATGTTTAGCTATCAATTTTAAAAAATATATATTATTAGCATACCCCAATCATACCCGTACTTTGGTTTTTTTAGAATTTGACGTATCGGCCTAGATGTCAATTTCATTGATATTAGAAAATGGGTATAGACTCAATCATTTTGTCATTGCTGCGGCTCCTTCGAGTTGTTGATGGTACATTGCCTGTGCTTGGTGTAACTTCTGGCATGCTAAAAGTTGATGATATAAACAATTAAAGCATCCTTTCCCTAGCTTTTCAGTAATTAGCTTATTTTTATCAAATTAATTAAGTCATTTTTTGCCTCATAAGTTGTAAGTAGAAGTTGCAGCAAACACTTTGGCTAAACTCCCAAAATAAAATAAATACCATAAGCACCCCTAGAAGTTTCTCCAAATGGGGCCAACAAATATATGTGGTCTAAGAAGCACATACACTGACACAAGGGGTAGCAATTTTGAAGGGGAAAAAAATAAAGGATACAAACATGGTGGGGATACATGAAAAGGTATATTTTTGTAAAATTTTATCTGCTATGTATATGGATATAAATTTAGGGCACAGAGATACAAGTGGCATTGATGTGTATGTGAGTGTATACTTTTTTTCCCTACTTTTTTCTTTTGTTTTCATATATTTTATTTTACCCCAAATCAACTGTATAAAATTATACAAAAAAACACAAAGCTGTCGTAAGACGTGTTTTAGTCACTTGACACATGTATCCGTGAAGTGTTCCCAACATGACTTGCAAAAAATAATGGTTAAAATAATTGACACACCACATGGCATACCGACGTGTAGACATTTGTCAGCTGCTTGTCGGTATCCGATGTGTCGGACATGGACAATGTATCCATTTTGGACTGTGTGCTTTCTAATATGTGGTTGCTTAACTGTTTAGATATCATAATTCATTGTATAGCTTTGGCTGTTCTCTCGTATTATCTATGTTAGAGGAATATGAATTCTAATGTCAATCTCCTTTTTTCCAGTTATAATGCCATTTTTCCTTTCATGATTGATTTTCACTTGTTGATGGATGCTTTCCAAGTTTATGGAAATAACCTCTCAATAAAGCAAAGGACTAAAATGATTGAGAGAAAAATATTGGGGATAAGTTTGAGAGAGGTGGAGGAAATGAGCAGAAGACTTGTAAAGTTGATCGGGAAAAGTAAACTGATCAACCATAAATTGCTTTTTGTTATGTACATTTGCATGAGGAAGATATTAGTTACCCTGTTTATGAAGATTAGGGCCTACAACACTACCTAAAGCTGGGGTTTCTCTCATTGGTTTGATTCACCACCCATGCAAAATGGCGGCGTTTCGATTACATAAGTTATGGGATAGAAGATTTTGTTTCCTGTAACCATTGGCGTGGCTACGCTCCTAACATGTTTATTCATGTCCTCGTGGTTTCCACAATTGATTCTCAAATGATTGGAAAAATTGAGTCTTAGGATTGTGTATGGATTAACTTGTAAGCACATACAGACCTTGTAGGCTGTTGTGTCTGTGTGCGACAATTATTGGATGTGTACATGTGTCAAATATGCATCTGGAAATGTCTTATTAATGTGAATTTTCTTTAAAATTAGTCTCTCAAACAAAATGACATGCTGCAAACAAAGGATGGGCAATTGTGTCTGTCTTTTGCTTCAACATGCTTGGGATGACACACATCAGATTTGTTTAGGTTCCTCATCCTCTGTACTCAATCTCTATTGTACAGAAAGAGGTGGAAACACCAGAACTGAAAAATGGTGCAGTCAAAGCTATTCAAGATCTCTATGATGTCGTGCGCCTTGATGTCCTTAATCTCAACATGAGGTTGGTTCAACTGGCTAATCTCTTTCTTGCACTAGTATATTATTCAATTATTCTGCAGCTCTCTTTATACAACTTTCCATGTATGCATTTTTGTTAGAGAACACTATGAGACTTGGAATATGTTGTCAAAAGCAAGGAATGAAGGTCGTCTATTTATGAACTTAAACTGGCCACGAGATGTGATGTCGTGCGCCTTGATGTCCTTAATCTCAACATGAGGTTGGTTCAACTGGCTAATCTCTTTCTTGCACTAGTATATTATGCAATTATTCTGCAGCTCTCTTTATACAACTTTCCATGTATGCATTTTTGTTAGAGAACACTATGAGACTTGGAATACGTTGTCAAAAGCAAGGAATGAAGGTCGTCTATTTATGAACTTAAACTGGCCGCGAGATGCTGAATTGGTATGCTTGATGCACATTCAGTCATTTATTACTTTGACTTTGAGGTATTGTAATTCTCAAAAAATTGCAGAGAGCACAAGTAAAAAGATTGTGTTCCCTTTTGAGTATCAAAGACTCAGCGGCAAATATTCCCAAGAATCTTGAGGCTAGGCGAAGGTTGGAATTCTTCACAAATTCCCTCTTCATGGATATGCCCCCTGCCAAACCAGTCCGTGAGATGTTGTCCTTCAGGTAATATCTTTTGTTTGATGCACCATTTTGGCTTTGTTTTTTTAACACCCTTTGATAGTAAGTTTGTTGTTATTTCCATTTCTTTGTTTTGTGTAGTGTGTTCACGCCATACTATTCTGAGACTGTTCTGTATAGCATGGATGAACTTCTAAAGAAAAATGAAGATGGGATATCAATTTTATTTTACCTCCAGAAGATATATCCAGGTATACTCAATTATACTGCACTTCGTAGGAAGTTGTATCTGCTTTGTGTCAGAACTTTAGTGACCAAATGGGAGAAGTATGTTTGTTCATTTCATCTATTTGTCATTCTTAGCATCTATGTTGATGACTGTTAGAAGCATAAATACATTCCCTCACTTGGGCTTACACTCGGAAATTATTTTTAGAGACTTCCATCTGTCTCAAATATTGTCTTGAGTCTGAGTTGTGCAACTTTCATGCATAGATCAGCTTTGATGGTTTTTATTGATTTTTTATATTAGTACTACTTTGGTTTTTGGTAGATGTTGTTAGTGTATGGGGTGGTCTTCCATCCTGCATACATTGGATGTACTTGGGTTGTGTCCCTTTTGGTGCATTTAAAGTGGATTGTTTTACGTGGTAAAAGGAATTCTCTTATATAAATATTTTGTAAGCTTCTCAACAATACATCGTTGAATTTTAACTAGACATTGGAATTGCTCCTATAATCGTATTTCTCTCTCCTCAAATTTTCAAACCAAAAAAATTCATCCAAAAAAGAAAATGATGTTTTCGAACTTGTAATTGTTTTTGTTTTCAGAAATATGAAAAACAGAAATACAACCAAACATGTCCTATGTTTTTTCCCTTTCTTGAGAGGGAGGTTGCGGCATTGAGATGGCTCATGTTAGGCTTATGTTTTACCTGAACTTGGCATGTGTTGATGTTTTCTTTCCTTTAGCTTGAATAAATTCCCTACAGAGCCCAGAGTAAGTTTTGACATGGTTTTTCAATATGTAGTACACTTAAGAGTTTTGATAGTGATTGTTAATTGAACTGGTTTGGATGACTAATATGCATCGTTATTGGAAGAAAGATTTGAATGGGTGATTCATATTATTATTTTCCATTGTTATGTTTTTAAGTTGGGTACGTTATCAAAAAGAAGATTGTGTGTGTGTGTGTGTGTGTGTGTGTGCGCTTTTTTTTTTTTTTTTAAATTTTGTCTACTAATATATTTCCCCACACATAGAAAAACATAATAAACTCTAGTTAAAGGTTTAAAATATTTTTTTAGTGTGATGTGGTCTATCAAGCACCGACACTTCAAAACAAGTGCCATATCCGTGTCACACACAGAGACACTTTAGGGACACACCACATGGCGTGTCCCCTTATTTAATTAATTTATTTTTAGGGGACACACTGGGGACACTTCGAGAACACATTAGGGATATGCCAAGTTGTCTTTTTTCGTCAGATTATTTAGTGCTTTTGATGAATATTGAATGTTTATTATTTTTTTTTCTTAGATTTGAATAAAATTGTAAGTGTTAATTTAAAAGCGCTTTTTTTTATGTTTTAAAAAAAAGAAAAGAATTAAAGTTAGTTTTTGTTAATATCGATTGTTTGTGGATGTAATATTAATCTAGATAGCAAATAAAAATATATGAAAACATATTTTATTGTCGTGTCTCCGCTGTGTCCGTGCCCCTATTTTTTTGAAATCGCCGTGTCCGCATCCGTGTCCATGCTTCTTAGGATGTGGTGCTAGCTATTATGATTATTTGAAAATTTTGCGTATTTTCTGCGTTGTGCACTGCTACATTATTTTTTGTACCGTAAATCTTGCCTATATGATTTACTGGCTTTTCAGGGTCCTCAAACTAATGTGTGTAATCTGAACTCTACTCTTCACACTCTTTGCTTAATGTGGTAAAATGATATTGCTCTTCATTGCAGATGAGTGGCAGAATTTTCTTGCTCGGATTGGCCGCGATGAAAATGCAATTGACTCAGAACTTTTTGACAATCCCAGTGATATCCTTGAACTTCAGTTTTGGGCTTCATACCGAGGACAAACTTTAGCTAGAACTGGTAAATGCTTTCTATTTTTGTGATTTTTCTTCGCTTAATCTTATTATTGATTTGATAATAGTCAAAAAAGTATATCTTATAAACAAATTAGGATGAGATGTTCTTTTGGGAAAAGCAGAGAAAACACAAGAAGGAAATGCAATTAAACATCCAGGTCACCTTGAAGCTCAAGTGGGCTAAAAAACATTCCTTAACAGCAAGCAGATGTTCCCTTCTGGCTGGAGCTTATGCTTCCTCATTATCTGATCTGAGAATTTATGTGTCCCTTATTTTTGCCAAAATCGACATTTATTATTCTAAAACCTAACAATAATTATTTGAGAAAACCAACCCTTCTATGTACTGCTTGATACTGAATCCAGTATTCGCTGGTCTAGTGAAATCAAATGTAATTTCTCCATTATTGTCTCTGTTGGGTCTATTGAAATCAAATGTAACTTCTCCATTGTTGTCTGTATTGATGCCATCAGTGCATGGTAGATTCGGGGAGCATCGATTAAAGGTGCAGGGTAGACGATTTTAGAACAGAATTCCCATTGTCACCAAGATTTTGTGATCTGCTGCCAAACTTATTCCAATTCCTATATTGATATACTGATTTGATCCAAGCTCTCTTATTGAATTCTCATTCAATGAGCATTCTCAATATTATGCTTCAATAGAGTCAATGCTTTTACTCCCTGTATGGAATAACCATCGCAAGAAAATAATCTCATGAATTTTGATAATTGAGTGTGGGGACCTCATGTGACAAGGGGATCAATGACTTTTGATTAGCGTGGCTGATCTGTTGGAGAATGTGTATTCTCCATATAGCTGACTCCTTGTAATTGGTATAAAGGTTTGTTGAATTGTTCTTCTCCATGCTTATGGAATCTTGATGTTGTTGATTATTTTTTTTCTTCATGCAGTTCGGGGAATGATGTACTACAGAAAAGCTTTGATGCTTCAGACCTATTTGGAAAGGATGACCGCTGAAGGTTCGCAATTTGAACTTCAGTTATGTTTTTGTGCGTATTTTCTGTAACCTCATATTGTGCGAATGGCAGATATGGAAGCTTCACTTTCCACTAAAGACGCAACTAATACTCAAGGTTTCGAGTTATCTCCCGAGGCACGAGCTCATGCAGATCTGAAATTTACATATGTTGTTACATGTCAGATATATGGGAAACAGAAAGAAGAACAGAAACCTGAGGCTGCAGACATTGCATTGCTAATGCAGAGGCATGTTACTAGCAATTCATATATTTGATTTTTTGAATTTTCTTTGAAAGTATTTTAATTGTGTATTTTTTGTTTGAATTCCATCATATTTGTGTCAACTACTCATGATGTTCTGGATTTTCTGTTGATTGTTGATTTTGTTATATACTTGTAGAAATGAAGCTCTTCGAGTTGCTTTTATTGACCTTATTGAGACTTTAGAGGATGGTAAAGTGCACACGGAATACTACTCCAAGCTTGTGAAAGCTGACATCAACAGCAAAGACAAGGTTCATAAATAATTCCATGTCCTTGTTACCTATTTAATCCCTATTATCTTTTGTTTATTTTCATATGGCCTCGTTTGGCATCTAGCTAAAAAAGTCACATTTTTTTCATAACTTTTTGTCTTTAGTTAATTTTTATATATATATTTTTTAAATTTGTGTCAAAATGATTTACTTTTCCAGTCCGTATAGCATAGAAGAATCTAAATTTTTTTTTTTGAAAAAATCGAAAAAATCCCTTATTTTTTTAGTGGACTTTTTTTTTCAAATTTATTTATTTATTATTTTTTACTTTTTTCGTTTGTCTAGTCAAGTAGAACTTAAAAGTCTAAAGCTTTTTGAAAAATTTAAAAGAAAAAAAAAAAGGTTCACTAAAAATGAAGAAAAGTCAACAAAAAAGACCACTAAAAACCCAATCCCAAACACCTTAATCATTTATGTCCAAATGGTATTCATTTTTTTTATTTATTTTGAGGATTGGACATTGAAAATTACAGCTTAAACAATCAGAACAATTTTTTGCGCTTGTTTTACTGATTCATATCTCCTTGTATTTTGTTTTTGTTCTCTATTCTAGTTTTGAAGGGGAGAACTAGTTTGAATCCTTAGTTTGAAATCAAAGTGGAAATTAATTGTCATGATTAAATCCCGTCCATGAGGCGTCTTTCGTCAAAACAAAGAATGGACTAAGATATATCAAGGCTTAACAATGGAAACTTTCATTGTTAATTCGTTAAGTCCATTAGAGCAGTGCATAGTCAAATGAGATGAACATGCAAACTCACTTTCACGAATTCTCTTAATATTTACATGTACAAAATCTGTAGAATACAAGTAGTACCAGCATTAATATATAACTCTTACTAACTATTACAAGTCAAACATGTTCTCTCTCATAAATACAAAAAAAGTCTCAAATATGGAACTTGCCAAAGGCCTCCAAAAATAGACTCCTCAAAACCGAGTCTCTACCGCTGCTCCTCATACTGATTGCTTACATACATATAAGGGTGAGGGGTGCGCCATAGGCCAGTGAATAATATCAAAGTAAAGTGGTAAATGAATGAATCCCAATCTCATTTCGAAAGTGTAATTTCATAATAAATTTCAAAGTATCCGAACATTTCATAAGATTATCTCATATACAAAACATGATAGTATGGTACATCTATTAGAACATCATAATAGAATAACCGACCCGGGTACTAGTTAGACAACCCCACCCTCACGAGATCTCAACAACGGCCATGGTGCATAAAGTCGTCCTCCAATGGCTAGGACTATCTAAGGAAGCCATCATGCCATTAGTATATTCATACAAAGCTATAGGATATCCATTCATTTGCAATAAAATAAGGATTTCATGAATCATAGGATATCACCAAGTTTTCCAAAACTAGCTTTTAAACATAACTTTAACAAAATATTACTCACAATGGCTCGTGCACAGCTATGCTCCACTTGGTCTCCACCTACACAACAAGCATACATGCATCGATGAAATGAAAGAAAGGCTACTTAAATTAACTTAACTTTGATTTTTCTTCTCTAATCAAACATGCTTCAAGTCGGTTTCTAGTCGTGTTTAATTTTTCTTTAGGTTCAAAACTCGTATAGGTTAAAAGGAACGAAAAGAACGCGAATCGAGCAAGTGCCCTGTTTAGCCGCATGTGCGTCAGAATCTGTCCGCACGTGCCGAAACAAAACAGTCTCCATCCAAGGTTTGGCTGCATGTGTGTGGTGGCCTTGGCCGCACATGCAGTGGTTCTGCAGTGGCTAAATTCGACTTGGCCACTTGTGCGGTTGTGGAGCAGATTTTCAGGTTCAAGGCGTTCTTGGTGTTCCTAGCTTCATTTTCTTCACCTAAAAGTCTCAAAACATGATATCTAAGGTACCAAAACATGAACAAATGATGTATGTTTCATAGAAGAATTCAAAGTTTAATGAATCAAAACAAGATTTTCTCTCAAAATTCTCGAACTTATTCTCTGTTCAAACCTTCTCCCATCTCTTCATTTTCAATGCTTCAAATTACGATGTCTTAGGTTCCAAAGTATGAAATAATGATACAAGATCCGTGGAAAATCATCTGTATGCAATAATTTCAAAGTTAGATAAACTAAATGCACAATTTAATTCAATAACTCTCCAACCTAGTTTCTTTCCAATCTTTTTCCTATTTTCTTCATTTCTATCTCCTCAAATCTTAGCCTAGATGATTTTCTAGCTAACTAATAACAATGATACAAGAAAGGGGGTTGAATTTCTTACTTCTTGGTGAATTTCTCTTAATTTTCCAAGCCTAGGATTTGTTGTTCTTTGATTTTCTTCCTTTCTCCTTCTTTTCTCTTCTTCTCTTATTCTTCCTAGCTGAAGAACTCAAACTCTCTCAACTTTTCTCTAAGCTTCTCATTTCTTCTCTTCTATTTTATATGCTTCGATATATTAATTAGCATAAGTATCTTACTAATTACTCCATTAATTTAATTAACCAAGCTTAGTTCTAATTAATCATGTTTAGTTCCTAATGTTCATTAGCCTAATTAATCTTGCTTGGCTTTAGTTAACCTAGCTTAGTTTTTGCTAATCCCACTTAATTTCTAATAAAGTACTCATTAGACTAAGACCATTAAGCTCCTCAATTAGGGCTTCCTGAAATTGTTCAGTACTCAAGTTCAAATTAAATCCCTTAACTATTCAACACCTTCCAAATTCTCTAGGCTTTTCCACTAAAGGTATTCCTATTCACATTCTCCTTTCAAAGTTCTCTTCTAAAGTAGCATATCACATGTATCATACAAGCAAGGTAAGAGGATTTTCTAATATGAATGAATGCATGAATGCTATGTCAGCAATGCAAGATGTGGGTGTTACATTAATAATCGTGGAAAACATAACATCTTGTTTGTTTTTTAGCATTATAAAATGGACTGATTAAGTTATTTAAATAAAGAGAAAGAAATGAAAATGATGAAATTTGTACACAAGTAACTATAGGAGCAAACATAGATCAGGAGTGAAATTAAATTTATAAATGAGAAACCATTTTTCTCCATTCTTTCATTTTGCTTGGGTACCAGGGAGTGGAGACTGTTTTTACCCTCTTTTGTCTGATAGAAAACAACTTACAATGGTTTAAAGTGATTTTGGCTGACAGGATATTTTTTGGATGGTGACTTATTATTCTCTTGGGTTTTGGGATGATCTAAGAAGCATGGACACACACACGTGACACAACATGCATACGACACGGACATGCCAACAAGCTAATTTTCAAAAAATGTAGGACACAACATGTGAGGGACACACATGAAATAGATAATTTTATATATTTATTATATGTTGTATTTATGAATGTATCATTCAATGATAATAAAAAATGCAATATGACACTAATCCATATAAATTTATATGGTTTTTATTTTATTATTGTATCTTAATTTGTTTTGTTCAAACTTATAATTAGTTTCACATGTGTCTAAACGATAGACACGTGTATTTAAGAGATACACATGTGCGTCCTCCAAGTGTCCAAAGCGTGTCCGGGTCTTTAGAAAATAGGACACGTTTTGAAGAGTGTCGGACACATGTCAGGGAAGTGTCCAAGGAGTGTCGGTGTCCGACACGGACACAACACAGATATGTTGCCTTCTTAGAAGTGTCCGTGCTTCTTAGGGGATGATGTTGATATGGTTCTATTTTGGCTTATTCAGTTTTGGTTCCAGTTCTTTGTCAAAAAGATGGTGAAGAAGAAAATGAAACTGGTTTGTTCATGTGAAAACTATAGGCTACAGAGAAGAAAAAGATATTTGTCTTACTATACTTGGTTTCAGGTATTTGTGCCCAATGCCCCTCGACATGGCAGTGGAAAGAGTATCTAGTTTGGAATCTTACATTGTGTGGCTTGGTGTGATTTGTAATATTTCTTGTTGGTGTCTGATCCTGCATGGAGCATTTAATTTCTTTTTGTCATGCAGTACAAATTTAAATTTTTCATGTTATATGTAAAATTGATCTTCAGAATAATTTGGTGCTTGTTTTTGTAGTATTAGTGGTGGTGCTCTTTTGGCTTCACTTTGCTATTATAATGTGATAGATGCATAGATGTTTGTCCTCTTTGCAATACTGTTCTCATGAATGGGTGATCTTCATTGTTGAACTTTTTTTGTTTCCTTCGGTTTTATTTTGCAGGAAATCTACTCCATAAAGTTGCCTGGAAATCCTAAACTTGGTGAAGGGAAGCCTGAAAATCAGAACCATGCTATCGTATTCACTCGTGGAAATTCAGTGCAGACAATTGACATGAATCAGGTCACTAAATGTTGCCTAGCTAATTTGAAAAATTCTCAAGGACTTGTTGCATGTTTTTCTTGTGCTATTGTATGTGTATGCGTAAATATAGTGTTTTTCAGTTGCAAATAATGTTGATTTGATGGACAGTCTCTTATTCCTTCAGTGACCACATGTATTACTACCTTGACAAACATGGTTATTCCGATGTACCTATATTTCATGTCACTTGGTCATCTCTGCCTCACTGCAAATCTGTACTTGGGGAGACCACTAGATTTGTCTTGTACCTGTGATAATTCTTTTTTCCTTCAGATATATTGATACCTGTCACTACTCTTAATTCCTACTCTAGCTGGAACAATGATTTCTACTATTCCAACCCATTATATGACAAGGAGAACCACCCCTTCTTCAAAATCCTTATTAAATAAATGGCCTAATTGATCATCTCACTTGATATTACTTATGAATGCTTGGTAGTCTGCAGAGAAATGGCAATCAACCCATATATGCTTCGTACCCTTATGAAATACAGGTTTAGTTGCAATCTATATCTTATTTGAGTATCTTAAGACATGCAGCAGAGACATGAAACATCGTTTCACTGGCAGCCTGTACCATGGTTCTAGATGTGGCTTTGTTGCTTGACCAAGCTATCAGTCTGTTTCTCACTGTTCTCTTGAAGTAGATCAGAAGGAATGATGGGAAATTAACAAGCTACCTATTTATGTGAGAAAAATCCAATAATATCAAGAATTCTAGAAGGTCAAAGCGCTAGACTTTTTGCCAGGTCCTCCTTTTAGTTATTTCAGAATTTGTCAGATGGCCCTCTGAATGAATCGATTGAAACACCAATAGCAAATATGATATGTGGTGGTCTCGTACTTGCGTATATTAGCTTTCCTAAATGCTTCCTATAATACAATTCTCGAACAACCGACATTTATCAAACCTGACCTGTTAATGTAAACAGGTTTGGCTCCTTCAAATGTTAGTTTCCTCAAGTCATAATTGACCTATTTTCTCCTAGCATTATAAAGTCCCTCTAAGATTGTTCCACACCCATGTCTGGAAAGTATCTAATCCAAGTGTTCTGAAACTGTGCTTCCTAATAATCCTTGGAAAAGGAAATTTGTTGAAATATTTTGATTAACAAACCTCTAATTAATCCTCATTAGTGTACTGTGACTATTTTGAGGTTGCGGTTGCTCTATATAGTACACTACGACTTTGCAACTTTCTCAACAGTTTCATCATTTGTTGCATTATTTTATTGTTCTTCCTCATTGTTTTTGGTTTAGGATAATTATTTTGAGGAAGCTTTGAAGGTGAGAAATCTTCTTGAAGAATTCCATTGTGACCACGGGATTCGTCCTGCTACCATTCTTGGTGTAAGGGAACATGTTTTTACGGGAAGGTTTGTATCCATCTAGTTACCTGTCTGTTTACTCCTATGATTCCACTGACTTACAATTACATGATTTTCAACCTGAGCTATGCAGTGTGTCATCATTAGCCTATTTCATGTCCAGTCAAGAAAGTTGCTTTGTTACTCTTGGTCAGCGTGTTCTAGCAAATCCTTTGAAGTAAGTTCATGTTCATCATGCAATTGACCTGGTAAGCTTTTTGTTATTGGAGCTTAGATATTAAAATTACTTTTCAGGGTCCGTATGCATTATGGTCATCCAGATGTATTTGATAGAGTTTTCCATATAACCCGGGGTGGTATTAGCAAGGCTTCTCGTGTAATCAACATTAGTGAAGATATCTTCGCAGGTGTGCATGTTTTTCTTAACAAGACATCATTTGATTGGGATGATCATCTTTAGTTTGTTAATATGTTTCATATACAAGTTATCCAAATGTTGGTGACGTAAGAAGCGCATACATGGACATAGACATGCAAGACGACATGGACACACTGGCATGACCATTTTCAAAAAATATACACATCATGTGGAGGTCACACTCAAAATATGTAGTTTTATATATTTATTATTCCGTCCTTCCCATATTGTGTGTCCCTTTTGGGAGTTCCGACTTTTTAAGGGGAATGTAATGCATTCAAATTATGTAAAGGTTATAATAGCCCTTACATTGTCGTTATAAGACCATTATTGTTGTTATGCTATGAAGCACGGGCACGTTAGAATAGGTGCCATAGCGGTGTTAAACAGCGCATACATGGACATAGACATGCAAGACGACATGGACACACTGGCATGACCATTTTCAAAAAATATACACATCATGTGGAGGTCACACTCAAAATATGTAGTTTTATATATTTATTATTCCGTCCTTCCCATATTGTGTGTCCCTTTTGGGAGTTCCAACTTTTTAAGGGGAATGTAATGCATTCAAATTATGTAAAGGTTATAATAGCCCTTACAATGTCGTTATAAGACCATTATTGTTGTTATCCTATGAAGCACGGGCACGTTAGAATAGGTGCCATAGTGGTGTTAAACACGCGGACACGTCGGAGACACGTACGGGACACGCCATTTGGCTTGTCCCTTTAATTTATTTATTTTTTTGCAAGAGACATGCCGGGGACACGGTTTAGGCTAGAAAAATTTAGAGTTTTAGCCCTAAATCTCAAACTCAGAAGAGAAGAGAAGAGGTGTACCTTCGATTCGAAGAAGTGTACCTCAGATTGTTCGAAGAAGGAGCTTGACCTCTGTGTCGTCTCTCACCTCTCGCCTCTTTGCTTCTTTCTCTCTCTCACCTCTTCGTTTCACTCTTCTCTCTTCTCTCTTCTCCTCGCTTCTGTCTTCTCTCTTCTCTTTCTCTACCTTTTCTTTATTTATTTTTTATTATAATTATTGTAAGTGCTAAATAAAAGCATTAAATAAAGAAGATGGGGGAAGAAGTTGAGGAGGTTGCTGGGTCCTCTCATAAAATAGTAGTTACTTTTTGGGATTATAATTTTTTTTCTTTATATTTATAATTATTTTAATTTCGTTATTTTTTTTTTCTTTATAAATATAAATGTAATAGTTTATATATATATTGAATTAATGTTAATTTTTATTAATTTTGATTGTTTGGTAACATAATATTAATCTAAATAGTAAATATATATTTAAAAAATAAATAAATTATCGTGTCTCCTGACATGTCTGTGTTTCCATTTTTTTGAAATCACTGTGTCCGTATGCGTGTCCGTGTTTGTGCTTCATAGTTGTTATGTTTATGTTTTCAGCAGATTTTGTATATAAGGTCACTTTTTCTCATTTTTTTCAGTTGTTGAAATCATATAAAAGACATGTAACTTACATTAAAATTTTAGATCTGCATGATTTAAGTGCCTGATTGTTAAGCTCTAGAAGATTTGAGTTGCTATTAGGCTAAATGGGCTTATGATGGGAAAAGAAAAAAAAAATTCAGGATAGTTGATTTGCTAGAGATAAATTCCCATATCTAGAGATACAAGAGCTAAAGCTCTGAGTTGCAATCTCAAAATATCAAAAGTTAGTTATAAGGAGGCTAACCACCTATTGATGGACATAGGCTAGCTCAAGCAAAAGCTAATTCATATCAGCACTCCCTTTCTTAAAAGAACTTATTTTGTAGTTAGGAGAATACAAAGACACAAGATTAGTTTGCAACATAAGCCACCAAATGTTGGATATTAAAAGTATAGATGTTCAAATGTGGAGGTTGTTAGATCGTCAATTCTCCCAAAAGCTTAAGTTGGGAAAAATGGGCCCTAACAATCAAACTATCCGATACCCTTCCTCACGTGCAGACCCCATCTTGTACATGGAAATGCAACATTCATGAAGAAAGAATGCAAATGGGGACCAAATGCAAATGAAGAGACTTGAACCCAAGCTTTGATGCTATGTAGCATGACAATTCTATGCTCTAACCCCCTTAAACAACTTTATGCTTGAAGATAATCTGTATACCATTTATTGTTGTTAAATGCAGGGTTCAATTCAACATTGCGTCAGGGAAATGTTACTCACCATGAATACATTCAGGTAAGGTTGGGTCTGTTTGTTTAAAAATGTAGTCAAAAGAATTCTAACTGAGAATTTATACAGGTTGGCAAGGGACGAGATGTTGGGCTCAATCAAATTGCCTTATTTGAAGGGAAAGTTGCTGGTGGTAATGGAGAACAAGTTCTTAGTAGGGATGTTTACAGACTTGGGCAGCTTTTTGATTTCTTCCGAATGATGTCATTTTATTTTACCACCGTCGGATACTATTTTTGCACTATGGTATGTTATTTATGCCATCTTGAGCTGTGAATCTCTGCAATGTTGTAAGCTTTGATTGAAAGGAGTGTTGGAATCTGTTGCTGCAGGGTTGGAATGTTAGTTTTTAAGGATAATGTTAATTGTTTATTGGTTTATTACTTCTTTGTTTCATGTATCTGCAAAAAAAAAATATTAATTTTTTTGGGAGGGGAACCACTTAATTAGTGACTTTCTTGTGAATTTATTTTCTTGATATTGGTTGTGCTAAACATGTAATAGTTGTTTCTGTTTAGTGTCTAGAACTTGATGATCTTGATGTCATCTATTCCTATACAGTTCTCTTTCACATCAGTGCTTGGATCTGCTTATTATCATTTACTTTGGTGTTACTTGTTTGGTTCACATGCATAAATGGTGCTGCCGAAGAATGTGATTTAACTGACGAAAGAAGAGTGAGATTAGAAATGAACTATGTATGCAGTACTTGATGTTCTTTGAGAATTTGATATATATTGTTGGACCCATTCGCTAATAGCTTTAGCTTTGCAGATGATTGTTTGCTTGACACATTATTAACTATGAAGCACAGATACTAAAAAAAAATATACGTGTACATTGTATACAATACACGAGTAGAATGCTGCATGTTATAATTACTCAAATAAAAGCTGAATCCCTGACAGGACTTCTTACTTATGTGCAGTTAACTGTGCTGACTGTGTACATTTTCCTTTATGGGAGGGCATATTTGGTAAGTTTTATTTTTGGATTTAATCTCCGAAGTATTTAGTATTGCTGTAGTTACAGAATGCCAGCACTGATTTTTCAGTGGTCAATTTTTTTGCTAATCACTTGCAAAGGCATGGGGGTGTGCACTTGCTTGCCTTGAGAAACATTAACCAGTAATATAGCGCTTAGGTGTTTTGATGCATTTATCTTTAATTGGCATCTTTTATTTACTTTATCTATCTTTATATATATATATATATATATTCCTGATTGCAGTTTAGGAGATTATGACATGATCTTGTTTCAGGCGTTATCCGGAGTCGGTGAATCCATACAACAGAGAGCTGATGTTCTGAATAATGCTGCTCTGAATGCTGCTCTTAATGCACAGTTTCTCTTTCAAATTGGTATTTTCACTGCTGTGCCAATGATCTTGGGTTTCATCTTGGAGCAAGGATTTTTCAGGGTATATTTTTTTAATTATGAATGATGTTAATGCACATATAGTGTGACAAAATTGTTATTTGCAATTAATTTTAACGAGTTAATGTCCTTGGTTCTAGTGAACTATCATTTTCCGTTGGTACGTTTATATTGTAGACATTTTTTTTTTTTAAATTGCTAATGTATTATGTCAAATTTCACTCCAAATTTCATGATTGTTGCCAGTACTCGTATAATTAATTGAGAGTACAAAAATGAAGAACTTATTGTAGTTAAACATTTCCTGTTAATGTTCTTTTCCAGTTTTGGGAAAATTAAAGTATTTCCTGATCTACTTGTGTCTAGATTGAAGACAAAAAATTGGCAGCTGTACATGTTACCTTTACATTTTCATTTGTCTTTGTTTTTAAAGAGAACTTTTCACTGGGATTGTGCAAGTGATGCCAAAAGGAGTTGGATTGTGGCTGAGAGAATCAGTTTTAAGTTTGATTAAAAACTATTCTGCCCAAGACAAGACGTATTGAAGCAGGAATAACATAGCTAAGTTCCAAAGAGATAGGGCACAGCCTTCTTTGAGTTGAAAGCAATTAGGATGCACTCTAGAGAAAAAGTTTGTAGGGGAATAACATACAGTTGATAAAATATAAGTAAAATATGATGAGCTTGCAGAAAATTGAACATGTGTAAAGCATGTTTTGGTTTTTTTTTTTTTTTTTTTTTATGATTATTTTTTTTTTTTAAGAATAATAAGAATAATAATAATAATAAAAAATAGGGAGCATGGAGTGGGCGGTGGGAAAAAGGTGCACATGGGTTGGTATGTCAGTCCATTGAGGAAAAAAACAAATAAAAAAAAAAAGAAAGGTGTTGATGGGGAGGAAGGTGGAACTCTCACTCGGTGGGACTATTAAAATAAAAAAAGCAAGATGTATGGTATTAATAAAAGAAGGCATGGGTGGGTGGAAAAGAAATAAAATAAAATATGATGATATTGGTATCCACCTGATATCAAACCACCAAATGGAGTGTGCACCATCATTGTGGCAGTACATTTCTTTTCTTGTGCGTCCCACACCTTTATACTGTGATCACTTGTCTTGCAAAAAGGAGAGAGCCATTGGAGGTCTGTGATTGCTATGGAGGTGGTTCGTAAGAGCCCGGATTGTGTTGGAAACGATTCGGCTCGGGTTACCCGATGTGAGGTGGTTCGTAATAGGGGATGCATACGGTCTCCTAGCCACCCACCCCATGACACCACTTGTCTCACTTCACCAACTGGTTTGCAGACAACAGTGACGGGTAAATCTGAGCGGTGTAGCCCCATGAGATGGAAACCGACCATTTACGCTGGTGATCATAGCAGATACTTTGTTGTATTGACCTGGGAACATCCTTTGAGTTGGATGCAACAAAACCACGCTGGAGATCCTTCACTGCAACATTGGAGATGAACTTTGTTTCATGTATCTGCAAAAAAAAAATATTAATTTTTTTGGGAGGGGAACCACTTAATTAGTGACTTTCTTGTGAATTTATTTTCTTGATATTGGTTGTGCTAAACATGTAATAGTTGTTTCTGTTTAGTGTCTAGAACTTGATGATCTTGATGTCATCTATTCCTATACAGTTCTCTTTCACATCAGTGCTTGGATCTGCTTATTATCATTTATGTTAAAAAAATGATGTAATATTGATTGATTGATATATTACAAGATTGCTTAATTACAATTCCTATACAATCTATATATAGAAGAAAATGTGGTAGTAGGTGTAGTGGAGGTGATAGTGGGTTAGGTGAAGTGGAGTGTGTGGTGAAGTGGAGGTAGGTGAAGTGGAGTGTGTAGTGGAGTAGGTGAAGGTAAAGATGGGAAATTCTAACAATTTACTTTGGTGTTACTTGTCTGGTTCACATGCATAAATGGTGCTGCCGAAGAATATGATTTAACTGACGAAAGAAGAGTGAGATTAGAAACGAACTATGTATGCAGTACTTGATGTTCTTTGAGAATTTGATATATATTGTTGGACCTATTCGCTAATAGCTTTAGCTTTGCAGATGATTGTTTGCTTGACACATTATTAACTATGAAGCACAGATACTAAAAAAAACTATACGTGTACATTGTATACAATACACGAGTAGAATGCTGCATGTTATAATTACTCAAATAAAAGCTGAATCCCTGACAGGACTTCTTACTTATGTGCAGTTAACTGTGCTGACTGTGTACATTTTCCTTTATGGGAGGGCATATTTGGTAAGTTTTATTTTTGGATTTAATCTCCGAAGTATTTAGTATTGCTGTAGTTACAGAATGCCAGCACTGATTTTTCAGTGGTCAATTTTTTTGCTAATCACTTGCAAAGGCATGGGGGTGTGCACTTGCTTGCCTTGAGAAACATTAACCAGTAATATAGCGCTTAGGTGTTTTGATGCATTTATCTTTAATTGGCATCTTTTATTTACTTTATCTATCTTTATATATATATATATATATATTCCTGATTGCAGTTTAGGAGATTATGACATGATCTTGTTTCAGGCGTTATCCGGAGTCGGTGAATCCATACAACAGAGAGCTGATGTTCTGAATAATGCTGCTCTGAATGCTGCTCTTAATGCACAGTTTCTCTTTCAAATTGGTATTTTCACTGCTGTGCCAATGATCTTGGGTTTCATCTTGGAGCAAGGATTTTTCAGGGTATATTTTTTTAATTATGAATGATGTTAATGCACATATAGTGTGACAAAATTGTTATTTGCAATTAATTTTAACGAGTTAATGTCCTTGGTTCTAGTGAACTATCATTTTCCGTTGGTACGTTTATATTGTAGACATTTTTTTTTTTTAAATTGCTAATGTATTATGTCAAATTTCACTCCAAATTTCATGATTGTTGCCAGTACTCGTATAATTAATTGAGAGTACAAAAATGAAGAACTTATTGTAGTTAAACATTTCCTGTTAATGTTCTTTTCCAGTTTTGGGAAAATTAAAGTATTTCCTGATCTACTTGTGTCTAGATTGAAGACAAAAAATTGGCAGCTGTACATGTTACCTTTACATTTTCATTTGTCTTTGTTTTTAAAGAGAACTTTTCACTGGGATTGTGCAAGTGATGCCAAAAGGAGTTGGATTGTGGCTGAGAGAATCAGTTTTAAGTTTGATTAAAAACTATTCTGCCCAAGACAAGACGTATTGAAGCAGGAATAACATAGCTAAGTTCCAAAGAGATAGGGCACAGCCTTCTTTGAGTTGAAAGCAATTAGGATGCACTCTAGAGAAAAAGTTTGTAGGGGAATAACATACAGTTGATAAAATATAAGTAAAATATGATGAGCTTGCAGAAAATTAAACATTTGTAAAGCATGTGCTTTATGTTTAAAAAGAAAAATAAAGAAACTAGTGGTGCAACCTTCTATGTGGTGTATCTTCAAGAAAATGATATTTGGTTTTCCTTTCCTCATTCCTTATGAGATCAATTGGTGCCAAAGAGGCTTATTCAGCTATTCTCCGTGTGTGTGTGTGTGTGTGTTGTTATTATTATTATTATTTTCTGTAGGGGTGCAAGTGTGAACAAGTACTTTGTGATAGTATTGTTTAATATTTTTTGTAGATAACATACTTGAAATGTTGCTTGGGTTGCCTCTATGTTTACTTCATACACAAGCTTTATATTTGCCCTTGACATTTTCTATTTTTGAGCTTAAACCAAGTTTTTTAACTGTCTCACTTCCGGCTTTGTTTTGATTGCTGCCTCAGGCTGTTGTTAGTTTTGTCACTATGCAACTCCAACTCTGTACCATCTTCTTCACATTCTCCCTTGGCACAAAAACACATTATTTTGGCCGCACTATTCTCCATGGTGATGCAAAGGTTGGTTCATTTACTCTATTGCTGTTACTTATTCTTCTGCCTTGGACATTTATGATTGTCTCTAATTGCTTAACAGTATCAAGCAACGGGTAGGGGATTTGTGGTCCGCCATATCAAATTTGCAGAGAATTACAGGCTTTACTCTCGGAGTCATTTTGTGAAAGGGTCTCTCTCTCTCTCTCTCTCTGTGTGTGTGTGTGTGTGCGTGTGTGTGCGAGCCCCTGGAAATAAAGCGTTTACCTATTTTATTATCTTAATGTCTTCAGAATGGAAGTTGTGCTTTTGTTGGTAGTATACCTTGCATATGGATATAATGAAGGCAGTGCACTCTCCTACATCCTTCTGACTGTCAGCAGTTGGTTCATGGCTATTTCTTGGCTTTTTGCTCCCTATTTGTTTAACCCCTCCGGTTTTGAGTGGCAGAAGTAAGGGTTGTTTCATATATATATATATATATATTCACTTTCTGCACAATATTATGTGATGACATTTTTTTCTCTCCCTGTTTTGTTCTGTTCTAGGACCGTAGAGGACTTCAGAGATTGGACAAATTGGCTTCTTTACAGAGGTGGAATCGGAGTTAAGGGAGGAGAAAGTTGGGAAGCTTGGTGGGATGCAGAACTGGTATTACTTTTGCATCTAGTTAAATGAGCTGATCAATATTGAAATATTGGAGTCTGAATATTACGTGCCTAGACGGGCTGAATAGGCTAATCAATTAAAAAACTTAGTTTTATGTTCAATTTTAGCTTTTTAACCCAATTAGCATATGAACAATCAATCACATGAGTACACAAGATGTTACAGGGAAAAGCCGAAAGGGCAAAAAACCACGGTCCCAACACTCAGCAAAAAATCCACTATGAGATCAAAGAGTAGAAGACATAGTTGAGAGGACTTACAACTGTTACCTAGTTTTACCTAACACAGATGACTTGTGGTTCTCCACGAGCACAACTTGACTCAATCAGCCTTCTTGATCTTCTGGACACCATAAAGCAGCAGTCTCAATCTCAGTTGTTGAACGGCTCCGATTACCTATCCGGTCTTGATTGCAGAACGAACAATGCAATAATGCAGAGTTTTTGAAAGGGTTTTGTGGATTTTTGAAACTAAAATCGTATATATTCTCTAGAGTGTATAAAATATTTTTGCATTGAAAGCACAATGATCGGGATACTGTAAAATGAATTACGGAGGTCTTTATATAGAAAACAAGTTTCCAAAACCAATACATGATAGTTTTTATATTCTTTTTAAATTCTTTTTATGAAAAATCTTAACCAATGCAACTGAAAAACAAAACCAATTTATGATAGGTTTTTGTATTTTTTTGCACTTTTTTTTGTGAAAAACCTTTTTCAATGCAACTGAAACATATGTGAAATCTTTATCTGAACTGATAATGGAGTGAAGCTTTAACCTCAGTGTGTAGGGTTGACTGATTATGATAATTTACCAAACTGCCCTCACAGTTGTAAAATATTCTAACACTCCAATAAAAATTGCTTTTGTCCACAAAAATTGCCAACATAAAATATTCTGTAACCAATATAATTCTCAGTTTTCTTTTATTGTTTCTAGCCCTTGCAATGCTTTATAGTTAGATAAAGTCGTCGTTGTTCATCTAATGCAAATCTCTTGTTCAACATAGTCTTTTGAGATTTGTTATGATGGTCAACTTAGAAGCATGACTCGAAAACATTGATGGAACAATTTTCAAAAAATGTAAGGCGGCACGTGGGCTATACCTATATGCACAAATACATAGTTTTGTATATTTATTACATATCATATGTATGATTATTTCATTCAAAGACAAGTATATATATATATATATATAAAAGAAACACAACACAACACAAAATTTTAAAGTTTAAAGAATAATTTATTATAGGTAATAGCAGTGTTGTCAGCACCTTACACTTCATGATATGTATGATATGATTCAACACTTTTTAGAGGTAAATTGATACTATTATTAATACATATCTTAAATTAAATGTATCTTATAATACATGTACACCTTGGCGGAGCCCAAAAAAGATTATCACAAAAGTGATGAGTACCCTCGGTATCATTGGAAACATCACCACTGTCAGTAGGAGGTAGGAGATGTTGCACCGTCTCAGTTAAAGCGGCAAGTTGCCTTCTCATCTCGGCAATTTCATCTCTTTGATATGGAACCCCATTATCGCTTCCAACCGGAGGATTGACCTCAGCATCATCACCCAAATGCAGATCTCAAGTCCTACCACGGCCACTCCTACAACCTCAGCCTTGTTGAGCCATTGAAAACAAACAGTCCAATACAAAAATATTACCCCAAAATCACAAAGAATCAAAGAAATCGGTGCACAATAACACCAACCAAGAATGTAGTGCAACACATCAATAGTAAATTCATTCAAGAAGTTCAATATCAAAGAAAGCAATCGAAGAACAATTGAAGAACAAGCATAGAAAATCATATTCCACTTTCCCAGCCAAGTCGAAAACAAGAACTAGAGAAATCCAAAATTCTGAACTTGCTAATTGAATCTCGAAGACCAGCAAGACCAGTCGACTTTGAAAACAGCCAAAACTTTACCCAGATGTCGAATGAAGATCTGCGATACCCATAACCAATTTCTCTGATCGAAAAATCTTGATGGGTGATTCAAAACAAGCAAGTCGAACCATGATTCAAGTTCGAATCATGATGTGATCAGCAAACTTCGAATGACGACATGGCCCATGAGCAAGGCACTTGTGATGTCTTCAAGCTTCAAATCGCAAAGTGTTCTCGGCATGTGATCTTGCTGTGATCAACGGACTTTGATTTGTGAAGACGTTTTAATTCGCATCGCGATCGTGCTCTCGATACTGAAAATGGAAGTCAATTTTGCAGCTTCTTGGTTCACTTCTACAGAATCTGAGATTTTCCAAGTGCTACAACCCAGAGAGAGAGGAGCAGAGACAAACCTGAATCTGAGATTTCCAGGTGCTGCGATTGAAATTCCTCGTGGGTTAATCAACCTAGGTCAGTTTCTAGGTGATGAATCTTGAAAATTGAAAGAATAAGATCTAAATCCTATTCCTCTTATACCAAAATGATGGGATCCCAGAACAAGAGAGAGAGAAATTAGGGAGAGAGGAACCCTATGGGTTCTAGAGAGAGAATATCGAGAGAATATCTCAATATCAATCAATTATCGTACATAAAAGTTAGTTACAAATGATCTCTGCTTCTCTAGACACTGACTCACATGTTAGGTGAGGGGGGCTTGGTGTAATTAACCCGTGTTTTGGATTTAGAAGATAATACATATTGGCAAACAAATTATCATAGAAAAGCCTTGGGTGCGTATGCATCTATTAAGGATATAAATAGTTGTTATCGCCTTGTCTAATTGTTTAAACTTTTAGATGACTTGGTGATTTAAAATTTATCGCCTTATTTGTAGTAGTTAATTAGGGTTGCGCATGGCTTTAGTTTTTTTGGGAATATGGCTTTAGTTTTTATGGCTTTTGCTTACAACTTATGAGACAAAATTTGCTTAAATAAGCTAAAAGCAAGCTGATTATCGAAAAGTTGAAGGAGGGATGCTTTTAGGTTTTGTTTTTTAATTTTAAACTTTTTGCCTACAAGAAGTTGCAACAAATAGGGCCATCATGTTTTGTAATCAATAGATCTTGTATTCAAAACTTATAAACCACTATCTACGAGATAATTATAATCCTTGCAAGTTGCACATGATTTGGATGATTATGGAGGACAGTCTAGCCTCATGTGAAGATAATTATAGTACTTGCAAGTTGCACATGATTGGATGATTATGGAGGAAAGTCTAGCCCTATGTTATTAGAAAATGCTAATACCCTAGCGAATTATGTATTGGTACGCACGTTCCAAAACATGGTACATTTTCATTCCAAAACGATAAATTTAGTGATCCAAAGCGATCCCCAAATTTTTTTCTAATATATTTCTTTAAATGTTAACTTAGGAGGGAAAAAAACCAAATATATGAACTAAAATCTAAGGTGAGTTAAGTTTTGATTAGACAAAAAATAAAAAATGGGTCATAATTTTCGTAGAAATGATTTGCTACATGAAAGAATAATTTTTTTTTTTATTGGATACTTAATTGTTGAAAGAAAATTACTCTAAAAGTACATAAAATTCTTAAGTATAATATATACAAGTCTACTCCTATCGTACCTCATTTTAGAGCATGTGGCGTAAGCTACATGTGTGGTTCTGGGCAAAACAGGGCTGTTTGAATTTTCACTATGTTCTAAGTGTTCTTAGCTTGGTTCCATGGTTAGGGCTTAAGCATATTCGACCTAAAACATGTAAATTTGATGACAAACATGAAAATTGGGTTGTTTTCCAAATCAAAAACATCAAAACTTGGCTAGGTTTCAAGAATCAAAGATCAAACTTCAAGATTTGTCAAGAATTTCAAGAATTAACTCCTTTTCCAAAACCTTTCATTTCTTTCCTCCAAAACATGAATCAAATATGCAAAACTCTTGAAAATTAAAAGAACATATGGTGATAGAGGTTCAAATACATCAAGAACAACAAAAACTACTTCAAAATGATGAAATTTCAAGTTTCTTATCTTGTTTTTCAACTTAACCAAACCTTCTTCCTTCTATCTCAAATTTCTTCATTTTAAACTTAAATTGATTCTAACTTTTTCTTGGTCTTGGATGCTAGGAGGGTTACTACAAGAATTTGGAAAGTAATCGCACCTTAGAACACTTTGTGGGATGAATTTGAGGTAGTTTCCCTTAGGTTTCTCTTTTCTCTTTTCTGTCTCTCCTCTCTTTTTCTCCTCTTCTCTAGTTTCTTCTAGCTTTTCTTCTTTGTGCAGAATTTTTTCCTCATCATTTTGTTTTGTTGATTCAAGGTAAGACAAAAAAAAAAAAATGTGTAGGGCAAAAGGATTTGTTTAACTTAACCTAATCCATGTTAAGACTTATTAAACAAGGTTAAATCTTAATCTCTCCCAACTTAATTAATCCTAATTAAAGTTCACTAATTATACTAAATTATTACTAATCCCGATTAGGAAAACTCAAATAGTATGAAACAGACAAGCGCATTAGATTAAGGTCCTTAAGCACTTCAATTAGTACTAAAGCATATCACTTTAGTAGAAACGCATCTCACATATTGTAATTAATGCTCTGGTTATTGATGAGAGGCTCTTTGATCAGAGAGCTCGTATAATCATATCACATCATTCAAAAAGCTTCTTCATATGGGTTGCTTATCTTATCTCTCTCATCAATAACTCTTCTCTCTTCACTTCATTTTTCAAAATCTGAGATGTTTTCTCTCTTTCATCTATGGCTATCCTCTCTCTTTCATCACTTCATCAAAGAGAGATTTTGTTGAAATCCAAATGAAAATCAAGAATCAAATAGAGAGAGCAGACAAATGCCCCAATTAGGGATAAAACCCCCAAGGGTTAGAGAGAGAAACCAAGTTCTACTCCAATCTCAATGTATATTCTTTTATTCCAAAATTAAGTACAATAGGTATTACATCACCTATTTATAGACTACAACTAACAAGCTATTTAATAGACACCTAATCTATTTATTCTATTACATCATACTCTTCCTCTTTAAGAAACTTGTCCTCAAGTTTAAGTAGCAACTAAGCAAACTCAATGTAACACTATTCATGTAACCATAGGTAAGGAGTAGGTGCTGCATTTCCTTGCTCAAGAACAAACATGATTCTCGCAACTTAGCCGTCTACAAATACATTGAACTTCATCCTTGCATCCATGGCTTAACAACCATAGGTTTGTCCATATTCTCTCACTAAAAAACTTAGATAGACATCCATTTCCAAACCCCTTCACCTCTAACCTGCATACTCGTGCAGAAGAATACTCATTCTGTCGGAATGAGACTAATGGTTTGCAAATGACATCTTCCAAAGCAAGCTGAGAAGATTGACACAATGATAGGATGGATGATGTATCCACTAGGAAAAACCTTGAGAATAGCTGATTACGAGCTGGAATTCGGCATTGCACGTGTTCTTTCTTTCCTCCCTTGGCACAAATGTGAACTGAGCACACAAGAAGCAACCTACTCAACTCAAAATAACTTTGTTAAGAGGTATGAAAGAGTCCTAACAATAAACTTCAAATAATTTCTTTGAAGCTGCCAAAAATTTTAGTGGCGGCTTGTGATGCGACAAGTCGTCCACTCGTTTGTTTCAACTCATCTCCTTGATTATGAATTTGATTTGGATTAGCATCAGTGCTCCTTCCAATTGAGAAATTTATCCCGATTTCTTAACCAAAATTTCGCAGCATAAACTCTACCATATCCTCCCCATCAACTGGTACCTCGTTGAGCGATGGAGACAAAACAGCCCAATTTTCAAGATTGCAGTAATACGAGATCAGTTGAGCACTCCTCTACAGTCCCAACTTAACTAGCCAATTTCACAAACTAGTGAAGCCACACATAATTATTACAACCTTTCAAGGTGAAACCAAAGAAGAATGGACCAATAACAAAGATTGAGTTCCAACCAAGAATCAAGAATGTAGAACTCAGATTTCAAAAGTCCAATCAAGAATCACAAACCCAAGTCGACCAACAGTTCAAGAATAATAATGGAACAATTCAAACTGTCTAGTGTTTGAACAATTCAATCAATTCAAGAGCATAGCATATGCAAATGATCCCAATCAAATCCCAATCCCAGATATAGATCCCCAAATCACAATATTAGAATTTCAGAACTTGCTCCAAATCAAGAAATTCAGAAGTTGCAAACTGAAATCAATTCAAAGTCAAATGAGTTCAAGGTCAAACAGAGAGGTCCATGTTTTAAATTTAGGGACACAAATTGAAATGGAATCAACCTTCAGTCACGGAAAACCCAAACCAGCGAAGAATTGAGTTTTTTGAGATCACAAACTTAAATTGCGATGATGAATCTTGGTTCTCATTGGGTAGCAGTCTCAGTACTGGTGTGAGATCAAGTTTCACGACTCCGAATCAAATGAACTCAGATTTCGCGACTTCAACTCAGAAATAAAATATAATCGCGATTCAAAGTCTAGTGCAACTTTGAATTAGAAGTGCTAGGGTTCAACTTCGAGTCAGATCACGATCTAGTTCTAGGGATGATCAACTCGCATATGGCTGCGAAACAGATTGCAAGATCAGATTGAATATCTTAGATGACTCGTACTCACTGGTGGACTTCAAATTGTGGCTGTGAAATTGATCGACAAAAGAACCCATGAGCAGAGATCCAGAGTTTCGTTGAAGACTTGACTGCTTTGAGATTGTCAAATTAGGGCTTCAAAGCTGGCTTTGAATTTGAAGGCAAGCTTCGCCTTAGATACATAGGTCAGATTGCGATCGCTTGAACCAGGTCAGTGTTCTAGGTCAAAGATTGAATGAATCTTAGCTTTCGATGAACTCGCTTTTGGTTGGTCAGAGTCATTCTCTCATGAGCTTGATTATGAGATGTGGTTCAAGATTGCGAAGACAAATCCAAGGCTAGGGTTTCTTGGATCAATGTATGATCACCAAGGATTGTTCGTAAAGATACAACTCTGTTGCAAATGGAGATGATTATTGAGGCGATGGCAATGGCGATGGCGATGAAATGATTGTTGAGGCGATGGCGCTGAGATCTTCCCCCTCCCAAAGCTTGTTCTCACTTTTGCCCCCTTCTAACATCTCTAATCTCTCTCATGAAATCCTCTGTTCTCCCTCTCCATTCTGATCCTTCATCAAAACCTTCCTGAGTGTTTTTGTTAGGTTGAGAAAGATGGAGACTGTTGTAGTTCCAACCAAAGCCCGACCGATTCTTGTTGAACCCGAAGTCAATGCATTTGAAGCTGCATTCGGATGAATTTGGCTGATAAGTTCTCTAAACCAAAATTGTCGGTTTAGGTGACAGGTGTCTGGCAAACCCACCCGACCCGACCCGTGAATAGCTCTTATGCCTAGTGTGTGCTCACTGGCAATACTTGAAGCGTGCAGGACAAGGACACGCACCCCACCCATCCGTAGGTACATAGGTTGAGAGAGGTCTTGGGTTCAAGTCTTTCCATTGGCTTTTTGTATTTTATTCCCGTTTGGTTTTTTCTTCTCTCTTTGGTTGTTTGTTTCTCCTTCTATTTTGTTTTTTGTTTCTCTCCACATGCAAGACAGTATTGCACGTGAGAGATGGTGTTGGATAGCTCGATATACATCTTTGAGCTCATTTCCTAACAACTTAAGCTTTTGGGACAAGGGTGATCTAACATCTTGGGCCTAAGGCCGGGTATGAGGTTGCAGGGTTACTGGCTTCACCGCTCGACATATGGAAGATTGGATGAAGTCATTTTAGATTGTTTCAACAGTTTAGTTTCGTAATTTGTTTACTCCCCAAAGCATTTCTTCACTTACTACGCCCTTTCTTGTCTTTGCGTGTCTAGGTATCCACCGTAAGCCTTTTCTCTCATTTGAATCATTTTAGTCTGCCTGCAACGCTGGACCTAGGGTATTAATGACCCGCTATTCAGTGGAGGATATGTTATCAGTCTCTATCTTTCAATGGACTAAAGATTGTCCAATTCTCTCATCCACAAAATGTTAAGGTGGCAAAGACAAATGTCTGATGGAATTCAGTTATTCAGTTTGGACAAGACCATTTTCAATTCTGATATCTTCTGTTGGCTTCTCATATTTGTGTTATATTCTTTGAATTTTATTTTTGTGTTCGAATATATTGACAACTACATTATATTTCTACTTTTTTTGTTGTTTTGTGTGTGTATGGGAGTGAATGTTTCTACATGTTAACTTATGGACTGTAGACTTAGTTGATTCCTTAGAGCATTTGAAATGAACTGTTGATTTGTAGTATGTGACAGGTCATACTTTAAGATGCCCAAGAAGTCTTTTTTCAAGTTTTTACTTGCACTTTTGTTGATGACATCCCAATTTTGTGATTAATGTATTGAAAGACATTAAATGTTTCAATTCTTGTTCCCAAGAACCGACTGCTTGATGATTGGGTGGCATGACTTTTCCTGCATCTTCTGTCCACAGGCACATATTCGGTCCTTTTCAGGAAGGATGATGGAGACTATTCTGAGCCTCAGATTTTTCATCTTTCAATATGGTGTCGTCTACAAGCTTCATGTGCAAGGATCAAACACATCATTATCGGTAACAACTTTCTTCATAAGATGGAAAGGATTTTTTTTAAGCCCATATCTGCCTGTCAAATTCTTGTTATTGTTGCAATTGGCAGGTCAGTTTTACATTCATGTTTGTTTTCCAAAAACTTGAAGCTAGATGTAAGTTACACAATTCAGTCCTCTTTTTCAAGATAGGGCAGAGATATTGAGAGGTCTTATTTATGAAAATAAAAATAAAAATTAAGAGGTCTTATATTTGTTATAGAATACAATATATTGGATGATTTATGCTGAGTGTAATTTTGAATCACAGCACTGATGATGTTAGATGTAGTATCAATACTGTTGTCTAACTGGAACTGAATCCCAGAATTGTAGTTTTTATATAAAAATGAGCACTCTACCTTCCATCATAATCATCATATTATGTCGAATGCAATGTGTCATAAAGTTTGGTTTATGTTTTTTATGTTGTGTGGGGAGCGGGGAGGTTTGGGAGGGTAACATCTTTACCATTTACTAGATGTGTGTATACCTATGTTTCATGGACTCAAATACAAATGTTGGGTGCAAGTGTGTATCTAGAGGCCGAATCCATCAAAATCTCAAATTTAAGAGCACACAAACACTGCAAAAAAGGATTATATTTTTATATATTTAATTTATTATATTAGATAAAAATGATGTTGCATGTAACGTAGAGTCTCAAAATGTATTGTACTCATTTTATAGAAATTATATAACAATACATACATATAATGGACGTGTTAATAACAAATATATATATATATATATAAGAAGTGTCAAATGAAAAGTATCAGACACATCCCAACCCCTTGTCTATTTGTCATGTATCCGACACAAGTATTTGATTTATTTTGAAGAGTCCATGCAACATAGGTGTATGCTATCGTTTACATGATTGTTGGTGAAACTTATGCATTCTGTATACATGAATTACCTTGATGTTTGATTTGACATCGATGTTTTGAGTTGCCTTTTGCATCGAAGGGTGTATTTATGACTTTCAGCTATATTTTATGGTTATAAATAAATTTACGAATGAACATATACTTGCACGTAACATCTATGCTCAAACCAAAATTACCAACAGGCACTTTCCGCATAATTAACATCCCCCCTGCCTCACACTAACATCAAAAATACAATGAAATAAAATTCTATCGTAAATTTAATTTATCCAGACAATTCAGGGTTCAAGGACTGTGAAGTGTTATGGGTCTTTTTTGTTTTTTTTTTTTTGATAAATAATGAAGTGTTATGGGTTTTACCTCAGTGGGGCATAGGGAATTTTACAAGCCTGAGAGTTGTTCAAGTTGCATGGTGGTATCTTTTCTTTTTATTTTATATATATATATATATATCTTGAAATTTGGTTACATTAGAAATTGAGTTAGTTCCAAACTGATGTGAATTAGATGGGAAATGAAAATAGAGTTGCCAGCTTATAATATATTATTTTTGTTTTTCCATAGGTGTATGGCTTCTCGTGGATTGTGCTGGCGGTGCTCATTATTCTTTTCAAGGTCTGCAACATAAGTTTGAACCTTGAATGCTAAACTCGGAACCTTTAAACATGCTGTAATCTGGACCTTCTCTTGTATTTTGTCCTATTGCAGGTGTTCACTTTCAGCCAGAAGATATCGGTTAATTTTCAGCTGCTGCTGCGCTTTATCCAAGGGCTCTCCTTCTTACTTGCAGTGGCTGGTGTGGCGGTTGCTGTTATATTTACAAAGCTATCAGTTGCGGATATTTTTGCTTCCATCTTGGCATTTGTACCCACTGGGTGGGGAATTCTGTCTGTAAGTTATCTGAGTTCCTTTGTTTATTTTATTTCTTGTTTCCACTAACTTTTTGAGAGGACAAATAAAAAAATAATTACCAGTCTCTCCAACAAACTCAAACAATGTTGTTATTGCGGGGACATCTTTGTGGTCAGGAATGATGTGCATATCAGCCTGGTTCAATCAGATCTTTAGCATACATAGTGACATTATCTTGCGAGTCTTGTCCGTTGCAATATAGTTGGACCAAAAGATTATTTCGGATCACTTAGGGAGGGCTGTAAGCACATCTATGGTTTCTTACAATTGTTCTATTTAGTCCATTATTTTAAAATGTCGTCTCCCTGGAAGTGCAATTCAGATGACTTTTAGGACAAAGCCATGAAACTGTGTCCTGCTGACTATGCTTTGCTTACATCCCTCATGCCTATCTTGGAATTTTTTGTATCGTGTCTGGTTTTCCCAAAAGTTCACAGAACTACTTCCCAGAATGAGTTGCTAGTTTTTTTTTAAGCTTAATTTTCGTGAAGAAAAGCATCCTTTGTGACTGTCAGTTGCTATGGACCTCAATTATATTGAACAATTAGTACACCCTATTATATTGTGACAGACGACATGCAATTTCACATGCTTTTGATGGCAAGAAGAGAAAATCAAACAACTTTGGTCTTGTTTTACATATGATGATTGATTCTATTCTCTCTTGTTTTACATCCAAAGGAGTCTTGCCTTGGTGTTCTCTTATTATATTCTAACATGAAATTGTTTGATAATGTTTTTCCTTTCTTGTTTTTCCCCCTTTCCAGATTGCTGTGGCTTGGAAGCCTTTGATTAAGAAACTGGGATTATGGAAATCGGTACGTTCAATAGCCCGTTTATACGATGCTGGGATGGGGATGCTCATCTTCATCCCCATTGCACTGTGTTCATGGTTCCCATTCATTTCCACATTCCAAACCCGCCTCATGTTCAACCAAGCATTCAGCAGAGGGTTGGAGATCTCTCTTATCCTTGCTGGAAACAACCCCAATACTGGCTTATGATTATATCATGTTTGTGCCCAAAAACTTTGTTAGTCGTTTTTTGTACATGATGAGAGAGACTACACTACAACTACTATTGTTTTGACATTTGTAGTTTCTATCTGTAACCTTCCTTTTGGCTGTTTATTGTTCTTGTTCTTGTTCTTGTTCTTGTTTTTATCTAGAACGGCTTATTTTGATGTAGCAGCGTTGTAAATGTACTACTAGGTGTTTGGTGCTGTTCTTGTTCTTGTTTGTTTTTTCCGGAACCGCTTATTTTGATGTAGCAGCAGACTTTGTAAATGTACTACGAGGTGTTTGGTATTGCCACCTGAGGTGTGAGAAACACAAGAAAGCTGATTGTAGTTTCTATCAGAGCATAGCTTGCTTGCTTGTGTTTCGTTTTTTTATGCTTTTTCTAGTCACGTAGATGGTACATGAGGATCAATAGGTAAGTGAGGATTTCAATTTCTTTGTTGTTGAATTAATAATGATACGAGTGTAATTTTTATTAAAAAGAAAATAAAACAGTATATATTCAAATTAGTGATGAATTCAATTTAGAAGGTGTTTAAGGGATTAGGTCCAGTGTATTGTTTTTTTATTGGTAAGAAGTCCATTTGTGAAATAGTTTGGTGAGAGGTAGTTTTACTTATTTTGAAGGGTATTTTGTTTTTAATTTTATCGCTTAATTTATTTGTTAACTTTTTTCTATTGATTTTTTTGACTATTATTCAAATTATTTTCTGTGTTCAAATTATTTTTGATCTATTCAATTTTTTGGCCCTGTTTGGTAGAGCTGTGGGAAAGTGTTTATAGTTTATGCCTAAACAGCTTATAACTTATAACTATGAACATAAGTTGATTTTTGACTTATAAATTAAGCATCTCCTGCTCCATTCAAAGAATAAGCTGATTTTTGACTTTCAAAAAGCTATAAGTTATAAGATATAAGCTAAATCAAACACATCAAAATAGCTTAAATTAAGCTGAAAGCTGAAATAAGTTGAAATAAGCAACTTTTAAGTTGCACCAAAAAGGGCCTTTGTCTATTTGTTCAATTTTTTGTGTAATTTTTTTTGTTCAAATATTATCTGTCTAATCTTTTATCTATTGCAATATGTTTAATCATCAACAACAACAACAATAATAAACAATCAGCAATAAAAATAAAAATAAAAATTCCTCCAATTTTGTGCAATGATCAAATACATACACATAAAAGTAACAAAATTAATAATAATAATAACAAAAATAAGATCCAAAGAGTTAAAAAAAAATTTAGATATGGGGTTTTTTTTTTTTTTGAAAAAAAAAAAGAAATTAGATTTAGAGAGTTCAAAAAAATAAAAAAAATTTACACAGATCTGTGACTTTTTGAACTCTCTTTTAGATCAGAGCCAGGGCTTTGAGAATGTGAGTCATTGCTGTGTCCAGAACAGAGAGATTGTAGGGAGAGGGAAGGGTGAAGTTTTTGTTATTTGCTCATATCAAGGCCAACAAAATGTAGAAAGAGAGAGAAGTCGATTTGGATGCAGATCTGATTCGAAAATGTTTTGAGTGTTCATCGATGGCGTGTTTACATGCGGTCTGGAGACATTGTCGGAGATGAAATTTAGAGAGCCAGGACCTGATAGGCCTATACGACGAACATCCCTTGGATCGCGAAGTTGCTCCATATCTATACAAGTGAGAACGGTCAATATATAGATTATGAAAAACAAGAAATAGAGATAAACATATAGATGTATAGTTGTGGTGATGGAGAGAGAGAGAGAGAGAGATGATTTCCAATTTTTGGCAATTGAGTTCTCGATCTCTCTGCGAAACTCTTCCTCTGTTTTCTCCGATCAGGAACGATGAAACCGATCTAGAGGCAGATCTAATTTGGAGATGAGTCAAATGTGTTTCAAATCTTAGATCGTCGAACAAAGATTGTAGAAGATGGCAGATTGACGACACAGAGGATTACCTCAGATGTGTTTCAGATCTTAGATCGTCGAAAAGAGACCGTTGGAGATGGCGGATTGTCAAAGATAAGGGGAGAGATCGTCGGAGAGAGGATGAGAGATGAAGAGAGAGAGAGAAAAGAGAGAAATGGGAGGTTGATTTTGGTTTTATCACTATTCCACGGTGTATACTACATATATAGGGGGTTAGTATGGTCATTTTGTAGGAAGTTGTCCTTGTAGACATAGTGTTTTAGTGCCTGAATTTCTATGCAAAGAATTCAAAAATGAATTTATCACCTGAATACCCTAAATAGTACTGTGCTATTCTAACACGACATATATTAAGGCCTAGTTTGGAAAGACTAAATAAGTGCACTTTTTGACTTTTTTTGTATTATGTGTAGAAAAAGTAGAGAGGAGATGTTGATTGATGTGACCCAAAAAAGATAAAAAGATGAAATAAGTGCACTTTTTTCTTTGTAGCCAAACTTGGCCTAAATTGTCAAAATTGTGCTATATTTTTCTATATAAAACCTCAATTTTGTGACATTGGAGTTCTCATAAAATAGGTGCAATTGCAAATAAATGAAAACTAAGTATTCTATTTCTTCCTCTTTACTTTCATATATTCACAAAAGTTCCCTTATCTTACTTTCTTTATTTATTTTATTTTTTTATGAATCTGTGGCATGGGTTGTGAGGTTGGTTGAATGAGAATACCATTCCCAATTTTCGATTTAGTTCAAAAATCATATTTGGGTCAAATACAACTGTAAATACCTTGTAGCTGAAATCGATGCTTCTATTGCAAAATAGCTTTATATACATGCACTCCGTTTTTGTCTTCCTACATCAGAAGGAAGATATGGATACTATGCTTTTCGGCATATCCACACTTCAAATTTGACCATTGTATGTGAATTGTCAAGGTCTAAATTGGTAATATATTTTATTTCATCCCACAAATTGACTTAGCCCACAATTGCAAAAAATAGACCGATTTATAAAAATTTGGAGCCACCACCTACTTTTTAGGGAAGTAATGTGTAGCGCTTCGGATCTTAAATCTGACTTATTTATGTTAATTAGTACTCATTGCCAAGTACAAATTATTATTTTTGAACTCTTGGAAATGATAGGTTTGGATTTGACCTTTTAATTATTATAGTTGGGCCCTCCTCAATATTTAGAGCCTTGATTAATGTGTTAACATGATGGTTGGACAAAATTAGACCAAAAATTTCAAATTTGGATATTTGTTTTTTAGTCTTTACTGTTTTACTCCTTTTTCTTTTCACACTTTGAATCTTGATGTAAGGTTAGAACCATTGAAAAAGCTTACTTCCGGAGCTTCAATTTAGACACAAGAACTATCCAAAATAGAGTTCGGACGAGAGAGTTATATCTATTTGAAGTTCGAGCACCAAACCCATTAGTATAGTTTGCTAGAGCAAACTTTTGACTGCTCGAGCAATCTGTAGATCTGAACAACTCTAATTTTGTGAAATCAAAGATCCTGCAAAGTACCCATTCACCGCTTAAGCGAACTTTTGACCACTCAAGCAGTTTGTTTGACTTTAGTACGTGAAAGACTATACTTTTAGTCAGATTTATGACGCTAAAACTACTTTTATGCTTATACTATATATAGAGACTTTAAATATTTTCACACCACTTTCCCTCTCTATTTTGTCCCTATTCTTAAGATCTCTCTTTCTCTACATTCTCTCCATAAATCCTATTTACAAGGCCTGATTTCATCTAGCTAGAGTGGAATTTTTTTAAAATCCATTTATTAAAGTTGTAGAGGAAGAGTAGAGCTCCCTTCTCACCGAAGGGATTTCAATTTGGAACAACCTTGGGAACCTAAAGTTACATTTCTTGCTATTTGAGGTAGAAATTTTCCTACTGTTGTTCAAATATGAACTATAATATGGACGTGTAGTATGTCTAGGAAAATATGAAAACTGCATGTCTTGCATGAGAAGTTGGATTTTGGTTCATGTCCTGAAATTCTTTCCTATATCCTCTCAAAATTTTAATTTGGGCAATCTACTTCTTGTCTATTTGTATAGGAGTGAAAAATCTTAATTTTTGAAAAGTCCTAAATTTCATGAGTACTACAAATTGGAAAAAATTAAAAATGCAACTTTTATAAGTGAAATTGAGGATGAATATTGTTAATTGAACCTATTTTGAAAATGTGGAAATTGAAACATGAGAATGGAATTATGTTTTATTGAGAGCTTTGAATTATTTCATATATTGTGAAAATTGAGCAGTGGATAATTTATTTAAATTGTTAGCAATCGGTAGAGGATTGCACTGTTTTGAATTGGAATTATTGTTGAACCATATTCTGATGATTGTTGTAGATAAGAATATCACAATCTCATCAACAGGATGGAAGCATAGTGGACCCCACTATCAAATGCAGCTGTCTCCTGATCGACTTCAACCTTATCCAGGACACGTGGAGCAACCAGCATTATTTGGCGGAAAATGATCAGCCACATCCTTTCAGCCGACGCTACACGACAAAACAGCTCAGCCAAAGCTTATCTACAACAGTCTATCTCTTTGAAAATCAGGGAGGGTAGACAGTGTGTATCAGTGTATATAATTGTAAAAACTGTAGCAAAGAGCAAATAATTGTAGTCCTTTTGTATTTATTTTTGTCTCTTTGTATTTACTTTTAGGTAGATTTTTTAAAAAACCTATGACTAGGCTTGCCTAAAGAGTTAGAAAAATTGGCAACTTTTAGACGTAAAGTCTTACAAAGTTATAGATATGTTAGATATGAAGTTAGATATGCAATAAGTTATATTTTGTTTGTATTCCTCTCTTGTAAGTCTATATATTGGCCTTTATGCCAACACAATGAGATGTGTAAATTCTCTCCATATTTTCTCCATCTTTGAGCTTCTTTCTTTGTCTCTAATTTCTCTACCTTAATTCCATAACTCCACCATAATTCCAAAATAGTAAAAAGCTCCTTTCCATTTTGGTTTTGTAATTGGTATCAGAGCTTGGTGAAAAGCTTTTGAAAGCAAGATCAAGCTATGTAAGTATTTCTATCTATGTATAAATTTTTGAAATATACATAAGTTTGTATGGTGTGTTTTATGTTATAAAAAAATATATATATATTTCGTCTAAGTTTTTTGTGTATCTTTTGTATTTTATATCTTCATAATTATTTGTTTCATTTATAGTTGTTGTAAAACCTATATGCTTAGTGTATGTCAAAGCCCATATACTCATTAAGATCCTTTGACAATTGGCCATAATTAAGTCTTTAAGATCATAAAGAGAGGTTTTAGGCACCAGATAATACACTAGGAGAGTCTTAGGTACTAACAACAATCTAAAATGGCAATTAATTTTGACGATATAGTATACTTTGGAAATACAAAAAATAAT